CTCCTCCTCCCAGGCCTGCCCCCGGCAGCAACGGCGGACAGGATGGTACGACGCCAATTAATTGTCGCCCCCCCCCACCACACATTGCCTTCATGACGTCGAGAGCGATCTTGCGCTCACACTCTCCTTGTAATTTGTTGCGGTGTACCAGTGGGTCCCTTCTTGGATGGCGCCATTGCTAAAGTGCAGGCGGCCATGCAAGCGGCCACTTCGTCCATGCAGTTTGAGAAGTGTATAGAACTAAGAAGCAACCTGGAGGTACTCCTTCTCTTCCCTGCCCTCTACTTCCAACCACTAATCACAATCCCTCTCTCTCTCTGTTTGTCGTGTGTGTGTGTGTGTGTGGTGTGTGTGTGTGTGTGTGTGTGTGTGTGTGTGTACAGACGCTGGAGAAGCTGCGAGACCAGCACAACTCGGGGCATGATGTGTCAGCAGAAATACAGAGACTCCGGGCTTCTCTTGGTTGAGGACAGACGCGCCCCAAACAGTACGCATGCATTTACCTTCCAGTGGTTGTTGCTTTGGCTGTTACTGATCACTCATCTTTGTCTTCTGTAAATACTTGCAGTGGACGCGATCTGCATGTTACACTAGTCAACACAAGGAAGCATCAAAGGCATGGCGTTGGGTGGCTGAGAGGCCAGGGCAGGTTGAAAAAGTTTTCCACTCTTGGGAGAGTGTTTTCCCCCACCATCACCTTCTCTCTCCTCCGCCTTCTTCTTTTCTCTCCTTTCTCACCTCTCCTCTCCTGCTTGTATTCTTTCTTCTTGTGGGACCAACTCAGTACACCACCCTTATTTAACCTCCAACCTTACCTCCTTTAATGTGGACGACGCCCTCTACTCCCACGCCACCAACGCCAGGCGTACGTACTTGAAGACCAGTGCGAAGCCGCCGAACGGCGGACACTTGGCCCACCGATGGTCGGGTCGGAGCAACCCATGGTCGGGTCGGAGCAACCCATGGTCGAGTTCTGGTAGAGGCAGCACGCACAGAAAGTGTTGGGCAAACCACGAAGTAGATGTTGACAGCGCTGCCCGCCGGGGTGAGGTCGTAGCGGCGCACCTAGCCCTGGCGGTCACTCTGGCCCGACGCCGCCTGCACGTCAGAATCAGCCCCACGCCCACCAGCGCCAGAAAGAGAAAAGGTCTCCTCGGGTGTTGCATCTTTGTTGTGTTCGTCTATTGAAGTATGTTTGTGGTATATGATATTAATGTCATTTTTATTTAAAATAAGATCTGGTTTGTTATCTTACAGGTGGGTGCAAAAATGTTAGGGTGCGTGGAGAGATGTGTGTGCTTTGGTGAAGAAGAAGGGAAACTAGAAGAGGAGGCATCCCTTCTTCTTGCCGGACTGGCCTCGGCCCTTTGAGGTGACGCCTCGGCCCCCCTTCTTCTTGGCTCCTCCGGCGGCGCCGGCCTTCTTGGCCGAGATGCGTCGGATCTCGCGCACCACCTGGTAGAAGCCCTCGTCGACGTTGATGCGCTCCTTGGCGCTGGCCTCGACGAAGGGGCAGTTGAGCTTCCGGGCCAGCTCGGCGCCCTCGTCGGTGGAGACCACGCGGCTGTCCACGAGATCGATCTTGTTGCCCACCAGCACCAGCGGCACGTCGGCCATGCCGTCGCCCTCCTTCACCCGCCCGACCTGGTTCCTCATCGCCGTAACCTCCTCCATCGTCGACCGATTTGTCACACTGTCACACACACGCGCGCGTTAGCCAAGCACGGCCCAGCTGGACCTGCTGGTTGGGGTCCCAGGCTACCTGTAGACGAGAACAAAGCCCTGCCCTTGTCGCATGTACTGCTCCCGCATGGCCGCGAACTCTTCCTGCCCGGCCTGTCAACAGACAAACCCACCACGGTGTCAGCCGTACAGGTTTTTTTTTCCATTTTGTGCCTTTTTGCGTAGTAATTAAATGGAATTAAAAACAAGCAGAAGCAAACGTCGGGGCAGTGGTGTACGGTGTCAAGGATGTCGAGGATTGTTGTGATGGCATCGATTTCTACTTGCTTTCGATACGAATCTGATGAGAGGCAGGAGTCATAGAGAGAAGCGGTAAGCTGAGATGAATCTTCGGTTGTAAAACACGAGAAGAGGAGAAAGCGAGAGGGCACCTTCGATAGTGGGATCGTAGAACTCGAGGAACGTGTGATTGACGAACTAAATAGTGCGAGATGAAGAGGTCAGGAGATTTTTTATTTTGTTTTTGCTCTTGGAGGGATCAGGTACCTGGACCGTGAGAGCGCTCTTGCCCACACCTCCGGCACCCAAAATCACCAGCTTGTACTCCGTCATCTTCAAATGCTTTCCAAATTCAACGTTCGAAAAACAAACTGACTTGCGTAGCCTCGCGTTCTAATCGATTAAAACGAACTTAATTACCAAGTAATATAAGGTTTATGCCTATTGGTCAGTATTTAAAGTCCCGACCAACCAGAACCTTCTTTCATTCGGTCAGCCCACAACTTTCGCCCACACGGAGCAGACTACGGAGACTTTCTAACGATCATCGCCCTGCCCTTAGTCGGACCACTCGTCCTCCTCCGCGCCCTGCTGGAGGTCCTGCGGGAGCGGTTCCTTCTCCTCCTTGTACTCCTGCATCTTGCCGTAGAACTTGTTCATCACCTGCACATGCATCGTCACGTGATCAGAGCCATGGATGGCGAAGTCATTGTCATCATCACAACCACAAAACTACGACAAACCAGACAAAATAACAAGGCAATAACAAAGCAATTCCAAAGCAGACAGACAGACAGACAGAGACAAGGGAAGAAAAGAGGGGTGCGCGTACGACGTCCTTGAGGTCGGCGGCGTCCTGCTTGGTCTCGACGGTCTCAAACTTGCGCATCTTCCTGACCACCTTGGGTGCCTCGGAGAGCGGTGTCATGTCGCTCGGCTTCAGGCTGGTCTCGTCGAGAAGAGAAGAGAGAGCGAAAGCGGGTGAGATCGGTTGCTCAAGACAGAGAAGAAAGAGAGCGAAAGCGATCAACGACGACCCACCTGACGAGCTTAGGCTGCGCGTTCTGGCCCGAGAACCACTGCTGCGGGGTGAGAACGGATTCGTGGGCGCGGGTGGGCGGGTAGACGTCGTCCTGGAAGTACTCGGTCTGTGTGCGTGCGTCGGTGAGCGATTGTCCCCCCTAACCATCATATCTCACTTCGTTCTTTGTTCTCCTGGTGGCGCGTACCCTGGTCCTGGGCACGCGGACGCTGAACTCCTCGACCGTCGAGCCGGAGAGCTTCATGAAGCGAGCCACCTCAACCTGCACAACCCACATTCGTCAGACCGCACACGCACGACCGCACACGACACGTGCAACACACGCATGGCCGCACGCACGACACGACACGACACGACACGTAAGAGAGGGAGGGGAGGGCTGCGCGTACGTTTCGGACGTCGCAGGCGGTCTTGGGGAGGCGGGCGACGCTGGCCTGCTGGCGGGTGGACAGGCTCTCGGTGAGGTAGTGGGCGTAGGGGGCCTCCTCGCTCACCTCCCAGAACTTGATCGACGAGTCGCCGTTGGCCATGAGGTACACCACCCCGATGTCCTCGTCAAAGAACGGCTCGAACACGCCCGAACCCGTGCCTGCCATCACCACCATCAGCGTGTGTCGTGTCGTGTGTCGCGCGGTGCGTGTCGTGCGTCGTGTCGTGCGGTGTGGGTCGTGTGCGTACCGATGAGGGAGGAGGTGAGGGGCTTGGAGAAGTTTCGGGTGTCGAAGATCATGAACTCGCGCTCGCTCGACTTGTGGAAGCCGGTCGAGAGGACGCGGGTAGAGTTGCCGAGCCAGGCGAGGCGCGAGGCCTTGGGGGTCTCGTGGCCCACGGTCTCGTCGATCTTGGCGCCCGAGCGCGGGTCCCACAGGCGGATGCGCTGATCCTTGGCCGACGTCGCCATCACCCCGCCGTCGTAGTTGAACACCACCGACTGGATCTGCTCGCTGTGACCTCCCTGCATGCGTGTGCGGTCGTGTGGTGTGTGTGGTGTGATTGTGTGTGTGTGTGTTGAGCGGGGCGGGACGTACAAGGGGCGGTGGAGGGTACCTTGATGGCGGAGAGCTCGCTGAGGGCGGTGATGTCCCACAGGCGGACGGACAGGTCCATGGAGGTCGACACGAGGATGTCGCCCGAGCTCGGGTGCTGGAACAGGTTCGAAATTCGCCTTCCGTGGCCTACAAAAAATAATAAAAATAATAAAATCAATTTTTGCTCTTTTACAGGAAATAATAATTCATAATAATAATAATAATAATATAATATGTAAATGGAAAACAGTGGCGTACCGCGGAGCACGCCGTCGAACTCGGTGTGGTTGGTCTTCTGCTTGAAGAGGTCGTTGTCGGGCACCTTGTAGAGGCGGATGGTGGCGTTGTCGAGACCCACGTAGAGCAGATCATCGCGGTAGGGGTGGAACTCGAAGGCGAGGGCGTCATTGCCGGTCTCGATGGTGCCGATCTTGTCGGGCAGCTTGCCCTTGAAGTTGACCGGGATCACCGCCACCTGGATTGACACAATCGCACGCACGCACGCACGCACACACATATATGTGAAATAACAGGAATCGTGTGTGTGTGCGTGTGTGTGTTGCAATTAAAAAAATGGGGCGCCGTACCTGGCCACCAGAGCCCTTCCACGGCACGGCGAAGTACTTGGCGTTGGCCTTCAGCAGTGACGCGTCGGCCGCGCTCGACTCCACCTTCACGTTGGTCACCCTGCATCGATTTGAAAATAAAATGGAAACATTATCATAACGAAATTAGAAATTTCAAAATAAAACGAAACAAGAAGACGAGGAAATGATGGGCGGGTGGCGGGTACCACTCGGACTGCTGGGTGGGCTTGACCAGGAGATGCCTGAACTTGGTCTGCCTCACGATCGACTTGGCCGTGGGCACGTACTGAGAACCACACGCGTAACACAGCACACGCACGCACGTAACACAGCACACGCACACGGTGTGAGCGGGGCAAGCCTGAAGGCCACGGGGCCGGTGCAGGGAGGGGCGTGGCTGCGTACGTAGTCCTCGTCCTCGTCGACTTCGGCTTCGGCGTTGGCCGGCACAGTGACCGAGATCGAAAGCGGAGTGGAGGTCGAGATGGGCGCGGGCGCGGGGGTCTCCTCCTTGGCCGGCGCGGGAGTGCTCGCGGCGGGCGCAGCAGAAGACGACGACGACGACGATGAAGAAGACGAAGACGAAGAGCTCGACGAGATCGTTTGGCCTGAAGCGCGGAATAGCCGGTTAGTGTTGTGTGTGTGCGTGCGTGTTGCAGTGATACGAGTAGGCACGGTACCGCGCTTGGCGGGGTCAAGGCTCATGAGGTTGGGCCGCCTGGTCTCGCCCGAGAACCACTCGTCGGCGCTCAGGGCGGGCACGTTGGCCGCGGTCAGCGGGAACAGGTCCTCGGCAAAGGTCCTGTGGGTCTGGGTTCCGTCCAACACGAGTGATGACGTCAGCACACCGAGCCACCAAGCGAAGAGATCGTCTTCAGAGTTGCGTTGGGGCCGTATTGGTTGGTACGCACCTTGCGGGGCACTTCGTAGGAGACGGGGATGATGTCGTCCTGGGACAGCTTGAACAGGCGCTCCACCTCGCAGTCCATCACGTTCAACGCACGCTTGGGCAGCTGTTGTGATGCGGTCGCACCATCGTCAGCACCGCACAAAACAGGGTGAGCCAACCCCCTCAACGGCGGGCGAAGGGAAAGAGAAAGAAAAGCGTACGATGGCAATGCCCTGCTGAGCGACGTCGGAGATGGTGGCGGGCAGCTCCGAGTAGTGCGGGGCCGTCTCCAGGATCTCATACGCGCGAATATTGCCGTCACCCTAGTCGTGGTCGTAGAACGCACACAGTGCGCCGCCAGTCAGTCCAGGCCTTCACGTCGTGACGACAAACGATCAGCTGGGGATGTGGTGGCGCGAGGGCACCTTGCCGGCGAGGTAGAGGATGCGGGCGTCGTTGTCGTAGAGGGGGATGACGATGCCGGTCGAGGAGTCGAGGGTGTTGGTGGTGAGGGGCTTGCTGAGGTCGCGCGAGTCGTAGACGGCGAACTTGCGCTCACGCATCCGGCTGAAGCCCGTGGTGACGATTCGGTCGAGCTCGCCGAGCCACGCCACGTGCGAAGGCTTCACGCCCTCGTGGTTCGCGCCCTCCTGCCAAACGTTACATTTCACAATCACCCGTCAGCCTCCGTCCATACGCACACGACCGCACACACGACCGCACACGACTGCACACGCACGCGCACGAAAGGAGTACCTGGACGACGGAGCGGGAGCGCGGGTCAAAAACGCGGACTTTCTTGTCCTTGGTGGTGAGGGCGATCAGGCTGCCGTCGTAGTTCCAATCGAAGGAGAACACGCTGTCGGGGAAGGCACCCGAAAGCTTCTCAGCTGCTCACGGCCACACGCACACAAGTCCACGTCAGCACAGTCATTTATTTATAATAAATGAATAAATAAAAATATATCCAAATAAAGTAAAATAAATTAATAAATCAACACATAAATGAGGAGGGACGCGTACACTGGGCGTTGATGTCCCAGAGGCGGAGGGTCTTGTCGACGGAGGCGGAGGCGACGATGTTGTCGGCCACGGGGTGGAACTTGACCATCTCGACGCGCTTGGCGTGGCCCTTGAACTGGGCCTTGGCCGTGGAGTAGGTCGACCCGTTGGCCAGGTCGTCGGGCACCTCCCACACCTTGACCGAGCAGTCCTCGGAGCCCGTGGCCAGGAGGTTGTCGTTGAACGGGCTGAAGTGCAGGTCCACCACCCGCGCCGTGTGCGCGTGGATCATCGGCACGCCGCCCTGCCTCTTGCCCGGCTTGTCCAGCGGGAGTACACCCACACTGCACGCACGCACACACACGCGGTATGAGCGCACGCACGCCACACGCCACGCCGCACACGCACGACACGACACGTCGCACACGCACACATGAGACACGGAGCGAGAGTTACCTGCCACCACCGGTGGCGCGCCACGCGACGGCGACGAACTTGCCGCTGACGGCGATGGGGTTGGCCTCGCCGGACACGTCACCCTGGACGTCGGCGTACCACAGCTCGCGCTTGCTCACCTGGCCCTTCACGTGCCTGAACTGTGGTGGTTTCGCAGGTGGGGTGGGTGAGTTACTCTTATTCGCACACGAAATAATAATAATAATCGACAAATAGGGGAAAAAACACAAATAATAACAAATAATTATAACACTGGTCGCGCAGTCGCGCACACTCCAGATTGGCAAAATGCGTTGCCGCGGGGTGAAGGATGAATGAGGGCGCTGAATGAATGCAGATCTGCGCAGCGAACGGGACAAAAAGAGAAGAGAGAGATTTAAGGTACCTTCGAACCCTGCCTGAAGCGCGACATATTACACAAGAAGAAGATGGAGCGCTTTTGTCAAGTAAAATTACACGTCGTCGTGCTCTCTTCCAGCACCGATTCCTGATCTGTTTGCGTTACCCCAACAAAAACGCTCATTACACCCGCCACCTTAACCTCGTCTGGCCAAAACCAAGGTTGGTTTTGCCGGCCTAAACCGATTATCAGCTTTGGGTGCCCAGACCGTGTGCTTTGGCCGGAAATGAAAAACAATCACAATCGTGCTGCGCGACCACTGTCGCGGATTCTCATCTCTGTGTGCAGAGGAAGAGAGATTTTTGGTTCTCTATTGTGGGGAGAGGCCTGGCAGAGGAGAGGAGGTGAATCGATGCCAAGAGCCAGAACGGAGGATCATTTTGCAAAGGACACCTAGCGATAATCGAGGAGAAGAGAGGGAGCGTCTCCCTGCGTTTGAATGGCCAGCTTTGGTTTGAAAAAATTCAAACGGAATGGTGCATCTAGCGACAAGGTTCGTTCTCCTTTCCTCCCTCTTATGCAGGGCCATTTTCTCTTTTAATCTCTTCATTATATTAAATAATCACAATATCGATTTTCATCATCACACCATCTCAGGTGAGGTTGAAGTGCTTCTTCGGGGAGGAGATCAGCGTGCTCACGGTGCCGTCGGACATCAAGTATCGGCACCTCAAAGCCAAGATTGAGGAGATCTTCGGCGAGGGCGTCGCCATCCACAAGTACGAGGACCACGTGGGCGACCTCATCACCGTCCACTCCAAGCACGACGTGCGTGAGGCCTTCACCCTCTACGCCAAGGCCATCCGCAAGCAGAGCAAGCGCGACGCTGTCGAGCCCTACCTCAAGCTGCACCTCGCCCGTGAGCCCAACCCCAGCCCCAACAACACTGGCCCTGGCACCGGCACCGCCACGCCCGGCACCACCCCGCCCAGCGGTGCCACCACGCCCGGCCCAGGCGGCAGCGGTGGCGGCGAAGCCACGAGTGCGCCGGTCCATCGGCGGCAGTCGTCGAGGGAGAAGGAAAAAGACAGGGAGGCGCGGGAGGAGCGAGGAGGCGGTGGCCTGCTGGGCGCCAATGGGTACAACCGGCCGATCTCCAAGTCGAGCCCGGTGCTGCCGTCGCGCATGGCGCTGTCCAAGTCGCCGCCCAAGTCACCGCCCGAGTCGCCGACGTCGCAGCAGCGGCGGCGGAGCTGGGGCCGGCACGGGCCGCCGCTGCCCAGGAAGGAGCCCGCCAGCAGCAGCGGCGGCAGCTCGGGCGGCGGCAGTCCCGCGGGGAAGAAGCGGTCGAGCGGCAAGGAGCGGGGCCTGGAGAAGAAGGAGAAGCGGCGGAAGAAGCGGATATCGTGGAAGGACGCCAAGGGCAAGCTGATCGAGCAGCGGCGAGGCGACGACGGCGACAACCACAGGGAGGAGAGCGAGGGCGAGGGTGAGGGCGGCGGCGGCGAGCAGGAGGAGGGCGAAGAGTATGCGGGAGGAGCTGCGCTCAGGCGCGAGCTGAGCGGGAGCGGCGGCAGCAACAGCAGCAGCGGCGGGCGCGGTCGGTCGTTCATTCGGCGGCTCACGCCCACCAACAAGAAGAAGATCGAGCGGACCAAGTCGGCGGACGACAAGGACGAAGTGGCCCGAAGCGAGGTGGGCGACGACATACGGAAAAGAGACAGAGACGCCGGCGCCGGCGGATCGGAGACCGAGACCGAGACCACGACGGATGACGATGACGTTGAGCGACTCGTCTCGCCGCAGACCACCAGCGGCGAGACGGAGAGCCACGACGACGACGACGATGTTAGGTCTGTCGACGGGGCGAACGGGGAGGGAGAAAAGTTCGAAGGAGGGGAGGGGAGCCTCGATGGCGTATATGCAGCGCTGGCCGAGGAGGCGTCCACGGAGAGCGGTTCGGAGTCGTCGACGGAGCAGAGCGAAACGGAACACGGCGGCGAGGGAGAGGAAGAGGAAGGGGAGGCGTTTGACGACGACGACGACAGCGAGGGCGAGGGCGAGGGCGATCGCCGGCCGAGACGGAAGCAGCAGCCCACCGTGTACTCGCCGCTCGTGCAGCACCTGCCCTCGGGTTCGCCGCCTGTGGTGCCCGCACACGAGCCGCTCTCAGCCACCAAGCGCATGAAGCTCACCATCCAGACCGACATGGAGGAGCTCAACTGGGACGTACCCGCCAAGGCCCTCGGCTCTTCCAGGTACGTACCATCACCACGCACCGATCTCTTGTACGCGTCCATGAGCTGAGCGTTCTTGGTTGTGTGTGTGTGTGTGTGGGTGTGGTGTGTGTTGTCTGTGTTCTTTGATTTTCTTCCTTTCTTTTCTTTTTGTCTTTTTATTTCTTGCTTTTTTTAAGGGGTCGGTCGAACTCGGACTCGTCGGTCATCAATCCGCCGCCGGCCACGCACACGCCGCCGGGGATGAGCCCGCGCAGCTCCTTCTCCGAGTTCTCGACGCAGCCGCTGCTGACGTCGGCCGAGTACGCGGACTACATCAACGCCGTGCCCATCCACATGCGGCCGTCGCAGCCGCCGGCCCTGTCGTCGCCCGACAGCCACCTGCCGTCGTTCCCCGGCTCGCCCAACCCCAATGTGCCCCTCGTCACCCCATCGGGCATCGGCCTGCCGCCGATCCTCTTCCCGCCCGACCTGGCCTCGCCCACCAGCCACCTGCCCAGCGTCGACCTGGGGTCCGGCCACCTCACCTTCACCGGCACCTTGCCCATCGCCATCAGCGCCCCGCCCGGTACGCGCCGATTCCGTTCACTGTTCGCGTTCCTGAAATTGTTCTCACATTCGATTGGTAGCGGTGGGAGGGGTGGTGGAGAGCCCGGCGACGCTGACGCGGTCGGTCTCGCCCCCGCCGCCGATCGTGCTCCCGGCCATCGTTTCGTCGAGCGCGGCTACCGATCCGCCGCCTCTGTCTTCGCCCACGAGCCACCTCCCCTCGTCCGTCTTCAGCGACGAGTACTTCCCGTCGCTCGATGGTGCGTCCCTCCCCCCTCCTCCGTGTGGTGTTGTGTGTGTGTGTGTGTGTGTGAGTGCGCTGCTCCGCGTCTGTTACTGCAGTTAGCACTCACTGAGCCTCTGTGCCTCCGCAGAGCCGCTGGTGGACGAGCTCACGGCCAGCGTGATCGAGGGCCTCGTGCCGTTTCGCACCCCGCCAAAGAGTTCGATCCTTCGCGACGTGAACGACCCCCTGGAGGAGATCCTCGACGGCGAGCAGCCGCTCGGTGGCGGCGGCGGCACCATCATCATCGGACAACAACCAGGAGAGCAACCCCATGCGAGCGAGGCTGTCCAGGACATGGTCGGCGACGCGGCGGCGGCTTTATTGGCCAAGTCCACGAAGAGCGACCGGGCCAAGCGAAAGGGCAAGAAGAAGCGGAAGCTCGGGGGCAAGGCGAAGAAGACCTCGTCGAGCGGCAAGATCACGCTCGCGGGCTACTGCGAGGACTGGTCCAAGGTCAACTGGCAGCCCGGAATCAAGCTGGGCTCCGGCGCCTTCGGCGTCGTGTACGTCGGACTGCGCGAGGACGGCGCCATGTTCGCCGTCAAGCAGATCGTGCTCCGTCCGGACGACGATGCTGTACGTTCCCTTCTTCTTCTTCTTCTTCTTCTTCTTCTTCGATGGCTTACGACTTCTACGACACACCAGTCGGCAGCGACAAGCAAGGAGATCGAGGTGATGAAGGGCATCCACCACGACAACATCGTCCAGTACCTGGGCACCCTCGTCAAGGACAATATTCTCAACATTTTCATGGAGTACATTCCTCCTGCCATCACTCCTTACGTGCGTGCGGCTTGACCATTGGTTGATCGTGTGTGTGTGTGTGTGTGTGTGTGTGTGTGTGTGTGTGTGTGTGTGTGTGTGTGTGTGTGTGTGTGTGTGTGTGTGTGTGTGTGTGTGTGTGTGTGTGTGTGTGTGGTGTGTGTGTGTGGTGTGTGTGTGTGGTGTGTGTGTTGCGTACAGGTACGTGCCGGGCGGATCGCTGAGCAGCCTGGTCTCCTTCTACGGCGCCTTGAAAGAGCCGACCATCCGGCGCTACACCAAGCAGATCCTCCACGGACTCGTCTACCTCCACAAGAGCGGAATCGTACACCGGGGTACATTCCAGTCCACCAATGCAGAGATAAAGGGCCGACCGGTTGACAACTAAACCTGTACGTGCGGTGTGCAGATATCAAAGGGGCCAATATCCTGGTGGACCCGTCGGGCAAGGTGAAGCTAGCGGACTTTGGGTGTTCCAAGAAGTTCTCCAACGCCACGGTGGGCACTGCCAACTACAAGAGCATCGTGGGCACGCCCTGGTGGATGGCCCCGGAGGTCTTCCGAAGCACCGGCTACGGCAGGGCTGCCGATATTTGGTCCCTCGGCTGCACCATCATCGAAATGGCGACGTGTCATCCGCCGTGGTCCGAGTGCACCAACATGGTACGATATCGACTGCTCCCCCATCGTTGGTCTGAACTCACCATCTCTCTCTCTGTGTGTGTGTGTGTGTACCACTGCGACCAGGTGGCCACCCTGTTCAAGATCTCCCACACGGACCAGCTTCCCGACATTCCCGCGTCCCTCTCCAGGCACTGCAAGGACTTCCTCGCCCAGTGCTTCATCCGGTACCGTACCATTCATTCTCCTCCTCCCTGTCGGTTGCTGCTGCTGCTGCTGCTGCTGCGGGGTTGCACTGCCGCGGCGCCTGACCTCCACTCTCCAGAGAGCCCAAGCAGCGACCGACCGCAGCGCAGCTGCTGCTCCATCCGTTCATCACCCTCAAGGGGGGCTCGGACGACCAGACCGACGAGTACTCCGCACACCACACTGTTTCGTGGTCTCGTGCCGGCTGAGGCTGACGGTGGGTGGGGCTATTCTAATAGGCCGAGCAGCAGTGGTGGTGGTGGTGGTGGCGCTCCGTCGCCGAAGGAGGGTGCGGGGGGCAAGGCGTGGAGGATGAAGAAGCAGATCCAGTCGCTGGCCTCGCTCATCACCTCGACGGCGGGCGTCTTCCGGCTGCCCAAGACGCTGGCCCTCCATATCTTCTCCTTCCTCCCCGCACGCGACATCGACTCCCTCGCCCAAGTCTGTAAATATTGGAGTCTCTTGGTACCTACCTACCTACCTGTCACTCACCACTTCGAGCGCCGTCAAAACTAAACGAACACTCACTTGGTTGTGTGCGTGCGTGCGTGTGCGGTGTTGTGCGTGTGCGTGTGCGCTGGTGCGTGCGTAGGCGATGGAGTTGTGGGAGCAGAGGTGCAGTCGGTGGCCGTGCAAAGCGATGAAGAGTGTTAAGGTGAGGAACGGCAACCGGGGCAAGGGTCCCAACTGGCGACGACTGTACATCGAAGGCGACGAGAGGGAGAGGCGAGTACGGAGCGCGTCGGTCGCTGTGACTACCCTCAAGGTACGAACCACAACAACCAACATCACCGCCACTTCATGGTGCGGTCCAGGCCTATAGCTCATATGCGTCTGGTACCTTGTTTCAGGGGCATCACAAGTCGGTTTTTGCGGTGCAGCTGCTGGACAGCCCCAACCGGATCGCCTCCGGGTCGGAGGACAAGCGCCTCCGATTTTGGGAGTTCACCAAGGGCAAGTGGCGCCTTGCCCACTCGGCCAAGGCCCACACCGAAGGTAACGCACCACGCCTGCACCCGCCAGATGAGTTGTTGTTGTCGTCGTCGTCGTTGTCGGTTGCGAGGTATCCACTCACATGTCGCGTCTTACGACGAACCACACAGGCATCTATAGCCTCAATTTTGATTCGCGAAACGACAACAAGCTGCTGATGTCTGGCTCGGTGGACAAGTCGATTCGCATTTGGGACGTAACCAAATACAAGAATGTCAGGTACGCGCCCCACCTCACCCCCAACGCACGCTTGCATACGCACACATACCTTACATTCTAACACTTATACATGGGCCATAGGACCATCACGGCGGCGCACGAGTGGGGCGTAACGGGCCTCCAGTACGACAGCTCCAACGGCATTCTCGCATCGTCGGCGCTCGACGGTACCATCAAGCTGTGGAACGTGGAGACGGGGAAGAACGTCGCCACTCTCCGCGGCCACACGCGGGGCGTCTACTGCTGCGCGTGTCGGGACAACCTGGTGGTGTCGGGCTCGGTCGACGAGACCGTGCGCCTGTGGGACAAGCGCGACGGCTCGTGCATCGCCGTGCTCAAGGGCCACTCGGACGACGTCACATCAGTGCAGCTCGACGCGCAGGCCGACAACGTCGTCTCGGGTTCCGGCGATGCCACCATTCGGTATGCGATCTCATCGAGTGTCGTGTGCGCGTGCGCGTGCGCGTATTGACGTGTGTGTCGTGTTGTGCATGTGCGGGCAGGTGTTGGGATATTGGGACGGGCGAGTGCTGGAACACATGGAGCGAGGAGACGGCCACGGCTGCGCGATCGCCGCAGGAGGGCAGCAACAAGCACTGGGTGTGGGGTGTCGATCTCACCGCCAACCACGTATTTTCCGCCTCTCAGGACAAGACCATCAAGATCTGGGTACTCTCCGGCCGTGTTGTGTGTCGCGTGTTGTGGCGAAGCTGAAACGGTGTCGCTTGGTCGGTGCGGATGTACAGGACTTCACGACCGGCGCTTGTCTGCGTACGCTGGCGGGCGAGGAGGGTCACCAGGGCTCGGTGCAGGCGCTGGTCGCCGGCAGAGATCGCCTCGTCTCCGCGGCCAAGGACGCCACCGTCAAGGTCTGGCAGTTCGAGGGCCTCCGGTTCTGAAAAGTAGAATCGACCATGTACCATTATTTCACCAAAACAAACATATATAAATGACCATTTTATCATTTGAATGTTGTGATTTGGTTTTTTAATGTTATCATTTTTACAGGGTGCAGGGAGCTTGGGATGGGTTAGAAGTGAGAGCACTTCCCCTTCTTGTTCTCCTTCTTCTTGACGAGGGCGGGTTGAGCACGACCCGGATGGCCTCGTCGAAGACGTTCTTCAGGCCCTGCTGCGTGCGGGCCGAGCACTCGACGTACTTGCAGGCGCCGATCTCCTTGGCCAGCCTCTCGCCCTGCTCCGGCTGGATGGGCTGCATGTGCTTGTCGGCCAGCCGCGCGATCGTATCGGCGTCGCTGCGCAGGTCGCACTTGGTGCCGATCAGCAGCTTGGGCGCGGTCGGGCAGTGGTGCATGATCTCGGCGTTCCACTTGTTGCGCGCGTTCTCGTAGGACGGCGGCGAGGTGACCGAGAAGCAGATGAGGAAGACGTCGGTCTGCGGGTAGGACAGCGGGCGGAGACGGTCGTAGTCCTCCTGGCCGGCCGTGTCCCAGAGGCCCAAGTTGATGGCCTTGTTATCGACCATCACGTTGGCAGAGTAGTTGTCGAAGACCGTAGGAATGTACTCGCCGGGGAAGGCGTTGGTCGTGTAGGAGATCAGCAGGCAGGTCTTGCCGACGGCACCGTCGCCGACCACCACGCACTTGATCGCTTGCATCAGGCTGGCCATTGTGTTGTGTGTTGGTTGTTGTGGGGAAGAAAAGAGGCGTGTGGGGAGTGGAGGTGCTGAGGCTCGCTGGTTGTCGGTTGTTGAGTGATGGGACTCCTCAGACCTGCGCCCTTTTTGAGTCCCTCTGCCCAAGCGAATGGCTTCTTCGTGCTCTTCCCTTTCGCGCGAAACAAAACTAACTTCACCTGAGCTTTGATTTTCGGTTGGGCGATTGATTTTTCGTGCGGCGAAAAAGGGAAAAGAGGGCCTTCTTGCGGTTAGCCGAAGTCAGCCTTGTGGACCACGAATTGCGGAGGGATTCTCTGCATTCCTTGCATTTCTACGAAAGTGTCCTAGGCTATTTAAAGAATTTGAATTTGGTTGGCGTGGCTGACCATGGTCTTTTCAACGACTGCTCACGCCACAGCAAGGAGCAAGATATACACCTGCCCAGGGGCTTGAGGGCTGAGGGATGACGGACCACTGCATTCACGCCTTACTGTGCTGCTTTACGGCAGGTCTGTGGCTGCCATGTTGGGTGCTGTTTTGCTGCTGCGGCGAGGAGGGGAGGACGAGTACGAAGACTACCACGACGACTACAGCTGTGAAGACGACAGCGGTCCCGCCACTACACCGCCCAGATGACATTCCGAGGCCCAGCCTCTTTGCTGCCCCGAAGAACCCACCGCGCCGCCCCTCCTACACCAGGCCCGGTTCGAGACTCGACCTGATGGAGCCACCTTCACGGGCGACAAGTTCAACGGCCAGCGCCACGGCTTCGGCACCTACTGCTTCCCCGCCTACGACCCTCGGCTGTCCTACGAGGGCGGGTGGAAGCACAACCGGGAGCACAGGCAGGGCGCGCTCGACGACCGCGAAGGCTCGCGGCACGAAGGGGACTGGGCGCACGGCCTCAGGCACGGGCCTGGCCAGGCCACGAGCGCCAGGGGCGAGGTCACCCAGGGTGTGTTGGTGAGCGACAAGCTGCACGGCCGGGCCAAGTGTGTGCTGGCCAACGGCTGCGAGGCCCACGGCGACTTCGTGTGCGACAAGAGGGAGGGCATGTGGATGCTGGTGAGCCCGCCTCACAGCGGGGCGATGACGGTGATGAGCCTGTGGCAAGACAACCACTTTGACAAGTTCGCTGGTGCCATCCCCGTGCCAACAACTACCCAGATCTCGTCCCTGCTCGATGCCACCCTCGTTTGGGCGGACCACCTTCAAGCCATCAATGGCTCCTACACCGCGTACCAACCGACCCACATGTAGCCTTCCTCATAGCAATGCTTCCATTGGAGGTTATTGAATAAAAATGAGAGTAAAGTAAAAACAAATATCAATACAGCACAAAGATGGCAGCGGCGACGGAGGAGAAGGTGAGGAAACAGATAGAGTTCTATCTGAGCAGCAGCAACTTGATGAAGGACAAGTTTCTGCGGCCCATCGTGCAAGCCGATCCGAAGGGCTACGTGGACGTGGCGATGTTCGCCAATTTCCCACGGGTCCAATCTATCACTCGCGATTTGGAGCTGCTCGTGCGTGCCCTGCGCAAATCGTCCACGCTCAAGGTCAATCGGGACGGCACGCGTGTAAAGAGGAAGGAGCCCTTTGTCGAATACGACACTGAAGCCAACACCGTCTACGCGGTACGCATCTCCAATCGCTAAATTTTGCGATTTAATCACTTTACCGACTCGACTCTCTTCTTTGTTCACCTTATCGTTTGGTGGTGCCTGTGATGCGAGTGTGCAGGAGCACTTGCCCGAAGGATATGACCACGATGTGGTGCGTGGCATGTTCGAGCAGCATGGAGCGGTCAACTACGTGTCGCTCCCGCGCAACCCGGACAAGTCGTTCAAGGGCTTCGCCTTCATCGAGTTCGCCCAGCACGACGGGGCCGTCGCCGCCGTCAACGCTCTCAACGCCTTCCACCCCACCGACAACCCCACGGGCCTGCGCGTCTTGCACAAGTGCGTCTTCCAGTGTGTGTGGTCGTGTGCGTGTGCGTGCGGTGGAGTAGCACACGACCTGGTCTGATCCCTCCGCACGCGTACAGGAATGACTGGCTGGAGATGAAGAGGAAGTTTCAGCAGATGCAGCGAGGAATCACCTCGCGGCCTGCCAGCCTGGCCAAGAAGGAAGAGGAGGAGGAGAAGGACGAAGGTGCAGAGGAATCGAAACCGGACGTGAAGAAGAAGGAGAAGGAGAAGGAGAGCGACGACGAAACGACAAGCAGCAAGAAGAAGGCGAAGAAGAGAAAGCGAAGCAGTGATGGAAAGGAGGAATCAAAAAAGAAGAAGAAGAAGAGCAAGAAGGAGGAGGAAGAGAACAAAAAGAAGAAGGCAAAGAAGCAAAAATCGGAGAGTGATGAAGAACAGAAGGAGAAGAAGAGAAAAAAGAAGGAGAAGAAGGAGAAGACCAAAGATGAAGAAACGAAAAAGAAGAAGAAGAGTAAGAAAGGCAAGGGAGAGGAAGAAGACAAGAAGAAGAAGAAGTCAAAGAAGAACAAATAAACTCGTCAGTACCCTGCAGTCATGCGAGCCCTTGGTCATGGAGCGAAACCAGCTGTGGAGTAAAAATCGATTGATCATATTTACAGGAAGCGAATGGAAATGGTGCACACAAGCACTACGTGGTGTGGTGTGTGTTCGTGGTGTCGGCGTCTAATCCGGTGCGATGTCAATGTACCGTACAGACGCGAGCAGGGCTGATCTAGCAGTAGCTGCACACGCCCTCTTGCTGCTCTTCGGAGTCTTGATTCATGGAGACGGTGCCGGTGGCCTTGGTCTCCTTCTCGTAGAGACTGGGCGTTTCGAGAATCTATGTTGGAGCACGTAGTACATGTAGATAGCAAATGTCATCACAACTCGGTCAAAGAAGATGCCAATTAGCTTGCTGTCCTGTACCTTTGTCACCAACTCCTCGAACGCCTGCTGAATGCCGAGCTTGGTCTTGGCCGAGCACTCGATGAACACCTGAAGTTCGTGTAAGCCATTGAAGTAGGAGCGGCAAAAGGTGTTGCTGTACCATCGCCTTAGATTTGGCAAAGGCAAGACCCTCTTCCCTGGACACTTGTCTGTCTCCGAGGTCGATCTTGTTGGCCACCAGAAGCTTCACCACATCACTGGGCGACAGGGCACGCAGTCAGTGAATGCGGTGGACAAGCAGAGAACAGGGGTGCGTGTACCTGTTGTTGCAGTACATCTCGATCTCGTTCAACCACACGCTCAAGTGCTGGAAGCTCTCCCGGGAAGACACGTCGTAGACTAAGTGGCACCAACACGCGACGTGTATGTCTCAAGGTTAGGATCGTGCACCGCTGTTTGAGTAGACTGAGTTGCGTACCCAAGATGATGCCTTGGGTGCCCCGGTAGTAGGAGCTCGTCAGAGATCTGAACTTCTCTTGCCCAGCTGTTTGTGAAGAGACAACAGGGATTAGGCCTGTGCGTGTGTTGTTGGCGAGGGGGAAACCAGCATTACCCGTATCCCAAATGGTGAGGTTGATCCTCTTTGCGCCCAGCTGTATAGTCTTGACCTTGAAATCGACGCCTTCACAAACAGAGCCACACATTAATAAAAGAGCTATGGGGTGATTATGAGAGGCGCGCACCGATGGTGACGGGGTGTTCATCGTCGAATTCATCCTCCGTGAAGCGCAGCAAAATGGAAGATTTGCCCACGCTTGAGTCGCCAATTATGAGAAGCTTGAAGAGGTGATCAAAATGTGATGCGCTGCCTGTGGTGCCCTCCATCCTGTGTTTCTTTACCAAAAGATGCCCAGCTTTGATGCTCGATCTCTAACGTGGCCCGATTCGTTTGCGGTTCGCGTTCGTTTTCCCCCGCTTTTCCCTTCTGCGACGTGGCAGCGCAAGCCAGAGAACCGAAGTGGGCGCCCAACGTGAGCTCGTGGGCAGGTGGTTGGAGCCTGACTTCTCTCGGTTAGATGCTCATGATGAGCATGTGGCGGCCGTGCGAGGGCATCGGCTGGCTCGGTATAAGCTGATACTCTCGCGCATCACTAGCGCAAGACGGAATGGAATGTCTGCAACGCTAAACGAGGGAAAGGCGGGGTAGGGTATCACAAAGAGGGCTTTAGTGGAGGCTGACACGTGAAGACACTAACGGAGTGGGTGGTCTAGTGGTGGCCGTGCTCGTCCTGGATCATGGCGTCGGGGAGGATTCTGCAAATGGTGCGAGGGAGGAAGTGAGCACCAGAGCACACAGACTGAGACGAGTGCGCACTCATGCCCAGGCCAGCGCAGGAGGGGGCGTGATGAAGTGACAAAAAGCAAAAACTGTCTAACCTTTCCCAAAGGGGCTTCTTGTTCTTGTGGTACGCGGCGAGCTTGCGCTTGTAGTCAGGGTCGTCCACCTTAGTCCACGCGCTCCAGCGCTGGGACGGAACGGGAATGGTGGGGTGGCTCAGCAGCCGTCTCTGCGCGGGGTAGCGTGGTGAGGTCATGCGAAAAAGTGGTTCACGGACACACAAGAGGGGGGGACCTCGTTGGCGGCGGAAATGAAGAAGACAGCGCCAGCAATGGCGAAGTTAAGGCCCAGGACGATCCTAAGATTGCGCTGCGCGTTCGGGGGGTTCTCGCACCACCAACCGCCGGCAGGCGACCAGACCTAGGAAGAAAAATTAAAGGCCAATTTGGTGGCGTAGATTAGCTGCCGATAAAGGCCATGCTTGCCAATCAATAGCCGTTCATATTGAATGCAACCATACCCACTTGGGGAACGGGAAACGAGGACCTCCACCCATTATTGTTGAATTGATTGAATGCTCTCTGATGCGCAAGTCAGTCGGAGGCAACTTGCAAGAAATGAAAGGAAAACATAAAAGAAAGAAAACTCATAATCAGATCGACGATGGAAGGAGAGGCTACACAGGCGATTGACCAACAGCAAGAGAAAATCAAACGACCTTTGGTGAGCCCCACTCCACTCAGTGATCGACTACAATATATCAGCTCTTTTAACAGCTCGAATTTGAGAATTCGGCTCAATCAAGTTGCCCTAAAGTGACTCTCTTTCTGCACAGGCTCTGCGCCAACCTGAGGTGTTTGAGACTCCCGATGCAGAAGACAGTGGCCCCATCGTGGTGGTCGTTGAGGTGCTCTCCCCTTCCCCCGACCCCACCCCCACGCTCCACCTCGCTGGACTCTCACACGACCCTCGCCTCTAGGAACGAGACAACGCGAACATCGACAGGACTGGCGTGACACCCAACAAGGCATTCGCTCGCTTCTACGACAAGGGGTTTGACTCTGCGCAAGGTGCATACACCACCCACTGCAGCGCGCTTTGTGCGCCAGTTTGTGACCATCGCTCGATTCCTGGTGTAATGTCTGATGCGCATTCTCCTCGCCTGTGGTGGTGGTCTACTAGACTTCTCCTCGACGGTGCGGCGTGCGTCGAAGCAAAAGGAGTTTGAGGCCTCCAAGGAGGACCTCAAGTCGCTCCAGGAGACGCCGCTGCAGAGGTTCCAGCGTCTGCAATCCGAAGTCAGGGAGCTGAGCGAGGAGCTCAGCGCCGCGGCCGAGGTGCGTACCCTCCATCCGCGCATCCTGGTGGTGGTGCGTTCGAGTTGCTGACATGTCGAGTGTCACACGTTACAGAAGCGCACGCCTTTGGAGCAGGACATCCCCGCACTGGAGATCGCCGACGAGGTATTCACTCACCACTGAATCACCACATTGCGTGCTTTGATGCACTTTTGTATCATTGTGCACTCATCTCGCAACGTTTGGTGATATCCTGCGAGCCACAGGTGCAACAGCTGCAGGTGCAACTGGAGGACCTGATCGCCAAGGAGGAGCACCGACCTTTCCTCAACCCCAACTACGAGAACGAGCAGTCCTCCATTCTTCAGGCCAACCTCTCCAAGAAGCTCATTTCTCACTTGGAGGCCGTCGGGGCCAAGGACAAGAGGAAGCAGGAGGACGCGTCGAGCGACGACAAGGGGCAGGTACAATGCTGCTCCGCTCTGCGCCCCCGCCCAACTGGTGATGTTCGTCCGTAGTGTCACACACTCATTCGCCGCACACGTGCCCACGGATGCGCAGATCACGTACGAGCTCTATTACACGCCGGCGCTTGCCGAAAGCGCTAAGGAGGGAAGCGAGCTGTCTGTACTGTCAGAGATGGATAGACGGATGGCGCAGCTGGAGAAGCTGTTGGGCGCCAACACCTTCATGGTACGTCGGCCAGCCGCTCTGTGTGCACGGCCAGACGACTCGACCATTGATGGCAACACACACGCGCGCGCACAACGCACACAACAGGGAAACCTGCCGGCGAACGACATGCTCTCGTTGGTCGAGTCTATGAACGACAAGCTCAGTCTTCTCAACCAAGTGGAGCTGGATAAGGTGGACAGGAAGCTCAAGATGCTCTCGCTCGAGCTCGACGACATTGCCCGCAGCGAGGAGAAGACTGGGCTCCCAGCGCACCAGGAAAAGAAGGTGCCTTCTACTGTTCCGCTCTACTCGCTGGTCTTTGGCTCGTTGGGCTGACGCCACCTCTTCGTCTGCTCGTAGGTCAATGAAGTGTACGAGATGATGGCGCGAGCAGACGCCACCATTCAGCAGATGCCGGCCATCATCGCCCGTCTGCAATCGCTGCGCCCGCTGCACGAGGAGAGCCTCACCTTCTCCCAGACCCTGCGCCATCTTCACAACCAGCAGTCCCAGATCGTTCACATGCTGTCGTCTCACAACGCTCACCTCATCAAGGTACCTTGACCACCCGGCCCACAGAGGACTGGTTCCAGTGTTTGGCTCACTTTTCTTTTCTGTTGCAGGTGGAGGACGGGCTTGCCGAGAACATGGCCACCATCCAGAAGAACGTCGACGCCCTGAACGCTCGCATCGAAAAGGTGGCCGAGAAGCTTTCCTCTGCTTAGTCGCTCCCTTCCTCTTGTCCTCCTGCCCTTCACGCTTGTTGCGCCACAATACACGCAGCTATTTATTTTTTGATTTCTAATTAGAAAGAAGACGAAGAAAAGGCACAAAGGCCAGAGCAGAGATGATGGAAGAGGAGCTCATGGAGGGGCTGCCGAACGGCGTCGTTCCTGCCACAACAGATCCCTGGCTGGAAGCGCGATTAACCAGGCACGCCTGCCAGATCTTGAACAAATTTGAATGATATAAATTCAATCTTTATTTTTAATCTGGCCTCTCTTGCAGTGAGGAGGATGAGGCCGCGTTCTTGCAGGCGCGGCTGAAGCTGTTCATCCCGCGGCGCCCCAAAGAGCCCTTCGACCCCTACGGCGAACCTGAGAGCACCACCCGCAAGTTCATTGTGCAGGGTGCGTGATGCCCACCCTCTTGGCCCCAGGCGTCTGTTAGTCAACTCAACAACACCTCCTCCGTGGTCAGGGGAGCTGCTGAAGGTGCATCTGCTCATCCAGCGGTCAGAGCCTTTGCCAACAAACGATACTTCGAGCGAGGTGCCACCCTGCCCCTCTTTGTTGCGTGCAGCGGCTACCATCGTTGCACTTCAACCAACTCTGGACACCGTCGCCGCTCTCTGTGTGACAGGGTCTGCAAGAGCCGTTCATCACCGACTCCTTCTTCTCGAGGCTCAAGTGGGAGGTTCAGTTCCAAACGCAAAAGTTCGACGCCAAGCTGCACGCTCTGCAGTCCAAAGGCAAGGGCAAGGCCAACGTCACCGAGGCCAGGTCCAACCCCTCTCCTCCTCCTTTCAGTGTGTCCAACCAAGCTCACCTCCGCGGCTGTATGCAGACCCAAACACACCTTCGGACCCATCGAGGAGCTGAAGGGAGCTGGCATGACGCCTAACGGCCTGCCCGACCCGCAGCTCACTCGCCTCCCCACCGGCGATATCATGTACACCCTTCACATGCCCATCGGTACCACAACTCCCCACAGGAGGGCAGGCTCACCACCGGCCACTGCACACCGACCACTGCACGTGCGTGGTCTTGCGCCTTGGTTTTTAGCTGACCCTTTGTTTCACAGCGCTGCAAGAGAAATACGTTGCGAGCAAGCTTACGCTGATTCTTGCCCTGCGACCAGTAGCATTCCCAGAACGACCCTTCTCCACGCTGTCAGGTACAGGCGTTGGATACGCGCTACCGGCTCTCGTGCAGCACCCGCTCATATCGATGATCTTCTCGTGTTGGTTGTGCGCACTGGCGATACAGACGGCATGCTGGCGCAGATGGCGGTGACGAGCATGGAGTCGCGCTCGCCCATCGTGCGGACGGTGCACACGCGCGTGCGCCTCCGTCAGCCGCTCTCCGTTCATTTCGCCCGACACTCAATGGATTCGGTGCACTACATCACCCTCGCGGCCGAAAACAACTGGACATCTGCCCCTTCCGACTTCCCTCAGGTACCGCCCCAGCCACTCGCTCGCTCAGCAGAGTCTAGCATGTCTGACCGCGACGGCGCCCGCATCACCTACAGGCCAAGCTAGCCGAGCACTGCTTGCACCTGCAGAACATTTGGTTGCAAAAGGACGCCACGAAGCTGCTCACCACCTCGCCAAAGTCGACCACGGAAAAGAAAGACGCCGAGACCAAGCTCGCCGATATGCAACAGTCGATGCCCGCACCGCTATTCGAGCAAACAGTAGTAATTTTTCCCCTAAGCACACACTAGTCGTTGCGTTCAGTGCTAACTCAAACTATTCACTCACAGGTTTTACAAGGCAACAAAAGCATGAGCGTCAGCGCAGCCGCACGTAAGCCCTTCAAGCTGGTCAAGATCGACTTCGACCATCATTTCCGCCACACCATAGAGAAGGTGCGTACTCGATTCTACCACTTTCGCACACAACCAAACGTCTGCGTGCCTGACGCATCTCTATATAGGGCGAGATGCCGCTGAAACTGAGCGTCGGAGACAGCTACGCGTCGGTCGTCACGATTGAGGGTCGCCCTGGTGCAAGCGGCATGGGCGATGCTGCTGGCACGCTCCAGTCCACCATTATGGTAGCCTGGACCGCCGCGTGTCTCTTTGCGCCCATTCTCTCTCGCTACGACTTCCAGTGGCCCAAGCCCGAGTCTCCCTCGCTGCTGCTCTCGCTCAACGCCCCGTCTCCCGCCCCGCTGGGCCAGATCTTCCCGGTCCACCTCACCCTCTCCAATTTCAGCGCCAAGAAGGTGGCCCTCGAGCTCCTCGTCCCCTCGGCCAGCTCGCGCTCGCCCAGCCACCCGCCGCTGGTCGACGACATATCGCCCACGTCGCCGCGCGCCGGATCCCCGCCGCCCGTCGAGCGTAAGAAGGTGGTGACGGGCAAGGTCGCCAGTACTTCCACGACCGCTCAACCTCCGATGACGAAGGGCGCAGCGACGGAGAGCTCCTCGATCACCCTCGGGGCGATGAGCGCCTCCTTGTCCACCATACCGCAGCCCCCACCGTCGTATCGAGCCCGGTCGTCCCAGAGTCTCTAGCTTCATCTGCCTCGCACGCAGCCATCACAGGTATTGCCCCTCCTCCGTGTGGCAGTTCAACACTCAATCTGACTGTCCACCACCACTCACCACCACCCACCACCACCACCCCAGCGACCGGACCGTCGGATGCCAGTCCCGGTAAGTTGGCAGTACCGGGCACGCGACCGCGAGCCGCGAGCCGCGGCGGCAACTCAGGCCAACACCGACGCTCGTCATCCCTGGACAATCCGTTCACACCGCCGCCTCGCTTGCCCGCCGCGGCTTTACGGGCTTCCCCGGCTCAAGGACAGATCGCCAGGTACCACACTAAACCCAATGTAGAACACCTCCCATGATACGCGTTTGTTGGTTGGTAGTGGTGCTAATGACGGCGATCAATGATCGTTGGCGCAGCGCCAGGTCGCCTCGCAAGGACATCAAAGACGACTTGGTCATCCCGCCTACGCTGACAGATGTTGGCCTCCTTTTCTGCCTGCAAAAGACGGTCAAGATCGGGTATGGCCACGACACGATGCGTTCACTTGGTCATGTGTCCTGCAGCTGATTCTGGAGGGGCTTCGTTTTTTCCAGAGAGGTGGAGGCCAACAGTTCGGTGCGAGTGAAGGTGGACTACGTGGCGGGCAAGGAGGGCGTGTACGATCTGAAGCCCTTCGTCGTCGTCGACACCATCACCAACCAGCGCTACCTTCTCAAACACTCGCCGCTCATCTACGTGCTCCCGCCTGTGGCCACCTCCACACCGTCGCCGTAGGCGCAAAGCTTGAAACGGAAAAAGAAAAGAAAAAGAAAAATGTTGTCCAAAAGGCCTTCTTGGCGAGCATGGAGATGGAGGAGCAGCAGGGTGAGGTCATCACCATACGCGGGGATGAAGAGGACTATTACTCGCAGGAGGGGGACGAGGACGATGACGCTTGGCATCGTGCGCGCAGGCGGGGCTCCGACGATGACGACAGCGGCGGCGACCCCGCGCCCGCCCCGCGTAGTGGCACTAATCCAATCAGCACGGAGAGCGAGCACAACCAACATGCCGACCAAAAGCCAACCGGTGGCCAAGGTGCGATCACCTTCACTCATTTCCATCTGCTGTTTGCCAACATCTAACTTTGTAGACAGCAGATTTGATGAACACCGGGCTGCCGGCCGCAGCAGAGGCTCTGATGGCGGGTGGACCGCAAGCCAAAGCGAAAAGGGGCAAAAAGAAGGCCAAACGCCGAATGAAAGGCAAGCAGACCAACGACAACCCCCCCGAACCAAACACCGACTCTCGCTCCAACCCGCTAGCCATGGCGGATGCTGGTGACGTAGGGTCGGTAAGCACTTCGACCATCCCTACCGAACGGCCGCCAAGTGGCCAGAACCAGGGACGTGGAGGCCGAGGGCGCGAGCGAGGTAGACCGGAACGGCGCGGTATGACGCCGCAAGTGATCGAGCGCTTCTGCGCGGAGCTGAAGCAGCAGCCGAGCGAGCTGGTTGCGACTAAGCTCGCCGAGAAGCTGTACGAAAGGAAGAAAGACAAGATCTGTACGTCGTGCCACTCTCTCGTACAGTACCATGTTCACACCAAGCTAACAACTCACGATCACCATCAACACACACCAGCAAAAATTCTGACGGTGCTGGGCCTGGAACGGACGTTGGACCTCTTCTCGGAGACGATGGCCCGCGAGAGGCAAGGCGGAATGATGATTCCCGCGTCCGGCCGGCCAAGAAGGAGGGAGAACAGCGGAGAAGGTACGAATCTCTCTGTCCTCTCTTGGGCCGCGAAATCATCACACCTTCTTCCGCTTCCTCTTGCGCGCGATCCAGATCGAGCGGCGGAGTGTTCTTGACGCTGCTTAAGGAGCGCGCCACCAAGCCGGAACTAGCGCTCATCAACGAAGAGGAGACCAAGCTCAAGAGGTCAACGCGCAAACGAAAGCGGGGAACGGGAGGAGGAGCTGCTGCAGCTGCTCCCGACGAGGGCATCAGTACGTCGCGGATCAGAGCCGATGACGACACCAGGCAAGAAGACAACTGCGACGATGAAGAAGGAGGACGTAGCAAGGTTCGCGATTTTGAAGTGATCGAAGCCCAGCCCTCGAGCCAGGTCGAGGCCGAGCTGCCCGATCGCACCACCCTCGAGATCACGCGACAGCAGAAGAAAAATCATCAGAAAAAGAAGCATCGTCGCGGCAAGCGACTCAAGCGAACCGACGACAGCCTCGGCGCCATCGTGGTGCCTCAAGCGGGGGCCGCCGCCGATGACAACCCCTTCGGCGCCGTGTGGTGATGGCTGGTGGCGGCTGCGTGCGCGTGCGGTTGTGAGTGTGCGTGTTATTGACCACACACGACCTGGCTTGAAGGGTGACGTCACGCCTCGCTGTCGCGTTCACAAAAAAACCGAAAATGAAAATTTATTGGGAAATAAGCACATTAAAAAAGGGGCCCAAAGATGTCTGACTCAGAGGGAGCGATGAGCGGAGAGGACTACTATGAGGAGGACGAGTATGCCGAGGAGGAGGAAGATGATATGGATGAATACACGGCAGACGACAACGAGGATGAAATCGAGGAAGAGGATGATTTGATACAGGAGGACATCCCCTTCCATGAAGGTGCAGCCTTCTTTTTTAAAGAGTTTGGGGGGGGGGTTCGACAGATGCATCGCCTCAACGTTGGTTTGTTGTTGTCTAGTCTTGTGCTGAGCGAGAAACTTGATGATGGCCAACCACGCCTCGCTTTGTGTGCAGACGACAGTGTGGCCAGGGAGGAGCGGGGAAAGCTGCACCGCAAGCACTACCGCTGCTTGACCCAGAAGGAGCTGCGCGAGCTGCAGGACGCCCACATACGCCAGGCTAACGAGTTTCTCAACGTACGTCGCAGTCCCTCACCACCGCTGCGTCACGTGAGCTCACCATCGGCCGGCGCGGGTGCAGGTCAATACGGCGCTGGTGCGCATCGTGCTCAAGCACTTCAAGTGGGACGTGGAGAAGCTGCTGCAACAGTGGATGGAGGAGGGCAAGGACAACGTGTTCAAAAAGGCCGGCGTGCAGCTGCACGAGGAGGACGAGGCGCCGACCGAGGACAAGCCACAACCACCGGCCAAGGACGCCACCGTCAAGGACTGCGAGATCTGCTACGGCGAAATCAGCCCCGACGAGGTACCAGCGCAGTACTTCACTTCTATCGGACCCTTTTCTTGGGAGCAGCTTGGCTAACGCGTAGTGTCGGCGATCGACGTCGCACCACCATCATCACCACCACCAGTCTTACGCGGTATCGTGCGGCCACACCTTTTGCGGCGATTGCTGGGGAAACTACCTCACCCTCAAGATCAACGAAGAGGTACTGTATGCCCTACCATGCCATCCAGTGCTCCAATTTCCTGACTTGCTGGACTCTGGCTGCGCTGCTCTTAGGGCCAGAAATCGAGCCACCTCACCTGTATGGGACACAAATGCAACGTGCGCGTGGACGAAGCCACTGTGGAAAAGGTTTGTTAAGCACACACTCACAGCCACACTCACACAGTGTTGCAGCGTGGCCCAGTCATGCGCGCGTGACTATCTAACGTTCACGAAACGTGTCATGTTGTGCAGTTGGTCGCACCCGACGTGTTTGACAAATACATGGGCTTCCTCCTCAGTGCGTATGTGGATGACCATCCGCTCTTGACCTGGTGCCCTGCCGCCGGGTGCGGCCGAGCGATCAAGGTGCCCCACCACCCACTCACACCACCATATATAGTGTCCGGCAAATTGATTGCACATCCACACCACTCGCCACTCCGCCCAACACTCTGCATGCAGATCACGCCCGGTCCTACAAACGTGGGTGTGCTCTGCGACTGCCAGCACCTGTTCTGCTTCGAGTGCGGGCAGGAAGCGCACGCGCCCGCCACATGCGGCATGCTGGTGGCTTGGAAGGCCAAGGCCAAGGACGGCAGCGAGACCACCAACTGGTACGGGACCTCCCTCGACCCCTTTAAAGTGTCAACCGCCGCTCACCGTGCTCTTCCCTCCCGCTCCAACCACTCCAGGTTGCTGTCGCACACCAAGTCCTGTCCCAAGTGCGGCAAGCCCGTGGAAAAGAACGGAGGCTGCAACCACATCACCGTACTGAACCCAGGCCCTTCACCCCAGCCGCCGCCGGTTCATGTTCGGGCGCTAACCAAACCCTTCTTCTCGTTCCCTTCAAACAGTGTCCGTGCGGTGCTCACTTCTGCTGGTATGGCTTGACAACGCGCGTTGCACACGACCACGACCAACACAGTTGAGCCCCTGTGTATCATCTTAACGTGGTTGTGGGGATTGCGTACATACAGGATGTGTCTCGGCCTGTTCGATTCGGTGAAGGTGTACCAGCACTCGTGCAACGCCTTCGATGACAAGAACGCCTTCTCGTTCGATGCGGCCCAGCGCGCTCAGGCCAAGCTCGAGCGCTACCTCCACTACTCCACTCGCTACGACAACCATGCCAAGGTCTGCCACCACAACCAATTACATACAACAGCGAAGCATCGCTGACCCTTCTTGTATGGCGTGTCTGGCGTGTCCCTGCAGAGCAAGGAACTGGAGTCGAAGCTGATGGGCACCATGAAGCAGAAGACGATCGAACTGGGCGAGATGGACACCGGCAACTCGTCGTGGATCGACCTCCGGTACCTCGAGGAGTCCACCAGGCAGCTCTTCCTCGTACGCTCTCTTCTTACTTGTGGCCACACCACAAACAATTCGTAATATCTGCTTTGTCGTGCTGACGTGTTCGCTGCGCGGCAGTGCCGAGACATCCTGAAGTGGACGTACGTGTTCGCCTTCTTCATGTTTGACAAGGACGAACAGACGCCGGCCATCCTCAAGCCCTTCAAGTACGTAATAACCACGGCTGCACGCGCCTTAATTGAATCGCGATGGGCTGTGCTGACGTTTCGACCAAAAGGCCCTTCGTGGGGCCGAGGGACGTGGCTCAGGCCAAGGAGCAGTTCGAGTACCACCAGGAAGAACTTGAGACCACCACAGAGAGACTCTCGGGTACACACGCCCACCTGACGCCCTTGCAAGCGATGGGCAGCGGCTCACCACGCACGCACGCACGCACGCACGCACGCACGCACGCACGCACGCACGCACGCACGCACAGGCCTACTAGAGAAAACGACGACGCAGATCTTGGAGGACAAGGTACTGTCTGCCCTATGTGCACCAGCAGCGAAACGAGACCCGTTTGTTTGGTCTCACCCTCTTTCTCTCTCAACCCACTTTCCCTTTCCTCTATGATTGCGATGACTAGAACTACAGGATCAACGTGATCGATGTCACCCGGCTGGCGCTGAATAAGTTCAACGCCATGTTCGGGGTACACCTGCACCTCCACCCACCCACCCACCCACCACTCCAACCAATGTCGCTTACTTTTCTATGCAACGCACAGTCGGTGGAGTGGATCCAGGAGAAGGTGGCGATGGGTAGCTTCCAGAAGGAGGAGAAGCTGATGCCGGCCGCCAAGAAGTCCAAGGTCGAGCCGAAGCCGGCCAGCTCCGCCTCCAACAACCGGGCCGCCCTGTTCGGCTCGGGACGGCGTCGCGGAAACCACAGACAACAGCCGCCCGTGCCCCAGCCTGGTGCGCACTGTTCCCTCTGGCGAGCTACGGGCCTTGACATTGAACTCATATGCTACCACGACAGAGCCCACCGAAGAAGATGTCGAGGAGGAGCTTGAGCGAGTCGAAACGGACACGGGCAGACGCAGGCGAACTGCCGCCGACGAGGAGGAAGAGCTGAGAAGAGCGATCGAGGAGTCGATGAAGGTGCGTCCGTTTGTGTTGTGGTAGTGTATCGCGTTGTGGAAGTACGCTTCTCAAGTTTGCCCTCGTGCCACCACGTGCTCACGCGTCGTTTGTGCTGGCCGACCACATTATCAGGAATTCGAACCTCCCACCCCCGCAGCTGGTGCCGGAGGTGGTGCAGTGGACGAGGATGAAGAGCTGCAGCGAGCCATCCAGGCCTCTCTGAACGACATGTGAGCACCACCCTCTGCCACATTCCTTTGCCTCACTTTCCGTGTTCGGAGTTGTTTCTTTTTTGGCAAGTCGACCGAAAAGACAGACGAACCGGAAGAGACATCTTGCTGTGGGGGATTGCTGTGGTGATCCCCTGTAGCTACATATAGCTATCAGCCTCGGTGATTGGCTGCTTCTCTCTCATGGAGATCACTTCCCGTCCCGGCGCTTACTTTAAATAGTGGTTCCTCTCTTCTTCTCCTCTTTCTATTCATCATCACCAACCCAACTACACCAATCAACCTTTCTACCTTCAACCACCAACCATTCACCACCCTATCAACATGTCTGAGCCTTCCAAGACCGCCGCCTACACTGACATCGCCCTCGGCGCTGCCAAGGAGAACGTCGGCTGGGCCGTCCGCAACGAGCAGATGGAGGCCGAGGGCCTCGCGGTCAAGGAGAAGGGCAACGCCGAGCTCCAGGCGGCCAAGGCCGAGCAGCGCCTCATCGCCACCAAGGACCAGGTCAAGGGCAACATCAAGGAGGCCGCCGGCAACCTGCTCGGCAACGAGCAGTGGCACGTCGAGGGCAAGGTCGCCCAGCTCAAGGGCGATGCCCGCCAGGCCGCCAACCTGTAGTAGGTCCCACCATCAAACACCACGATTGGCTTGGGCGCCAGTTTCTCAATAATAATAAATTTCAATTATTTATAAATAATTAAATTCAGGAAAAGAGTGAAAAATGCAAGGAATGCACGTAGTTGTTGAGACACACACACGCAAGAAGATGAAGCAGCGCTCCAGGTCGGTGGCCACGCCTGACGTCAAAGGGGCCAGCCCACGAAGTGGTGGCATGCTGAAGGGTGGGACCCCAAAAACGGGCAGCGGTGGCAGAAAGCGAGGAGATGGAGGGGGCGGGTGGTTTTCTGGCTGGGGCGGCGGCTGGGTGTGGTACGGGGTGCTGGTGCTGCTGCGCGGGTGGGGCGCAGTGGGGCCGTGGGGCTGGTGGTCCGGCTACGTGCACCCGGACGAGTTCTTCCAGTCGCCCGAGGTGGCGGCCGGCGCCGTACTCGGCCACACCCAGCTCGCCACCCCCTGGGAGTTCCACCCGTCCTTCGCCTGCCGCTCCATTTCTCTGCCGTGCGTGCCCCCCCCCTCACTTGGTGTGCGCCGCCGCACTGTCTCTTTCGTTCTTTGATTGCGCTCTTGGCCTCACACGGCGAGGCGGGTGCCAGGCTGCTCGTGAGCGGGATTCCCTTCGCCGCACTCGAGTACCTCAACCGCGTAGTGCCGCCGCTGGTGCCCGGTACACCCACACACACACACACCACACTCACTCTCACACTCACACACACACACGCATTGATTGCGCCAAGACTGACAGACCAGGCAACTACGCAGAGGGAACTCTTCTTTCGGGCTTTGCGCTCCTCGTCGCGCCGCGCTTCGCGGTCTTCCTGCTCTCCCTCATCGTCGGTACTCTGCTCTGCGCCTTCCACAGCCGGCGCCTCGCCTCGCTGCACTCCGCTGCGCTGCGCTGCGAGTGTCTCACCACGTGGTGCATCTCTCTCGTGCGCCGATCGCCGGCATCCACCGCGCAGACCTGTCTGCGTTGAAGATCGCTCGCGCGTGGGGTTTGAGCGCGTCCCACACCGTGTCGGTTCTCCTGACCCTCGCCAGGTACCCCGCTACCATCACGGCGTGATTCGCGGCAACCGGGTGGTAGCTCACGTGATTGCACTTCATGGGCTGCACGTGCAGCTCGTGGGTGATGCTGCTCTTCCACACGCGGACGTTCTCCAACACCATCGAGTCCATCATTTTCGCCTTCTCCGCCTTCATCGCCCTCCGCGCCATGGCACCACAACAGGTACCATCTGCTCAGCTCGTCGTCGTTGTCGTCGTTGCGCTGAACAGTCGCTTGATGTGTGCACGAGAAGAAAGGGCTCGGGCTGCTGTGGGACGCGGTGCTGGGGATGACTATCGCCGCCGGTGTCTTCACGCGGTTCACCTACCTGTTCTTCTTCATGCCCGTCGGACTTGCCTACCTGCTCTTCCACTCGCGCTCCGGCCTGTGGCCCACCCAACGTACGCCCTCCCTCTTTCCCTCGCGGCCACGACCACACGCGCGCGCGCGGTCACGAGACTCGAGTTCGCTGGGGCTGAGCCTATCATCGCAACCCAGCGGGGCATCGGTTCGTGGGCCGTGCGGTGGCGATGTTCGGCCGGCTGTGCGTGATGCTCGCGGGCTTCCTGGCTCTGTCGTTCCTCCTGGTCGTGCTCGACTCTCTGTACTTTGGCACCCTCACGCTCTCGCTGCACGGATCGGTACGGCTCCACTTGATCGTCAGTCGTGTTGTGTTGCGTCGCCACCTCATATTGTCGTGCGGTGCGTGCGGTGTGCGGTGTGTGCGGTGCGCGTGTGCGGTGGGGCAGGTGGTGCCCTGGCACGGACTGGTGGCTGTGCTATCACGACCAGCCGAGTGGGCGCACGTCGCTTTCGCCGGCACTCTCACCCTCACGCCATGGAACAGCCTGCGCTACAACATGCAAGTCGACAATCTCAGTACGCGCGCGTAGCCTTGTCAGCCTCGTCGCCCTGTACACCGTCTCACCAGCTGTGTTGTGTGGGTCGTGTGGGTCGTGTGTGTGTGTGTGTGTGGTATGCAGAGGAGCATGGAATCCACCCGCACTACACGCACGCGCTGGTCAACTTCCCTCTCCTCTACGGGCCGCTGGCACTGGCCGCCTGCGCCAACGGCATCCGCTTCGTGTGGTCTCTTCTGGCCGGCGCCCAAGGCCAGCCCAAGTCGGTCACCACCTCTGACTCCGCCACCACCACGCTGCGGCGCCGCGGCCGGTGGGTCCTGGCCCTGTCGATCGTCTCCGGACTCGGCATCCTGTCTCTAGCACCCCACCAGGTGCCCCCGCCCTTGCCCTCCGATCCTGCGCCGTGCAGCTGCGCTCACCCTACTGGTCCCTCGGACACTAAAACTCTCGCCAGGAGCCGCGATTCCTGGTGCCGCTGGTGCTGCCGCTCTCGATCCTGTTCCCGCTCTTTGGCGGCGATGAAGAGCAGCAGAAGAAGAAGACGCAGAAGCAAACGCAGACAACAAAGCGGAGGAGTGGGAGCGGAGGGTTGACGAGCGTGGCGAAGTGTCTGCGGCCGTGGACGTGGGTGGCGTTCAACGTGGCGCTGCTCCTCTTCTTCGGCTATCTCCACCAGGCCGGTGTGGTGCCTTCCCTGCTCTCGCTTTCCTCAGCGACACCACAGGCCGGCGTACGAACATTCTCTTCATTCATCAAGATGCCGCCTGTTGTGGCCGCACAGGGCGTTTTCTGACTGTGTGCACAGGGCCAGGTCGCGCATGTGGTGTATTTCAGTACATACATGCCGCCGTGCTACCTCCTGGCCAATCGCACAGGTACTGCGCCCTCCTTCCGTTTGGCAAACGCACTAGTGTTCTCACTTCCCGCTGCTGCCGTCACTACACGCAGACCTGGTCATCCACGACGTGGGTGGCGACGCAACCAAATTGGCGGCGGTGCTTGACCTGCTGGCGCAAGGTACTACTCCGCGCAAAGCCGTCGATCGTGCCAAACACCTAACATGACCGTACAACGCCTAAACCCGGTGCAGAACCGCACGTTTACGCGGTTGTGCCCGCCAGCGTGAGCAGTGCACTGCACCTGCCGCACTTTACAAGCCAAGTGCAGTTTTGGCCAAGCCTCAGCACCGAAGACTTGCCCCGAGCCTTCGCTGAGCTCGCCTTGGTGCTCCTCCGCCGAGGCTGAGCCCACCAAAGGGCGTCGATTGCGGAGAGAGGAAGCTGTGTTTTATGGGTGAAAGACAGGAACAGAGAGATGGGGCAAAGAGAAGAGAGAAGAACTCAAAGAAGAAGGAGGGGAGGAGTGAGAAGTTCCTTTCACTTAGAACTCCTCGTCGTCATCGTCTTCGTCCTGCACCTTCTCCAGGATCTCGCTCTCGGCTTCTCGCTTCTCCTTTTGCTCTTCCTCGCTCAACGGTGACGTCTGGTGAAGTCGATCCACGGACGATGTCAGCACCATCTTCACCGCCCACGAGAAGGCCTTCTCTGGGGGGGGGTACGCCGTACCTTGGGCATGTTGGGAGGGTAGCGCATGGCACGGACGGCTTCGTTGTGCATCTTGAGGCAGAAGCTGATACGGGCGTGGTAGGCCTCCATCGGCTCCGTGGTCGAATATACATCAATGAGTTCCTTGGAGCGGAGGGTGCCGGCCTCGTGATCGAGCGTGGCGTCGATGACCTGATCTCTGATGGCCTTGGCGACGATGAACTCGGCGTCTTCGACGTTGTCCAGACGCAGCTTGTCGCACACATCCGCGAGACGGATGCGCGAGTAGGAGACGTTGATCTTACGCAGACCGGTCTTGATCACATTGTGGCGCAGTCTAGAGAGAGAAGGCAAGAGCATGAGTTTCAGAACATTTAAAGAACGCGCCATGGCATACCTCTGGATGAGAGTGTAGGTCTTGTCTGCGCGGAAGACGTCGCCAAAGGTCTTCACGACTTCGTGGAAGGCGGAGAGGTCGCCCACGCGCACGGCCTGGGTGAGCTTGAGGTAGGGCCTCAGCGCCACCTTGAGTCCGCTCGTCCTGAACACCGACCGCTCGGGAATCTCACCCATCAGAAGCTGCACAATCACCGCAACCTTGTGGACCTGCAGGGAGAACCACGAGCGCAATCGGTCAGCTTGGAGGGGGGGGAGCGGAGGGTCGATGGTGCGCGAGGTCATACCGTAACGCGGAAACCAGTAGCGCAGTTCGAGGGCGCTCTACGGATCGCCTCCTGCAGGTAGGTGTAGGCGCCTGTGTAGTCCAGCTGCATGCCCTTGATCCGGCCTATTACATAACAAAGGTAGATGGAGATTGTATGAGCCATGGTGGTGCCCGCGGTTGTTTTGACATGGTGATAGACGGACCCTGGTAGTAACGGAAGCGGGCGAGCTGGTTGGAGGAGACGGAGTCCTCCTTGATCACGGACTTAGCCTGGAGCTTGTCGGCCTGGTCGTAGAGACCAAAGTGCAGGTAGTTGCGCAGAAGCAGGTTGAGGATGGTGGCCTAAACATTGAGACAAAAGGAACGACGAGACGTCAGTGACGGTGAGCTGCGCGCAAAGGTGATGCGACTTTGCACGTACGTGCGTCTCATCGTCATGGCGCAGGCTGCTTGTTCTGTGGGCGGCCAGGAGAGTACTGTGGGGCTCGGAGGGTGAGTCGAGGAAAGCTTGCACAAGTGTGGAGGAAGATAAACGTACGGCCTGATCTCGGCCAGACGGTTGCAGTGCTCATGGGCAAGAGAGTAGTAGAAGAAGGCCCTGGCGGCCAGAGGGTTGAGTGTGCGCCTATTGTAGGTCTGCAGGCTCTTGATCATGTCCGTGGAGCAAGCGGCAGCCTGGGGACGGAGAGATAGGGTGAGTGAGCACGAGCCAGCAGTGCATGAGCCATGTGATGAACGAGGTGCCATACCTCGTCAAAGAGCTTGTTGTCCACAAGGGCGATGGTGGTGACGAGACGGAGGTAAATCTCCACCTCGGGCTGGAGGGGCAGAGGAGCAGCAGCAGCAGGCTCTTCCGTCTTCGCCGCAGCAGCGGGCTTGGTCTCCTCACTCACCGTTTCCATAGGCTCGGGCAGCTGAGTGGTCAGAGATTGCAGTGCACAAGCAGATCAATAAAGCGCAAGATTCAGTGGCTTTGATGAGAGGAGTTGGATCTGTGGGTAGCGAACCTTCGAAACGTAAGAGTGCAGCTTGGCCTTGAGTTCATTCTCATTTGCAAGCACCTCATCGACGGTCGCAGTGAGCACGTTGCGGTTGATGTGTCTTCTGGTCTTGGTGAAGAACTTACGCAACGCGCGAGCAGAGTGACGAGGCTCCTTGCTGACCACCGATTTGTTGATCTCGAGGATCTGCTCCTTGATTTCTGCAACACTACGAATTAGCATCCTTTTCAAGGGATCCCACCTAGGTTCCCTGTGGGCGGGAGGCAATCAAGCACTAATGCGGATGCGCACCCCCACTCGTCAGGTCGGCAGTCAGACCCTTGGGCTGCGAAGTGCTCGAAGTGGATGCAGTATCTGTGTTGGTTGCCATCTTCTGTCTTTCTATCTTTCTCTACTTCGCGCTTATCTTCTTTAATTGTTTGCGCGATTGATCGTCCCACGCCAGGAGCAGGCCTGCCTCGCCACGCTCGCGTTACGTGCTGTTCAGTTGTGCTGCGAAATTTCGGTCCCTAAACTTAAGAAGGCTATCTGGCAAAAAAATTATGTTCTTTTTTTCAAGTTAAAAAGCCGCTTGTTCCAGGCCTCCAGCACATCACCCCTCGCTTGGCTTTGCTCTCGTCGCTTTCAAGTTGTTCCTTCACGTTACCTTCGAGTGCAGCACAAGCCAGCACCCATCCTCGCTCTTTCCCTCTTCTTTCTCTCCGCTCCCTCCACTTCAGCTGAACAGAGTGTTCATCGCCAGTGGCGCCCAGGCCGTCGCCGACAGACAGACCACCGTGTAGTTGATGAACTTGGCCGGGATCTCGATCGAGTATCTGGTGATTGAAAGGAAGAAAGGTTAACGATCAACCTCTCCAAGAGATTGCAGTGTCAAGATCGAGGAGGGCAGTACCTCGCCTTGGTGCTCGCCTGGGACTTGGTAGGCAAAATTGAGGAAAGGAAGATGAAGGAGGCCTTCTTCATGATGAGACGAGTCATAAAGACGACCAGGTAGCCTGCAATCGCAAGACGTGCCATTAGCCAATGTCACGAATGAGGCTAAGTGGTGCACACATACCGACGAGGATGCGCGCAAAGGCCAGGAGGAAGGTCTCGCTGCTGAACAGCTCGGAGAAGTTAAGGCGGTAGAGGTTAACCTTGCCGAACATGCCCATGTGCAACAGGCCACCATTCAAGGCACCTGTCGGTGAGGTGCCGTCGCTTAGCCACAGTCTTGCAACGCATGCACGCCAAAACCATGGATACGAACCCAAAATGGTGGCGGTGTCGCCGTAGGAGTTGGTCCACTGGGGAGGGGCGGGGTAGACGGCAAGAAGGGCGGCGAGCACGACTGGCATAGCCATCATGACCTGGATGGGGCTCGTGTCGAGCACGTAGTCCACATGTTCGTTGACATTGACCCAAAGGTAGAAGCAACCGACGCCTACAAACACCAACGCCAGCGGAGGGATTAGTTTGGAGTTCAATCTGCAGAAGGTGAAAAGAAACGGGCCGAAAAAACGCGGGGAAAAGAAGAAGGAAGATGTGGATCAGGCGCGTACCGACAACGGTTCCCCAGAAGAGATCAGAAGGCGAATGCACGCCCAAGTACATGCGGGAAAGGCACACCGAGATCCAGAAGGCGAGGCCGATCGAGATGTAGACGTAGGGGTCGGAGACGGTGTGCCGATAGCAGTAGAGGGCGATGCAGAGAGGCAGTGTCGTCGCGGCGATTGCGTGCGTGCTTGGGAGGCCGTACTCGCATTCGTAGTGGTGCTCGAGCCTCGCCACGGTGTGGGCGTAGGGGCGCGGGAGCTGGAGAAGATCCTTGAGCATGTGGCCCAGGTAGCAGGAGAAGCACCAGAGGAAGACGACGCTCTCGGCGAGCTCGGTGACGAAGTGCCACCAGAGGAAAGGCAGCAGGAGGACGAAAGTCACCTCCTCGCCCAGCATCGATGCGAATCGGAAGTAGATTTCGCAGACGAGGTAGAAGAAAGATGTGAAGAAGCCGACCTTGTTCTGCTCTGGCCTCGTTCGCGTGTTCGTTTCCTTGTTGTTGTGGGTCGTCGTCGATTCATTCTGTTGGCGATTCTTGAGTGTCCTGGTAGCCTGATCCTGGGCCTTGGGGCTGTCGCTTCCCGAAGATCGCGTGGCGGCCTTCTCCTTCCCGCTGGCCGACGCAGGCTCAGGGAAGGAGACGATGTTGAGGAAGTCTCTCCTTACGCCCGCCCCGAAGAATCGCTGGAACTTGGCCACCGTCGGGAAGCCATCTTCAACCTGAATGAGCAACCAGCTCCTCACCATCGACAGCGTCGAATTTGTGGGCTTCTCTTCCATCTTGTGTTCTTACGAGATAACAGAATGCGACGCGATGTGATGCGATTTAAGGAAATTCGATTTGCTTCTGCCTGGCAGAGCACCGTCGCGTTGTTCGATGCAGCTCTCTACTCGAAATCGAATCGACCGGCGATTGGAGAAAACGCTGCCGATGATTTGGCGGACGAGAGGCGGAGGTGCAGAGGGTATAGAGGAGAGAAGGAGCGGAGATGGTGGAGGTGCGCAGGAAGCGGCGAGTTGGCTTGGCGGCAAATTGAACGTTCAATAAAACAGCGATCCCGGCACGTGTCTGCATTTTATCGCCTCAATTATCTAGGCAATATCCGGGACTCGACATTCCGGTCGGAGCTTCTGGGAGAAACGAGACTCCGCACCAGCGAGAAGCCGACCTGTTTTCCCCCTTCCCTTTGCACATCACTGAGGTGATGTGCTGTTCACAAGAGTGAGTGCCCTATGAAGTTGCATTATGGGGCAGGAAAGAAAAGGAAATGTGATGGCCCAACCAGTGGCACAGTTACAACAGGCTAAATATGATCAACCATCTTTACAATTTGAAGTCAACAGGCAACTCAGCTGTATTTTGTGTCAACTGTTACATTTTATTTTGTAGCATTTGAAGATGGGCCAAAAAACTCTTGGGAGAGATGCATGGCTTCTTCCAGAGCAAGCTCAAGTTGGGCTTGATGCTGTTGGATCCATGCTAGCTCAGCTTGTAGTCTTGCAATGGTACTACTATCCTTGCACTCATTCAATTTGTGCTGGCACTCTGCTGCAAAGGTAGTTTCAGCATCAAGCTCAGCCTTCAGTTTGCCTAACCTTGCTGTTTCCTGTAGCTTGTGTTGGTAAGGGCTAAAATAGTGGAGGCAGAGTGCTGCATGGGTACCTTGGCTGACACCACATCAACACAGTCTTGTGTGATAGACCCAGTCAAGAGTGCCACCAGAAGTGCAGGGTCAATTCTATATGCATTGCTGGCACCTGGGTGAAGTGTGGTGAGTGGAACATGCAAGTAGAAGAAGGAAGAAGAAGAAAAGGGGAGCAATCATACCTCCACCTTCATAGAAACCATAGTGGTGGATGTAGGTCACCAATCCCTTCTCCATGTCACCACCAACACAAAGGGAGAGGCCAGAGTGCACATTTTCAACCCTGTACTCAATGTCCCTGCAACAAACAACAAGAGGAGGTTAGGCCTGGATGTCACCATATCGAGAAAGAGAGTCTGATGGGCCTACCACGTTTGATTGTCAGGTGAGTTGTGCCGCTCAGGATTGAAGAAGAGTGAGAACTGCTCGCCCATGTAGAATGTGCGTGTGACTTTGATCCTCTAGTGGAATGTTGCAGCAGTGAGCCGTGGTTCACACCAACGCATGTGACGAGATGGTGGTACCTGTGGCCCACGTGGCTGCGGTAACTTGTTGCCCGGCACATCAGCCACATCGTAGGTCACCTCACCCTCGTGCTTGATGGGCTGGCGGTCCGCGCACTTGTTAGTTGCGTTCCGCGCAGCATAAAGCTCCCGTACCTTCGCAAGGGTGAGAAGAGCACGCAGGTGTGCGGCAAGATGGAGGTGCGTGGTGCCCAGTCGCTCCACCAACTCCCAGTCCTGGTGCAACACCGCCTTCAGACTCTCGCCCTCGCTGAGAAAGCCTGTATGTGACCGGTACATCCACTCTGTTGCATCTCTGGCATGCAGTTCATCGTTTAGCGATCGCACGATGCAGCTTTTTAAATCGAACAATTAAATAAAAAACAAAATAAAATCAAGATTGAAGGGTACGTACTGCGTTCTGTCCTCCAAAGGCCTTGCCCTCGCTTCGATTCGCTCGATTGAGAGTCCGTTGATTTCGTGTAACAGATCAATGTCCTCGCGGGTCTTGATGTACAGGGCGCACATCTCGTGACCAACTCTGTTTTGCCGATTTAAACTCAAAAATTGGTGGTTTGGTGCGGCGCGGACAAGACGACAGGACAAGGTGACGCGGAAAACAGAGCTTTTTTTGTAGGACCGTGCATTGTTTTGTCGTTGGGCAACAACATGGATGGCTCTAGTGCTTCTCCACCTTGTCCCTCACCCACTGGACCAGCGTGCGGACGGGCTCGCCAGCCATTCCCTTGGGGGTGTACGCGTTGCGCTGATGAAAAAAGTCAAGGGTCAGCAGATCGGGGTAAGAGTGCATTGTCACGAGAGGAGCCGGCGCGTACATCGTCAGAGTGCATCACACCGGCGATATCCATGTGCATCCACGCAGGAGTCTCGACAAACTCTGTATGGTGCAGACACATGAGCGATGAACTGAGCTACCATCAACGTTGTGCGAAGTAGCCACTACCTTTCAGGAAGAGAGCGGCAGTGCTGGAGCCAGCGGGACGACCACCGACGTTTTTCAGATCAGCATACGCCGACTTGATCTGCCTCTTGTAGGAGGAGAAGAGCGGCATCCTCCACACCTGGACAAGGCCGGGTGGGTCAGTAGTGTTCTACACACAGAAGTGCGAGGTTCGGAGCGGCGGTACCCTGGAGTCGGTCTTCCAGCCAGCTTCGTCCATCTCACGCCAAAGCTTGTCGCTGGTGGTGAATACACCCGTAGCGCCAGCTCCGAGAGCAACGACCATGGCACTGTACAAGGAGACAAAGTCAGCGCTCTGCACAGTAGGCGAAGCCGCGTGAAAGGTTGCTTACCCAGTCAGCGTGGCAACATCAATGACGGCGGCAGGCTTGAAAGAGTTAGCGTAGACCAAAGCGTCGGCCAAGATCAAGCGACCCTCAGCATCGGTGTTATCGACCTGATTGCACACCACAGATCGTAAGCTAAAACAACATTACGTCGATGACTTGCTCGCGTTCGCGTACCTCAACCGTCTTGCCATTCTTGGCGCGCAACACATCACCAGGCTTAGTGGCAGTGCCGGAAGGCATGTTTTCTGCACGTTCACAACCAGACGAGGGTCAGTGCGATGGTTGCGCCAGTTGTCCATCAAGGAAGCTGCGTACCGCACAGGGGAGTGAGACAGATCGCCTTGGTCTTGATCTGCAGCGAAGCAAGCGCCCAGACGGTGGACACGACAGCTGCGGCGCCGCCCATGTCCCCGCGCATCATGCCCATGCCCTCGGAGGGCTTGATCGAGATACCGCCGCTGATCACCACATACGCATGAGAGCCAGCCTTGTTCATCCACGTCTCAGAGACTAAATGACATACCTGTCAAAGGTAACACCCTTGCCGACGAAGATGATAGGCGCGACGTCCTGGGCTAAAGGTGCCACACGTGAGGGCAAGCTCTTAAGGGGGCGAAGCGGGGAGGTAGGAGTAGTCACCTTCATCACCAAGGGGGTTGTAGTGGATCTCCAAGAACTTGGGTGGCTCTTCGCTGCCTCGGGTCACACCCAGGAAGCAGCCCATGCCCTGCTCCTCAGCCCATGCCCTGCAAAACATGAAAAAAAAACTCACACGTTAGCGCGCCACCAGGGTGTGCAGTGGCCAGAATCGGTGGCCGAGCGTACTTGTCGTGGGCGAAGATCTTCACATCCGCCTTGTTGGGCAGCGACGCAAACTTCTCCTCAACCTTCTGAGAGAAGATGGTCGGAGTCATCAGGTTGGCCGGTGTGTCGGTGAGCCTGTTGCGGGGGAAATACTTAGTTGAGCTTTCAACTCTTAAAGCAGTAAGGTGGAGGAATGCGTACACACGAGCAAAATTCTGAGCCGTGGCGATGATCTTGCCACGGTTCCACTCCTCCTGCTTGTCGGCTTCAACTCCCCACGGCTGAACATCAACGGGCTGTGGGGCGAGAGAGCAAGGCCTCGGTCAGCCAGAGCCGGACACCAGAATCATTGACAACGCAAGTACCTCATCGTCCTTCTTCGAGAAGAGCTCATCGAACTTGTGGAGACCCAAGAGAGCTCCTTCAGCAGCAACTGCGAAGCGGAAAGACACACGGCACCACACTTAGGGTCGTCTGCGAAACGCCAATAGAAAAGGTGAAGAAGCGCGTACGCTGAACGGAGGGCAGATCGGTGAACTGGCCGAAGGACTCGACGCCGATCACCTTCGATCCAGCATCTCGGAGAAGCTGTCATGCACACCAAGTTCAACAACCGTTGTCAGTCTTCAAGAAGCCAAGCCACGACTGGCCAACAGGATGTTTCATATACCCTAGCGCCACGAGCCGCTCCCTGCCTGACGGCGTCGCTGGGCTTGGGCTGGCCTGCGCAGAAGAAGTGTCACTGATCGAAACGACATCACAATCCCGGATAGAGGGACGTGCGCACATACCTTCCCTGTAGTCCTCCTGCTCGGAGGTGAGCTTGACGTCGCGCGGGTGCTTGCCCAGTCCGACAACGGCAACGCGCGGGTAGTCCTCGCCAAGGTCGAGGAACACCTCTCCGCTGCCCACCTCGCCTGCACAGCACGGTGTCAGCAAATGTGCCCGAAAATGGGCCGGGAAGGTGGGGGCAGTGGGTGGTGCCTTTGGCGGCCTTCTTGGAGAGCTTGATACGACGGGTGAGGGCACCACTGGTGCTCTTGTCGATCGCCTGGCCTGCCGGGGTGAGCTCGCCGCCCTCGAAGATACCCACAACCACTCCGTCAACCTGCTTGTCACCTGCAGACCACCGCGACACTCGGGTGAGTAAGTGCGTTGTGTCAATTGGTTGGTGATGAAGATGCGAGAGTAGTGTCAATTTGCGCGAGATGTGATTTGCAAGCAAACCTGCGGCGGTGCTGTAACAGGTTTTGGTGGTGCCACACGTTGAGGGTGCCACAAAGATCAATTTCGTGCCGCTGGGGGATAGGCTGTGGCTGAGCAGCGGACTTCTGTGTGTCGCCGATCTTGTGAAGATGCAAGCGGCGGAAGATGACGCAGCGCCAGCACGCAGAGAAGAACGAAAAGACGCGGCACCCCACAGCAAGCACTTCGCCTTACCCTGCATCTTTCTCTTTGTGGCCCAAAAGTGTCCTTTCTTCCTCGCACGAGATCGAAACGAATGCCCACCGCAAAAAGGGGAAAATTGTCAACTCCACAAAAATAAAATAAAGGAAAATAAATTTCTTTATTTTCGTCGACAGAAAATGTTGGGATCTCCGTTGCAGAGAGATAAAATTCCCGTCGGTCCAAGCCGGCCAACATGCCGTTGTTTCTACGTGTTTTTCTCGCGAAACAAAGTCTCTTCAGGCACTCCCCGTCCGTGGCCTTGGTTCTGCGCCGTGCCGCAAAATCACTTAGAGAACGAACAGATCAAGAGAGCAAGCATTGTCTGCAGAGATTGAATTCAATTTGTAGAGCGAAAAAAAAAGAGATAATCGGGCGGCAGGTACGTCCATTTCGCGCTCTATCTACACTTGCTGGCCTGCGCTCCATTATAAATCTCATCCTCTCTGTTCAGACACACATTCGGAGACAGAAGACCGACAATAGTCAGCCAAGATGTCAGAAATAGCGAGCGCACTGTTCAACAAGGTGCTGGTGAAGGTGCTCAGCAGCTTCCTCACCTACTACATGAACAACTTCTCCAAGGAGAGCTTCAAGCTGCAGATGCTGAAGGGCACCTTTGCTCTGGCCGACATCGGTGCGGGCCACCCTTCACTTGTTTCCTTTTTGTTTTTATTGCTCACCCACCACGCACGATATTTTATTACTTTGTTGTGTCTGGCACGCGCAGAGGTAAACACACAATTTCTCAAGGAGACGATAGTGCTACCCAACTTGGAGATTACCAAGTGCTTGTGCGATAAGATCTTCATCAAGGTACGTCTTGCCCCACTTCCCCGCACTTACTTATCCTTGTAGCACGACGGTCGTCGACGGTCATTATTTAGTTCCGTTCGTTGCCGTTTAGCGGAGAAGTAAATAATAATAATACAATTTAATAGCGAAGTTAATTAACGTGAGCCGTGGACATATGAACTGACACTTGCAACGGAAAAACGCTCCTCAGATTCCCTGGCACCACATCACCACCGAGCCGATCACGTTCGACTTGGACCGGGTGGAGCTGGTGTGCGAGGAAATCCCCTTGGGCTCCAGCGAGGACCAGTCGGGCCCGTACGCTTTCCCGCGGCACCACGCATCACTTCCTCCCACACTCAAACTCACCCACCACCCACCACAACAGGAAGAAGGAGCGGCCCACGACCTCCTACGCCTGGGCGCAGCGCATGATCGATGGAATCAAGATGAACGTGGGCGAGGTGGACATGACCATGAAGTTTAACGGCTACCGGTTCGTTCATGTCGACTGGATTTGAAGATGTCATCTGTCTGTTTGAACCAGCGGGCTGACCCGGGTCATGCGGCATGCAGTGGTGTGCCCTACATCAAGAAGGTCAAGTGCAGCGGCATCTCCATCTACTCGACCGACTCGAACTGGAAGGCTGTGGACCTGAAGGAGTCCTTCGTCGAGGACAAGACCCGCTCGGAGACGCTCTTCTACAAGGTCATGGACTGCAAGTCGCTCACCGTGTCCTTTGCTCGCGCCGACCAGGCCGAGCCCGAGTTCTGCACCTTCATGCGCGACATGCCCGTCCAGATCAGAGTACCCTTCCGCGACACGCGCGACACACGCGATACAACGCTGACGCCATGCACGTACAACAGATGAAGGTGTTGCGTGACTCCAAGACGAAGGCCGTCCTGTGCGGCGACTTCCAGCTTTACCTGCCCCGTGCGGACATGTCCTTCAGCGGACAGCAGTGGAAGAACTTCATGGAGCTGCTCAAGGGTGCGTACAGGCGAACGCGTCGTGTGCGTGCGTGCGTGCGTGTGTGTGTGTGTGTGTGTGTTGCATGAAACTGAACGTTCACGTCGTGCGCACGCACACAGGCATTGTGGGCTGCTTTACGCGCACGGACCAGGAATACTCACTGTACAAAGACATCGGCAAGGACGAACGCGTCAAGGGTACACACACCTTTCATGTGACGAGGTGGGACGTGCTGGCCAGCCACTAACCAGAACACGCACATAAACACGACACACAAACACGACACACGATACACGACACACGACACACACACGCACATAAACACGACACACGACACACGAACACAAACAACTTGAAATTTAAGAAAAACCAGAAAAGACCAAGAGCTGGTGGGAAAAGAGAAAGGCGGCCAAGGACGACAAGGAAAAGACGCGCAAGCTGGCGGAGCTCGAGCTGCGCCAGAAGGCGGTGGCCGACCTCAAGAGCGTGGGAGCAGATGCTTCTCACCTGGAGGTTAGTCAGCCCTACTACTGTTTGTTTTTGTTTTGTTTGTTGCGCGCCTGCTTGCGGCGTGCGGTGTGGGAAGTGTGCTGACGCCTCCCCCCGCGCAGCAAATCCCCTCGGAAACGCACTTCCGGGTGCACATCGAGAAAGGTTCGATGAACCTGCTCGAGGAGGAGGACCGGCTCACCCTGGAGCCCTTCAAATACGCCTTCGGCCGGCTGTTCTTCGAGGTATATGGATTCCCAATGAACCAACCCCAGCGGGGTCCCGAGATTCTCAGCACGACCGTGCTAACAATTCTTCGTCGCGCAGAACATGAACATCGACGTCGAGCTTCCCCCCGCCATGGATGTTCCCGACACCAACAAGTGGACCGCCAATTCCAGACAGAGGTACTACGCCGGCACTGTCGTGAGTGTGGTGTTGTGGCGTTGTGTGTGTGTGTTGACCAAGGTGACTTATTACTGCACTGTGTGTGTAGGTTGATGATGCAGGCCTCGCTCAAGATTCACAACATGGCCTGCGTCATTCAGGAGAACTTCAACTCCTACATCGACGCCCTCGTACGCCCCTCCCCCCTATTCACAGCTTTACCGGGGCTCTTTACTGACCACCACCACCACCACCACCTCGTGCGCACTCTGCTCGAGCAGAAGTCCGGCACCCACAGGGAGAGGAAGCAGATCACGATCCTGACCGACGGCCGAAGCGAGGACCTCCAGCGGCGGATCAACGAGGTCAAGCGGGACCTGTCGGCCGCGCAGGAGGAGGCCAAGGGCCCCGAGACCGTCACCGCCGAGACCCGCCAGGCCGAGGAGCGCAAGGAGCAGGAGCAGAAGGGCCAGAAGGACTTCGTCTCCATCTCCTGGGCCGTGCGCTCCGGCGCCCCCGAGGAGACCAACATGGTACCCCTCCTGCCCTTCCTGTGTGTGTGTGTGTGTGTGTTGTGTGCTTTGCTGACGTGGCGCGACGCTGGCATGTTGCAGGAGAGGTGGTTGAGGTCGCTCGACTGCCAGATGACGCTCGAGGTGTGCTCCAACTACTTCGTGCTGCTCCACAGGTGGTGGGCGCGTATCATCCGCTACCTGGAGACCTCGTCGCTCGGCGCCGACTCCATCGAGGCCATCAACCTCATCAAGATGCAGATCAGCGTCCAGGTCGACGACATGGTCATCACCGTGCCCCTCCATGGCTGCCTCCAGTACGAAGTGCCCACGGCCGAGGTTCGTATTTTCTCTTCTCTTCACTCGGCGAGCCGGCTTTTACTGTGTGTGTGTGTGTGTCTCACGACGTCGTTGTCCATGTGTCACGCCGACAGGAGTTGGAGATGCTGCCGCACGTGGTGCTCACGAGCACGTGCATGAAGGCCGGCCGGAACGTGCTGGGCGAGCTCACCCAGCTCTTTGCCTCGCACAAGCTGCCCACCGCGAGCTTCGCCACCGGCGGCCAACGTTCGTTCCCCACTCAGCGCGCGCACTGACCTGTGTGCTGGCACACACTGACCTTTTGTCGGTTCTGCGTGCGTGCAGAAATCAGCGGCTGGCGGCCGCAGAGGCTGGGCCACGACGAGAGCGGCTGGACGCTGCACACGCACACGTACAAGCCGCAGCGGTTCCAGCTGGTGCTGGAGAACCTGGTGATGTCGGTCGGCAACGACAGGATCATGTCGCCGGTCACGTTCGGCATGGAGCTCACCCTCCACCGCTTCACGACCACCGAGCAGCTGCTGCTCGAGCTCTGCACCCACGCCGAGCTCATCCAGATGCACGTCAACCGCGCCCAGTACCTCATGTACATCCACTTCATGGAGTACCTGTCGACCGTCATCTGGCCCGAGCTGGAGCTGGTCCTCCTGCGCAAGTACGGCCCGTCCTCCATCCAGGAGGACCTCACCGACCAGTCCATCGTCCAGGTCGCCAAGAAGCAGGGCCACATGCCGTACGCTCTCTCTCTCTCTCTCTCTCTCTACACACACACACACACACACACAACTAACACGCGTGTGGTGATAATGACTCATATGTGTGCGCGCGCAACAGTCTCGCGGTCAACACGCATTCGTTCATCGACTATCTGATGCTTCACGTCAACGGCTCTCCCATCTCTGCGGAGAGTGTGGTCAATGCGTTCTTCAAGCTCGACCCGAGCGAGAGGCAGGCGGTGGTGGAGATGCACGTCGAGAAGCTCCTCTCCAAGTCGTCCAACGCCGTGCTGTTCGAGACGGGCAAGACCCACAAGAACGCCAAGTGCGACAAGGCCACCGTCCACATCCCCTCCCACGTGTACGGCTCCTCCACCTCTCTTCCATGGCCGGGTGCGTGTCGTACACTCACTCGGCATGTCTTGGCACCGCACAGGGCGACCTCTGGTGCGGCCACCAATGAAGATGGCGAGAAGGCGAAGGAGAAGGAGGTCGAGATCCAGAGCAGCAAGCCCCTCGTCGAGGTGGGCACTCTTGCCGGCAACGTGATCACCGAGCACCTGCACGACATTGTGGCGCTGCTGAAGAGCAGCAACCTCGCCGCCTTCAACGCGCTGCTGGACGTTGGCGAGGGCGACGTCGAGGAGGTCATCAAGCAGGAGTCGTCCGTCGTCGTCTACCGAAACCAGATCATCGTCGATGGCGAGTGCGCGCCCGCTAGCTTGCCGCGTCCCGTCACAAGCTTCCTCGAGGACTTTGTGATGGTACGCGACTGAGAGGAGGCGCCTAGACAAACACCACAAAGTTTATAAAAGAGGGACAGCTCTCCCTTTGCAACAACACCACCTGTACAACGTCGTCTCTCCACGATCAAGCGGGCCTACTGTGTGGGCAAGCGGTAGAAAAAGATGGCAGCGATGGAGGGGTTGCCCAGGTGGAGGAAGAAGTGAGGTGGGCCTGTCTTGCCCGCTCGTGCAAAAAGCAATGGGGGGAAACATGTCAGAAAAGGGAACTTGTAGAAGCTGCTGTTGTTGTTGCCCTTCGCGGGGGGGGGGGCGACGATGGTACATCACAGGCCGAAGCGGGCGGGGGTGCGGCGGGGGGTGCCGGGCTCTCGGCGGCCGGGGGTGGCGAGGCGGAAGGCCTTCTGGCTCTTCTGCTTGGCCTCGAGGTCCTCCTTCATCTTCTCGAGCTTCTCGCGCTCGAGGCGGATCTGGAGCTCCTCCTCCATGTCCTGCTTCTCCTCCTTCTCGCGCTGTCGCTTCTTGAGGCGGTCCATGTGGGAGAGGTTGAGCGAGAAGAACATGGGGCCGAGCTCGGCGAGCCACTCGGGGTCGACCGCGGTCACGACGCGCATGTACTCCTTCGTGGTCATGACGAGCTCGTGGTAGACGATATAGTCGGGCGTCGTGCCGGAGCCGAAGAGGGCCGACGACGGGTGGAGGTGGCAGGGCATGCCGTTGCGGAGGTTGACGTACTGGCCGATGCCCTTGAGCTTGGCGGCGTTGCCGAAGTAGGCGCTGCAGATGACCTTGCGCACGATGTCCCACTCGGTGCCGCACGAGACGTACTCCATCTTCTGCTGCTTCATGATGTCGAGCAGCTGCGTGCGGATCTCGCGCACCTTGCGCATGGCCTTGACGTGGACGTAGTGCTCCGTGCACCACTGGCCCGAGTAGTGGTTGTGCTTCCACTGCTGGTAGACGTGCAGGAGCGTCAGGTGGTCCGACTCCACCACCGAGAAGTGCTCCCGCTTGCGGTCGGCCTCCTCCTCGCGCCCCTTGGGCCGGAAGAACACGTTGGGCACCGACAGCATCGACACGATGGTCAGGATCTCGGCCGAGCAGCCCTCCTGCTCGCCCATGATGAGCATCTTGGAGAGGGGCGGGTCGAGCGGGAACTCGACCATCTTGCGCCCGAGCGGGGTGAGCCCGCCCGTGTTGTCCAGGCAGCCCAGCACCCACAGGCCGTAGAGCGAGTTGATGATGTTGTCCTGCGGCGGGGCGTCCATGAAGTTGAACTGCAGCAGGTTGTCGATGCCGAGCGACTTGAGCAGCAGCACCACGTTGCCCAGGTTGGTGCGCTGGATCTCGGGGATCGTGCTGTCGAGCATCTCGTGCCAGTAGGCGTTCTCCGTGTACAGCCGCCAGCAGTGGCCCGGACCCGTACGCCCGGCGCGGCCGGCGCGCTGGTTGGCGTTGGCCCGCGAGATGGGCGTGATCTGCAGGGCGTCCATGGCGATGCGCGGGTTGTACATCTTGAGCTTGCAGTAGCCCGTGTCGATCACGTAGATGATGCCGTCCACCGTCAGCGACGTCTCGGCGATGTTGGTGGCCACGATGCACTTGCGCTCCCCGCTGTCCGTTCGCTGGAAGATCTTGGCCTGCAGGTCGGCGGGCAGCTGCGAGTAGATCGGGAGGATGGCGATCGGCGGCACCTCGTCGCCGATCTGCTTGAGCCGCTCGGCCATGAGGGTGCAGGTGACTTCGATGTCCTCCTGACCCGTCATGAAGATGAGAATATCACCGGGCGGGTGCGACAGGTGAATCGTAATCGCCTGCTTCACTGCGCCCTCCACATAGTCATCGACCGGTGTCTTGGCCCACTGCACAGACCCGTTTAAAACATATGTTAGCGCGAGTCCAGCACGACAACGTTGCATTGCGCACGATGGCGGCGGTCGACGTAAGCGACGTACCATCACGTCGACAGGGAAAGTACGGCCTGGAATGTGGAACACGGGCACGTTGCCGAAATACTGCGAAAACTTCTCGGCGTCCTGTACGCGACAAAAAACACACAAGCGCCACGCGGTGAGTGTCGGTCCACGAAGCACGCGAGGCTTCGGCGGTGGAAGCGGAGGCGCTGTGTGAGCGGAGACGTACGAGAGTGGCGGAGGTGACGATGAGCTTGAAGTCGCGGCGCGCGGCCACCACCTTCTTGAGAATGCCGAAGAGCACGTCCGTGTGAAGGGAACGCTCGTGCGCTTCGTCCATCACCACGGCCGAGTACTCGTCCAGATCGCCGGCGTGCAGGGACTCTCGCAGGAGCACACCGTCCGTCATGTACTTGATCACTGTGTCGTAGATCGAGCGTTAGCACCGACAAGCCTTCGTAGCTAACCACGCAAGTGAAATGTGAGTGTGGCGGTGGCGGTGGTAGTGTACCTGTCTTGTCAGAGGTACAGTCTTCAAATCGAATGGAGTAGCCCACCAGGTCGCCCAGCTTGGTGCCCATTTCCTCGGAGACACGCTTGGCAACGGACATGGCGGCCACACGACGCGGCTGCGTGCACCCGATGCGGCCCCACTTGGTGAAGCCATCTTCGTGGAGGTATTGCGTGAGCTGCGTCGTCTTGCCCGAACCCGTCTCTCCCACGATCACGATCACGTTGTGCTCCCGGATGACGCTCATCAGTTGCTCGCGGATCTGCCACGCATGAATGGGGTGAGAAGGACCGCGTTGTGTGCGTGTGCGTGTCCGGTACCTGAAAGATGGGCAGGTATTCGCGCTGCTGCTTGATGGTCTTGGACATGGCAAAGGCGGAGACGGCCTGGGACTTCTCCTGCATGTGGTCGGCGAACCGGCTCGAGGCCCTGTAGTCGACCTCGCCGTCCTCGCGCGTTGCCTGCGCTTCTCCCTCCTCCGACGACGTGGTCTTGACGCCCATGGCCGACGCGATCCGCTTCCCGTGGATGTCCCAGTGCTTGTCCTGGCCCTTCATGCGGTCCCGCAGTTCGCGCTGCTCGCGCACCACCTGCGAGCCCTTGCGCGCGAGCACGGCCAGATCGGAGGTGGGATCCCGCACGGCCGATACCATGGTCTGCTGCGTGGTGTGCGCCACGCGGCCATCGAGGAAGGGCGGCTTGATGTCGTGCACGAGCAGCGACACCCGCTTCTCCTCGTCCTCCTCGAACTCGGTCTCGACCGAGCGCTGCATCACCACGCCGGAGATGAGCAGCTGCGTCTCCTCCCACCGTCGGGCGTCCTCGTGCTTCTCGTTGTACTTCTTCTTCAGCTGCTCCACCTGCTTGCGCGCGATCTCCTCCTCCATCTTCTTGAACTTCTCCTCGTCGCCCATGAAGTAGCTCTTGTCGTCGTCCGCCGCCTCTTCGCCGTACAGCTCTCGTTCGTACTCCCTCTCATAACCCTCGTACTCCTCGGCCCCAATCGCCTCTCTGCGCATTGCGTGCGTGCGGTGTGCGTGTGTGCGCGTGGTCAGTGATTGTTGCAAGGCGCGTAAGGGAAGCCGAGAACACTTACCTTCGCGGGGTCGAGCGCACTGGACGCCGAGGCGTGGCGCCGCCGTGCGCGGGGGTGCGCGCCGGGGTGCGGCTGGGTGTGCGGCTCGGCGTGCGGCCGTATCCGGTTGTCGACGAGTCGCCGCGGTCGTACCCGCGAGGCGTCTCCGCCACGGGCACGCGAGGACCGCGCCTCGGCCGATTCTCCCACTCCTCCTCGAGTCGTGCCTCCTGCTCTCGCCTCTCCCTCTCCTGTTCGTCCCACTCCCTGCTGCTGCCTCGGCCTCCTCGGTCGCGCCCTCTGTCTCGATCGTAGTCCCTCCCGCCGCCGTCTCTCCTCACCGGCTCGCGCGAGTCCCAGCGCCCGCCGCCGCTTCGGCTGTCCCGCGCTCGTCGGTCGCGGTCGGCGATGCGGTTGAGCGCGGCCTGATCGACGCCACCGGGGTGGGAGGGCGTGTCGGCACCCGACCCCTTGTCTCGGTAGTTGCGTCGTCGCATGTCGCCGGCTGTGGGCTTGGCGAAGTCGTCTTCGTCCTCGGCGAGGCGAGGCCGCTTGGCAGCTTGCTCCCTCTCCTTCTTCTCCCTCTCTTCGCGTTCCTGCCTCTTCACCGCTGCCAGCCGGTCGAGGCCGAGCAGCGATCCCTTGGTGTCGGGCTTCTTGAACGTTGGGCGCTCCTTTGTGCGTGCATTCAAAGGGAGGGGTAAGAACGAAGAAAATGAATGTGTAATTAATCGAGTGATAGATGGTTGCGTACCTCGCCCATTTCCTTCCTCTGTAGACCACCGGTGACGGCTTGTGATGCCTCGAGCTTCTCTGCCTTGTCCGAGAACTCGGCAAAGCTGGCAACGGCCGCCCCTGGGCGCTTACTTGCCAGAACTTTCTGATGCACCTCCTTCAGGGCGATGGCCTGCTTGACTGGGAAGCGCTTGTTGCATTCATCCCGAAATCTATCGAAATCTTGATGTGCCAAAGCGAGTGTTGCAATCTGCTGAGTCAGCGTTGTGTTCACATTGCTCAAGTCCAATGCCTTGGAGACCTTGGGCGCGATTTCCTCCACCAATTCGGGTGTGATGCTGCTCATCTCTCTTTTGCCCTGCCCAATGCACCCCACAGCAAGAAAAATGGGCGCAGGGAGAAGAAAAGGCTGTGAAAATTAAATGCCAAAGAAAAAAGAAAGAAAAAGCTGGAGAAACAGCTAGGCCTGCTGACGTCAGCAACAGCGGGCACGCGGTGCGCTTACTCCTCCTTGGCAAGCTTCCGGCGCTTTTGGACGAGGGGCTCGGCGGTGCGGCTGCACTTGACCGTGTCGGCTTCGCTGTCCTGCGAGTGCGCCAGCTCCAGGTTCTTGAGCCTGCGCGAGAGCAGGGAGTGCTTCCTCTTTGCCGCCGGTTGCTCGCGTCTCTGCTGCGGGCAACAGGTTGGAACATGCAGGCGCCGAGCGGCGAAGCTGCGAAAGAGCGAAGATCCGAGGCCGGAGGGGAAAGAATGAAAAACGAAGGCGGTAAAGCTTAGGGTACCTTGACTCGCGGGCTCGCAGGTCCGGCAGGCTTCTCGCCAGCAGAGTCGGTGGCCTGGTGCCGCACCACCCTGCGCCCTGCAAGTCACACCGGAGGTGAACCCCCAACCGGTGTGAGGAGGACTTCTCACGCCCGCAAGGCCCATGCGCGTGTACCCTTATTGCCACTGATCGTGCGGCTGATGAACCCCTCGTCCTGCAGTCTGCGCAGGATGTCCTGGTGGCGTGCCACGGCGATTGCGATCGAAGCGGGTAAGTGCAAGAGAGAGAGGGCAAACAAAGGTGAGAGTACCCTGGCCACATTCGTGCTGACTTTGCTTAGGCCCAACTAGTAGCGTGGGGAGAAAGAAGAGGGCGGTTAGTGCAGTGCATTCTCTGCGGACGAAGGCTTTAGGTACCAGCGAGCGCAACTTCTGAGCGGTCATGAAATCCTCGCTGGACAGCGCCTTGAGGGCTCTGCGGAGATGGAAAGAGAAGAGGCGATAGGTGCCTATTAGGATGAGATCATCACGCGTGGAAAGGAGAGGTGGTGGTACGCTTTGTAGATCTCCTCTGGAATAGCCGTGGAGGAAGGCGAGGGAGAACGCGGCGTAGGCGAGCTTGACGGAGCGGGTGAACCAACGAGCACTGGAGAGCGGGCGGGCGGGGGCTGGGCAAAGATCTTGTACTCCCCGTCCTGCAGTTGGAGAACCTTGTCCTGGACCATCCGAACCAAGAAGCCTGTGATTCGGTGAGTAGAGAGAGGCGGGTCAATATATCTGTCTGCTGGCCTGTGAGCGATGATCGTACGGTTGATCGCTTGGTCGGCCAGTTTCGGGAACTGGGTCTTGATGAAGGACAGTTTGCAAACACCGGCAGCCTCGACTGCCGCTTTGACGGCCGCATACTGCTCATCCTCATCAGGCTTCTCTTCCTCCTCGCAATCAGGATCGGAGGAGTCTTCTGCAGCGTGAAGAAGGATTAAGCAATAGTGGGTGTAGATCATGATCTTGCTCGTGCGCACCTTCCTCTTCATCCGAGGAGCTCATTTCGACGTTGTACTTTGCGCCAGTTTTCTCCGCCGGCATGGTGCGCTCACCTTCCCCGTCATCTTCGAACAGATCGACGGTCTGGTGCGTGTTGTGGTGAGGCTTGTTCTGATCAGATTAGCGACTTAAAAAAAGTACCGTTCTCAGCCTCATCGAAAGGGTGTGATAGGGCGTAGCAATCTCGCCCACCTTGATCTTGACTGTAAAGGGCATGGCCTGAGTAATGACACGCAACGACGCCACGGGACGTAAAGACTTTACCTGGCGACGAATCGAAGACGAAGGGTTCTTCCCAAGTCGCTTGCTTGAAGTACTTCGGCTCGTACTCGACCGGGGTGACCTTGTCGTAGTAGAGGATCCTGCAAGTACCGGTAGAGCTGGTGGGTTTTCTACAACGTTGATCGGGTATGTGAGAATGCGTACTTCATCTGGAGGTAACGCTCGGTTGCTGGCAAGGGCTTGAGCGTTTGCGACAGCTGGACCTGAAAGCGATCGGAGGTGAGACCAACAACGGGAGCGCATGCATGACCTTAATGCGATCGTACCAAGTTGCGAAGACAAGCTACAGTCTGGACATAGAATATTATTGAGTAAGCATGGGTTCTATCATTATTCACAATGTGCAAGAGTCCGAACGTACTGCGCGTTTGATTTCGTCTTTGCTGTACTTGTTGGATCGGATGTCAAGCTTATTCTTCTTGGCCCCACCTTCGGTTTGGCTGAGCTTCATGACGATGTCCTCGTTCTGATACACGAACCGGACTGGAAGCGCAGTATTTAGTGTTAGTCGAGCTACGCATCATGCCAAGATTGAACGAAGTGGGCGCACAGTTGTAGCACTCGATGAGAGTGTTCTCCTTCTCCGGATCCTGGGAAAACAAAGTGTTACAGTCTGTACGGGTTGCGGGTTACATCGAGTAGGAGCAGTACGAGGTAGATGCCGAAGATCTTCGTTCAGAGCCATATGCCGAGCAGAGGTTAGGTCAGCTACAGCGGACCAGACAAGGCGCGGCGCATTGTACGTACCAATGCCCTACAGCGAAGAACGAAGCGAATCAGTAGGTACTGATTGGGAACAGGATCGGGTGTACTTACCGCAGGTACTTGCGGGAGAGTGCCTCAAATACGCCCTCTGAAGTAGTAGGAAAGGTCAACGCTTGCTCCCTCATATTTTCACCAGAAAGATGTCGTACCTTCGAGCCTGCAACAAGCACCATCGACGGAGAATCGCTAGAGTGTGAGCAACAAGGTACGACGCGTTAACGCGTTGTGATGACGTACCATTTGCACAGAGTCGCTGCCTGACGAGTGAAGCTCGCGTTAATCTCCTTCTACTTACGTTTGCGTGAATGTCGAACAAACGTACCTCTCCGTTTTGGGGCAGGAGGCTCTTGATGTGGATGCCGGCCAAGCTTTTGTCGGCGAAGCAGTCTGCCACGGAACCCGAAGAAAGTGAGCAGGAGGGGGTTGTACTTTGTGCGGCTTCCTTCGTACCTTCAGGAAAGAGATGGCTGCCGAGGAAAGTAGCGCGCGCGTGAGTGACTCCGAAAGCAAAGGCGTGGAGGTGGGTACATACCGGAGGTAGCTGATGCTACTGATTGCAGTCTACGCGAAAGGCGGTGAGTGGTCAAGTGAGTAGTTAGTAGTAAGACGGGAGCTACGTACGCGCAGTAGGTTTCGCATCAGACTCTGAGGAAAATAGAGCTTCAGCCTTCGACGAGCGTAGTACAAGGTGGCGGGGAAAGACGTACCAGGGACTGCACCTCGGTCGGGGTCTCTGTTGCGAGCTTCACGGTACTCTGTGCGTGGACATAGTCGGTCAGCCAAGAGCTCGAAAGCGTACGTGAAGGAAAGCTGCGCACCATGTTGTTGGTGTGTTCGGTGCGTAGCGGCGAACGTGAAATGACCTTCTACACGCGGCCGAGCAGTGACCCGGCCCAATTTGAAAGGCAGGCAACTCGGGGGAGAAAAGGCGCGAAAAGACAACAACACGCGTACACCACAAGATGCTGCGCCCTAAGCCGAACAAGATCGAGCTTGGCCCAGAAGATCTCGAAGATTTCAAGCAGGCACAACGACAACAGGAAGAGGAGGAGGAAGACGCCCCCCAGGTTTCGGCGCCGGAAAGATCGCCGACGGTCGCCGAGCGCATTGGCTACGTCAAGCCTGTGGATCCACGCCAGACGAACAAGAAAGATCGGGTGTAACGTGGACGAGGAAGAGTAAAATCGAATGAAAGGCATTTAATGTGAATGATGTGTGTTACGTACAAAGGAGAACAATCACTTGTCCTCCTTGAAAGCTTATTCGTTTGCTGGTCAAAACTCTTTTGCTGCTGGCTCCGTCTCGTCTCGCTTTTGGCGCGTTTGTTGTTGTTTAGCTGTCCTCCTCGATCTTGGGGGCCAGGTAGAACTTGAGGTGACCCATCTCCTCGTCGTTGGAGCTCTTGATGGGGTACTCGACCACGAGGGGCACGTCCTTCGAGAGGCTGAGCGTCACGGAACCCGAGAGGGAGGTGGCCTTGGTGAAGAGGTTGAGGTAGCGAAGAGCGAAGGTCAGCGTGACCGGCTCGTCGAGGTTGATGACGGTCTGCTCATCCTCCTTGGCATCAGCGGCCGACGTGGGCTTGATGTTGATGTTGCCGCTGCCCATGTCTCCGGAGACGGAGAACTTGACGCCATCCTTGCCGGCGGAGATGATGACTGAGGAAGAAGGAAAAATGAGCAAACCACCGTACGCTCGGCCCATCCCAAAGGACATGCGCGTACCAGTGTCGCCAAGAATGGTCAAATCGCGGCAGATCCTCTGGAACTCAGCGGCGGGCATCTTCACGGTGGCCGCATACTCAGTGTCGGGAATGCCCAGAATGTCGGACTCAATCTCGAGAAGCTTGAGATCGAACTCGGAGACCTTGTCCTGCTCTGTGAGGAAGAAGAAGCAATACACAAGGGGTAAGGCACGAACAAATGGGCGGGGGAGCAAAGCGGCGCTGAAGCACGTACTCTGGCTCTCGAAGGTGAAGGAGACAACGCTTCCGGCGTCCTCCGACTTGAGCGTGACGGCGTCATCGTTGCCGGCGCACTTCAAGATCTTGGACATGGAGCCGAGGTTGATACCCAGCTGGAGGCCTCTGTCGCAGCGGTAGTGCTCGAAGCCCTCGGCGTTGAGCATCAGCGAAACGAGCGAGACGTGGCTCGAATCCATCGCCTGGAGGGCGATTCCGGAGGGGGAGCAGTCGAAGTTGGCATCGGTGACCAGATCCTTGACGGCCTCGAGGATCTTCTTCAGCAGACCAGCCTGGTTGAGCTTAGCTTCCAGCATCTTGTTTCTTGTGTGGGGGGTGTGGGAGTTTTTGACTGCGACAAGGCGTTGGGGCTGCTTTTCCTTCGTTTGTCCTCTGCCTCCCGCCAAAACTATTCCCGCGCTTTTGTCGTGGTGCGAACAGCCGTTAGTCGAAGAAGAGGCGCGAAGCACGAAGAGACAGAGCCGTTGGGCGCTGAACGCAGTGGGTTTGTTGAGTGTGGCAGGTGGGAGTGGTGGCTCCTTCCTTTCTGTTGGGTCGTGGCCAAATATTGCTAGGAATTTGTAATTCGAATATTATCCAAACGATATTAAATGTCAGAATGTGTGGCCTGGAATGCGGCTTTTTCCTTACTTTTTCTCTCTGCGGCCGCAGTGATCATTAGAATTTCGATCGCCCCACAACATCAACAATGAGCAAGGCTGTCGGTCCCGATCTGAGGCGCTACATGGACAAGAAGCTTGCCATCAGGCTCAACGCGAATCGACGAGTGTCGGGCATTCTTCGCGGCTTCGACCAATTTATGAATCTGGTCCTGGAGGACACCGTGGAGGAGGTCTCGAGCACCGAGAAGAACGAGCTCGGCATGGTGGTGATCCGAGGGAACAGCGTGATTCTTATCGAGCCACTCGAGAGGGCGTGAGGATAGCAGCGGCGGAAGCGTTGTAAGGATTTAGATAAATGAACATATCGGATGTGCACAGCATTGCGCATCAGATCTTTCTCGTCTATCAACCAGCAATTCTTCCGTCATTTGATTGGGGTTTTTTAAATCAGGTGATCGTATCACTGGATTCCATTCAAACGAGAACGGAGCAAGGTCGCACTCGCCGCTGCCAGTTTTGTGTCATCGTAAAACTGCAGATCTAAAGACCAACATTTATTCGCTTGGTTCCTTTGTCGTCGCTGGCGAGCCCACAAGGTCGGTGATGTGGAAGGTGGACTTCGCTCGAGCCACCGACAGGGGATTTGACGAGGACCGCTTTCGAGCCATCGGCAAGTGCGACGGGAGGTCGGCAGGAGACGACGACGTCGACGGCGGCGAAGGGAAGGGGAGGAAAGACGGCGAGATTGACCCCGCCGCAGAGGCAGCGCCGCCGCCGACGGGGACCGACATCGAGATAGGGATGGAGGCAGATGATGTGTTGGGGGTGACCGTGTGGGCTCGCTGGATCATCAGTGATGAAGATGGTGACGAGGGCGACGAGCTGGCGAAGGGCACCGACGAAGTGAATGGCAGAGTGCGCGATGACACCGTGCCGGGCGGCGAGGCACCGCCCGAGAGAGGTGAGTTGCCGTTGGTGGGCGAGGCAGCAGAGAGGTAGCGCGGCGAGATCTGGGCCGAAGAGACCTGCATGCCGTCGATCACGACGTGGATCTTGCCGCTCACCACGCCCTGCGGCTTGCCCTCGTAGAGCAGCGGCATGGAGAACGGCACCGGGCGCTCTCCGCACGCCTCACGCAACGGAATCACCGCTTGGCCTGCACGTGGTGGTCCAATTAGGAGACGCTACAACGCAACGCGGCGAGAAAGGGGAGGGTACCCATGTCGTCGTAGGAGCCGCTCCAAAACGATTCATCGCGCACCACGAGAGTTATGTACTGCAGACTCAGCCACTCCTTGCTGTTGATGAAGGACCGCAGCCTGGGCACCTCCCCGTCTCGCCACACAGGGTTGCGCGTCTATGTTCCGGCCGACCGCAATCAGTAAAAGGTCAATGACCGTGCCAGGTACGAGTGCGCACGGGGGCGTACGTAGCCAACAGCAGGCGTCCGCTTCAGACCGTCGAGAGACGCGCCAGCGAAGCAGATGTAAGGTGCGATCGGCACCTCCTCCTCCTGCGCAGCACGAAAACTGGTTGTTAGCACAAACAACACTTTAAGGACACAAAAGCTGCGCATCAATGCGGGCTCGGTGGCGAGTACCCGCATGTACACGGCGGGACCCAAGAACACGTCCCGGCTCACGAGACCCTCCTCCACCTCCTCGGTGTCGGCCGAAGCGGTCTCCTTGCCGTTGCCCTCATACTCGGCGGTTTGTTCTTCGCTCTCCCGGTCCTCTTTCTCCTCTTCTTCCTTCTCTTCCTCACGTCTGCAAGGCTCCGCCTCCTTCGTCTCTGTGTGTTGGCCGTCTGCGGTGGACGGGTCGCTGCTCTCCGGGGCCTCTTCGCCGTTCGCCTCCTTCTCCTCCACCACGGGTTTGCTCGCTTCACTCTCCGTCCCCTCCCCTCTCGTGTCGTTGCTGTCCGGGATCGGGTCTCCGCCCGGCCCGTTGCGGCTCTCGCTTTCGGGGTCCGCCGGCACCTCCACTTGCGCTCCGTCACCGCTCTCCCCAGCGGGCGGCGGTGGGTTGCCCTCAGGAGGTCTTTGGGCCGGCTGGGTCGAGGCGGCACCCGGCTTGGCGCCCCACCAGGACGACCACCAGTTGCCCACCTGGCCCAGCATGCCCCCCTCCGCCGCTGATGCCGGTTGCTTGGCCTACCACGTGGCGGGTGGGCCGTTGCGGTGAGGAGTAGGATACGACAGATCAGTAGATAGCGCGGCTGGTCCGTACCTGTTCGGCCATCTTGTGAAGCCGCTTTTTGCGCTCCTCTTCTCGTCGCTTCATGTCGTCCTCGATTTTTTTGACCTCAAACTTGTGAATCAGGCCCTGTCGTCAGCCAACGCCCCGTGTGAGCTCATCATTCACCACCGGCACGTGCGCAAGTAGAACGAGAAGGGAAGAGAGGGGAGGAGAGTGACCTTGGCCCACAAGTCGGTGATGACGATGGTGTACTTGAGGGGGATCTCGCGCGGGATAGGCTGAGTGGGTATGAGTCGCAGCGTGTCCACCTCGAATGCGGCGTAGACTGGCGAGTGATCGCTGCATGTGCCCCGAACATGTCAATAAAAAAGCAAACAGCCGGCGGTTGGGCATTTCACGGCACCTGGTGGTGATCTCATCGCTGCAGCCATACGCAGTGAGCTTGGCCTTGAGCCCCGGCAGACTTTTCCACAGCACCCTGCGCCGTGCAACCAGATGACATCAATCAGCACAATGGATCAGGGTCGCGTAGTGCGTGCGAGAAGAGCACCGCACCTATCGGTCCAAGACGGGGTGCGCATCTTCTGCGTGCTGTATGTGCGATCGCCCCGGTTGTAGCGATACGTGGGGCGGAAGTTAAGGTCGCCCTCATGGAAACCCACGAAGCAATTGCCCTTGACCTTTTCGTTGAGCAGCTGGTCGTGCTTCTTGAGCGCCTCCCAGTCCTCCTTCTCGATCAGCTCCAGCACCTTGTCCCTGTAAATATATACGCGACCCCCGGTCCGGGTCGTGGGCCACGTAAGTGGTTGCGGGGGAGTAGACGAGAACGGACGGAGCGTACCGTGGTAGGGAGATGCGGTAGTTGAGATCACCGCTCCAGAACATGTAATCGAAGCGATTCGTCAGATCGCAAGGAATCTCCTGCGGCGGCGTGAGCAATCGAGCCAATGTAAGGCTTCATTCGACAAATTATGAGGCGAGCACAGGCTACGCACCTGCGTTCCGAGTTGGAGGCCGTGGGCGATAGCTTGGACGTGGGCGTTGCGAGTTAGCCAGCCCCCTTCGTGGGGTGCCAAGTGGCACGTGAGCTGTGGGACAAGGATAGAGAGGAGCAAAAAAAAAAAAAAATGAGTAAAGGGGGTATAAGGCGTGCGAGAGAAGAAAGGCTGGGTACGAAGCAGATGCTGGTGTGGTTGAACTGAAGGCTGATCCCCAGTGCGCCCTTGTCACCTACTATTCCGCCCACGCCCGTGGTGAACATGTTGCCCTGTTCCCGTATTCGTTCGTTAGCCTCACTCGTGCGCGCGTGTGTATGTGTGCATGTGGCACGCGAAGGGTACCTGGAGGTTTGATATGCTGGATACGTGCTCCGCGCGTACGAACAGCACATATCGCATCTGCCACAAGCTGCAGGCGCGCACTCATTGGTAAGTCATCCACCTATCAGAGGGGTGGCCCTATAGCAAGAGCAGTACCTTCGCTGAGCGTATCGCACGTAGCCAGGTCCGAGAAGCTTTTGCAGTCCACCAAACAGCACCTCCTGCTCCTCTGTTGGGTCGTACAGGTAGTGGGCAGCGCTCAGCATCGACAGCAAACATTAAGTAGGTATGGGGGGCCGTACGAGTGTCCCACATGTAGGACAGGATTTGCGTCTGCGGTATCTTGGCGCCAGAGGTCCAACCGGACTCCTGGAATCCGATGAAGTAGATGTCGTACTTGTCCTTAGGCACCCACGCGTCCAGCGAGGCCGGCGGTGGTGCCAAGCCTACAGTGAAGAGTCACGCGTGCGAAAGAGGATTACCACGAGAGTCTCTCGGGCGAGCGAGAGGTGACGGGGTGCAGGCAATGCGCACCCATGTTCCAGGTTCCGATGAAGATGGACACTTCTCGTGGTACAGTGTCTTCTGTTGGCGTTGCATGCTGTTCAGTCGCAGCACGGCAACACACGGTCCGTGTGCATGCAAATTGCAAGAGGAATGCGTACGTCTTCGGTGATATCCAACGGAGGGACAGAAAGGCTGCCGCGCTTGAACATGGCATGCAAGGTCGCTTCGTAGAACTGCTGGCGCTCTGCACACGCCACACACGGTCAGGTTGTATTATTGGAATGTATTAATCAATAATAATAATAAAATAAAACAACTACGAACCGTGAGCTGAGGCGAAGATGTAGGAGTGTCTCTTGTGGATGGGGACACGGGACTGGGGCGACAGATCTTGGGCCACCAGGTCTTTCTTCCATTCGATGTGGAGCAATCGTGCATTCTCGCAGGCCAGTTCAACTTTCTCGATGAGCTTGACGTCATACCGGCGATTCCATTTGGCCTTCTTGACGATGGTAAGGCGGCCCAACGTCTGATTGATGAGAAGGCTGTAGGGATTGGCGATCGACTCGCCCATGAAATTGGGCAGACTCTTGCGCTGGACATCGAATTCCAACACCTCATCGTCCTCTTGATCATCGAAGCTTCCGTTCTCGTTCAATCCTCCTCCTTCGATCTCCTCTTCAACATCGGTGCTCTCCCTCAGAGATTGGTTGGATTCCTCGCCCAATATTGCAGGTAGTGCCTGATTGGAGTTGCCCTGCCCGGCTCCATCTCCATCTCCCAACATGACGTGGCTCTCTTGTTGATCTTGTATCGCGAGTGCCTCGTTGCGTTCGATCTTTGCCCAACCGCCAAGACAAAGGAAACCGAACAAGAAAGCTCACCAAAATTCGTTGGCCAACTCATAAAAGAAAAAGAAAATTCAAGAGAAAATACAAAAAACAAAAACGAAAAAGCAGAGAACGAAACCACAACTTACAAAATCGCCGCTACAAGAGCACACCACAACAAGATGGAAGGAGCAGCAGTGGTCGCGCGCACGTTGAAGGCACTCGAGGTCACCGATGTGGTGCGCACCCTGCGAGACACTCGCGCACTTGTGAACCCAAAGCACTCAACCACAAACCTCTTTTTAAATACCAGTTTGGTGTTGTTGGGCGGCCGGTGACCAACATCGCCATGATGGCACAAGCCGAGGGCATTCACTTCTGGTCCTTCCGCAATGAGCAAGCCGCCAGCTATGCTGGTACCCTCCCCACCCACCACGCCCTTGTGACATAAAATAATATCCACCAAATTACCCCCTGGTACGCGTGAGGTGGCACGCCACATGAGCTTCAAAGAACGTGATATCGTGAAGCACGTGCGACACGGGCAGCGGGCTTTCGGGAAGTTATCTCATTGGTGTGATATCTTGTGACGAACAGCGGGCGCTGCGGGCTACATGACGGGACGTCCCGCTGTGTGTTTGGCCGTGTCGGGTCCGGGCGTGGTGCACGCGCTGGCCGGCTTGGGCAATGCATGGGCCAACTGTTGGCCGATGGTCCTCATCGGTGGCGCCACCTCGACAGACCACAGCGAAATGGGCGGATTCCAGGTTGGCCTCCTCGCTTTTGGTCTTGCATCGATCGGTCATACACGATTTTGCTGATCAGCTCCACTCTCGCACTTCTCCAGGAAGCGCCGCAAATCGAAACCGTGAGGCCCTACGTCAAGATGGCCTGCAGGGCCGAATCCCTTGCTCGTGTGCCCTTCTACATCGAAAAGGTGAAGCCCTGGCAACTTTCCTCATTGCTCCTCCGTGCCTTAACAGCCGCTTCTTCGAACGTCGCGTAGGCTATCCGTGTGGCTATGTATGGCAGGCCCGGGCCGACCTATGTTGAGCTGCCTGTACCCCCCCCACGCCCTTGTTGCCATCTTTCTTCTTCTTCATACGTCTACTGACCGCCCATTCACCCACAGGCCGAGGTGATCTACGATTTGATGGACGAGTCCAAGCTGGTGCTGCCGCGTCCCGTCCCGCCTCCTCCGCTGACCTTCGCCGACCCCAAGTCCGTCCGTGCGGCTCTGGAGCTCCTCAAGACTGCCAAGAACCCGCTCGTCATTGTGGGAAAGGTACCAATCGGCCTGTGCCCGGCTCTTGCTTCACTGCTTCGTGCATTCGGCACTCACAGGGTTTTTTTGTATCCTCTGCTACCAGGGCACTGCCTACGCTCGTGCTGAGGCGGAAGCCACTCATTTTGTGTACGTTCAAGCCAACCGTTGTTGTTGTGGTGAGGCAAGATTGGCGCCGCATTGACCAAGTTCTCTGTTTGGACAATAGCGAAAAGACCGGCCTTCCGTTCCTTCCCACGCCGATGGGCAAGGGAGTGCTGTCCGATGAGCACTCGCAGTCCGTTGCGGCCGCACGCAACCTCGCGCTGCAGTCTGCTGACGTCATCCTCCTCCTCGGTAACCTTCCACTTCTACGCGGTTCACGTTCGACCGAGCTTCGTCTGATCAGCCCAGAATGTGCGTCTTCCCGCAGGCGCCAGGCTGAACTGGATTCTGCACTTTGGCCAGACTCCCCGCTACAACAAGGACGTCAAGTTCATTCACGTGCGGTGGCCTGCTCTATGCGAACGCCTCGAATCTTTCCGTGGCTGACAGGCCTCTTTCTCAGGTGGAGATCGCGCCCGAAGAGCTGAACAATTCTGTTCGCGCCGAGGTTGCCCTTGCTGGCGATATCAAGGCCGTCCTGACTCAGCTCAACGATCTCCTCGCCAAGGTACATAGCAGCCGCAGCCTCACGCAAACGCGGATGTTAGGGCTATTCCGCTCATATTCGATCCCGCATACGTGAACGCAACGCATGAGCAGAGCCCCTTCCAGTTCCCGAAGGCGAGCCCTTGGTGGAACGCTCTGAATGACAAGGTGGCGAAGAACAAGGCCGTCAACGCCAAGCTGTGTGCTGATGAACGGATGCCACTGTCCTATTATAGGGCTCTCAAGGGAGTGCACGACACTCTCCCCCACGATGCCATCATCGTCTCCGAGGTATATGCTGGTCCGGTTCTCCATGGGTTCGCTGCCTTTTATTGACGCTGTGCCCGCAACTACCATCAGGGCGCCAACACGATGGACATCGGTCGTACGATCTTTGACAACAGATTGCCTCGTCATCGCCTTGACGCCGGCACGGTGTGTACACTGATAACTTGATCTACTTTGCGGAGCATATCATCTCACATCCGCTTTACGTTCTGTAGTGGGGCACGATGGGCGTTGGCATGGGCTTTGCCATCGCCGCCCAGGTCGTCCACCCTGGGAAGAAGGTGGTAGCCATCGAAGGCGACTCTGCCTTTGGTTTCTCGGGCATGGAGATCGAGGTAACAGCCCCCTCCCCCAATCGTTCCATCTGCCAAATGAACTAATCTGTGCGGCATGCACGGAAAAATACAGACCATGTGCAGGTATGGCCTCAATGTCTGTACGGTCATCATCAACAACAATGGCATCAGCATGGGCGTCGAGGATCTGTCCGGCTTTGAGAAGCCCAACGTACCGTTCTTTGTCTACACTCCCCAGGGTACGTCTTTTATCACCACAGCCGTCCTCTGGAGAAGAGACAAGAGACTCATTCCTTCGGTTGTGAGCAGCACGCTATGAGAAGCTGATCGAAGCTTTCGGCGGAAAGGGCTACTATGTGACCAAACCCGAGGAGATCGAGCCGGCCATGCGGGACGCCCTGGCCCAGAAGTGCCCCACCATCGTCAACATCATGATCGACACAGCGGTACATCACACCTCCCACCAAAATGTCCCATTGTGACCATCTTTTACTCTGCTGACGACCACAACTGGCCAGGCTACACGCAAGCCCCAGGAGCACCCCTTCGAGCTGGGCGCCACCCTTGGCGGCAAGGCCAAGCTGTGATCGCCACACACCTCCTGCGGCTGAAGAAAAAAAAAGCAAAAAGAAATGGCTCGAATAATCTGAATAGTGTCGACTGTCCGCAGTTTATTGCTCCACGTCACGCGCCACGTCAGCCGGAGCCATCTTCTTCGATCTGCCTGAGGGAGAGAGAAGGATGGAGGCTTCTAGGGGAGGCCGCACACTCTTCGTTGCATGTCTCGTCTTCTTTTTTTGTGCGGTGGTGGCCATTGGAGTTGTAGATGCCCGACGAGCCGTGGGGGTTGAACTCGTCGCCGCCTGGGATGCCACTCCCCTCCATCTCGAAGCTGCGTACGTGGCCACCCTCTTTCTGCGATTTCATTGATTCGAGATTGTGCCCCGGGTAGCCTCACAAAGCCGGTGAACCGCAGGGAGTTCTTTGCGGAGGAGACCTCGCAAGGATTCTGGGCGGTGGTCGACGGTCTGCACCCGGGTGCAGCGGAGGACACTGACGACACCGCGACGACCGAGGAGACGCTCTACGGCAAGGTGATGCAGCTCGCCAACGCACTCCTGCCCAGCTCCAGCAAGCGGTTGCTGCACTACGCGCTCCTCTCTCGCTATTACAGCCCCAAGGTTCGGGACCATCACCCACTCCACTCTTCGCTCATTGAATGGCCTCCATCTGTGGAGCTGATGGTGTGTATGGCGCGTACAGGTGGAGATGTTCAGGCAGTATTCGCGCGGCCAGGCGGAGCACTGCCGTAACGCCGCATGGGTGCACGCGGGCACGCACATGTTGTGCACCCCCGAGGAGGTGCAGCGCTACCTGGAGCAGCCCAACAGGTACGACCACTGGGTCCCGGTGCTCGGCCGCCCACTTGGTCATGTGGTGGCTCACGTCGTTTGCTCTCGTCACGTGTGGTGGCTTGCGGCTCTACAGCAGGAACGAATCGGGCAGCGTGCCCGAAGCGACGCTTGTCTTTGGCGATCAGGAGCACCTCTTTCCCAACGCCGCGCCCTCATCCGCGCCGCTCCTGGTTCTCTACGGCCAGGTCGGCTCTTCCAAGTTTACCCAATACCACTCGGTCATTCGGTAACACTCCTCTGCACCCACGCTTGGCCGGGCCATGTTCCACCTTGGCGCAGCTGTTACGGCCATTCACTCACTGGTGTATGTGCGCCTGGACAGGGTCGCTGCGAGTGCTTCGACTGTGCGTTACGCTGTGCGGCACTACACGCCCGAGGAGCCGGCCAAGCGCTTGATGAACGTCCAAGGTAGAGAGCCCATACCAATACCGCGCATGAGCCCGGGAAGGCGTCGGCCTTAGAAGAATTCAACTCTCAATGTTTGCGAAACATCAGGTTACGGCGTTGAGCTTGCCATCAAGTCGACTGAGTACAAGGTCATCGACGACAAGGTGCCGGAGAAGGATCAGGATGGTGATGACGAGCAGCAGTCGGGGCAAGAACAGGATACGACGGTACTACAATGCCAAACCCTCAGCTGCAGCCATTCGTTACTAATTGGCAATCTATTACGACAAAATTATTGCGCGCGTGTGTGAATAGATCGAAGGCTTCCAGTTTGACAAGCTGAAGCAGCGCAAGCCAGAGCTAGCCACGGAGCTGGATGCCTTCAAGGAGCACCTGGAGATGGTTTCCCAGCAAAACGAAGGCTTCCAGCAGCTTCGCGCTTGGCAGATCAAGTGTAAGTGGCCGCACTCCTTCCGGTTCTTCTTTTTGCGCAGCTCGCTTCAACTAACTTGATCACATCATTTCAACAGCGCTGGGCTACCAGGCCGCACAGCGCATTATGTCAGCCGGCGAGCCCCTGCAGCTCCTGCGCGACATCGCCCACAACTTCCCGCCCATCGCCAATTCTCTGGCGAGATTGCGCGTAGATGCCGATATCCGTTCCGAGATCGAAGACAACCAGGAACAGCTCGCCGGCCTGCACCACCTCCCTGGCAACTTCATCAACATGAACGGCCGCAACCTGGCTGCCGATCAGCTCAGTCCTTACGTGTACTGCTCCCATGCTTGCCCGACTGCGCTTAACCTTACATTTGACACTGCCCACTACTTGATAGCCTCTACGAGTTCATCAAGGACGAGTTGAGCAAGCTGGACGCGCTCAGCGTGTTCGGGCTCGGCCGCAAGGACTCGGAGAAGCTCCTTTCGCTGGTCCCCAGCACTCCGACCATTCGCTTCGACCTTCGCGATCGCGAGGTCTTCCCGTCGGGCGGCAGTACGCAACCACACTCCCCGCACTCCTCTTTACCCCTGCCTCTCCCGTCTTTATTTTTCATCTCACCTCTGCTTCGTTTCTACTGCTTCGTCGCGGTCATGGCCAGCCCCTGCCACTGATGACCCGAACAACGTCAACGGAGCGATCCAGTTCGCCAACAATCTCGAGAAGGATGCGATGTATGGTCACTGGCCCGGCATCCATGCGGTACATCTTTGCGTCTCATCTCCCATCGCTCGTAGCCGTACCACTCCCAGCTCGAGCCAGAGCTCTCTCTGACGTGTGTTCCTGAGTGCGTTCCAGCTGTTGCAACCCGTGTACCCCGGCCAAATGCGCTACATCAAGAAGAACATTCAGACGATGATCCTTGTCATCGATCCGTCGAGCCCGCAGGGCCTCTCTGTGATCGGCAACTTCTTGTACATGGTACGGCCCTAGTGACGACCTAGCTCTCCCCCCCAACCCCCGGCATGAACTTATATATGTTCGCTCCCGCCTCCAGTTGAGGCAAGGTCTGCCCTTCCGCGTCGGTTTTGTGTTTTCCTCAGGGAGCACAACTGAATCGGCTTCCACGTGGGAGCATTCGGCCGAGAATCTGGCGAAGCTCGCCAAGGTACGCCCCTCCACCGCCATAGCCCAGAGGTTAGCCCAGCCCTCAGCAGTCTCACGTCGGCTCCTTGCTGCGCTCCCTCAGGGCGAATCCGGTGACGCGAGCCAGGGCAGCACGGAGTCGGCCGACAATGCGCCGCTGCCGGAAAACTTGGCGGCGACCATCATCAAGACCTACTTCCTCCTCAAGCAACGATCAGGCGAAGGCGTTCGGCCCCTCGATTTCTTCGGCTTCGTACGAGAGCTCTCTCTCTCCCTGTCGCTTGCTGTTGGTTGACCACTGAAAATATGTGAAATGTTCGCAGCTCGGCCAGTCGGAGGAGGAGGCCACCGAGGTCACCGAGGAGCGGGTCTGGCAGGCCTTTGCTGCCTTTATGCACCAGCAGGGCGGCTCCATCACGCAGTCCGAGGTACGGCCCAGGTCCTCTCAAGCCCCTGGGCCGACGTGCTGACACCGCTGTGTGATGTGTGAACTGCCCAGTGGCGCGAGGGTATGAAGAGCGAGGCGGTGGCGACCGAGTACCGGACCATGCAACGCTACATCGAGCAGAAGGGCATCGCCCTGTTGGACCGCGGCTCGCAGTACATCTTCACCAACGGCAAGTTCCAGCAGATCCCCGCTGACTCCTCCGTTGGCTCTGCGGTACATACTATGCGTTAGCACATGCGTGTGTGGCACCTCTACCTTTTTGCTGATCCGTACAACGTCGACACCACCGCACGACGCGCAGCTCCAAAACCTCCTCATGCAGGAGACCTTCTACGGCTACTCGCGCTTCCAAGAGGCGGCCTACAAGCGGGAACTCCAGCACGGTACGCGCGACGAATGTTTCACGTTTCACTGGCCAATGCCCACAGAAATGTAGTCAACCAGAGGTGGTCTAACGTTGAGTTGGGCGTGACGCTGGAACAGTGGACGACCTGTGGTCGTGGATCTTGCAGGAGTCGTCGCCGGTCTTCGACCGCTTCTCGTCGCTCATCTTCCAGACGACCGGCGAGGACGAGAACGGCTGGGTGTCGCTCGCCAGGCACAGGGAGCTGCTGGCCCCGGCCACGGCCTACCTCAGCTTCCCCGCGTCCGAGTTCAACCTCAAGGAGTACACCCACCTCGTCGTCGGCGACCTCACCACTCGGCCCGGGCTCACTCAAGCCCTGGAGGCCGTCATGCGCCTTGCCGAAGAGGGCAGCGTACGTCTGTCTGTGTCGTGTCGTGTCGTCTCGTCTCGTCTCGTCTCACTGGCATACGACGTGCAGGAAAAGGTGCGCGTGGGATTCCTCCACAACACGGAGCAGGATTCGCAGCAGGTGCCCCCGGAGCGCAGGGAGAACGAGTTCCTCGTTGCTCGCGCCCTGCAGGCCGCCCTCACTTCTGGTTTGATCCCCACACCTCTCCCCCCTTTACTTGCGTCTGTGTTCGCTCCACTGACCCGCGTGCCCGGCCATCTGACGCAGGCAAAACGCTGAAGCGTGTGTTCCCGTTCGTGACGCGATTGCTGGCCACCGCGCTCGCGGTCGGACCCGAGAACGTCCGGGCCGCGCATATCGAAGAGCTCGCCCTCGCTGCCGAGCTCAAGGACCTTCCGGCCCTCATGTCGAAGACCGTCGCCGCCGCCTACGCCCAGTTCGAGCGCGACCGCAACCTCGCCTCCTCGGCCCTCGGCCTCCTCCCCGGCCAGCGCGCTGTCGTCACCAATGGCAAGGTAGCGCGTCGTCAGTGAAAAACTTGTGGCGAACATTGCATGGTGCTGGCTCGTACTGACGCTCGCTTCTTCGCCATGATAGGTCACTCGCCTGCCGGATCAGGTGATGCTGGTGCAGGACCTGAAGCTGTTGGAGGCCTTCGAGGGCCTGGCGCGCGTGGACCAGATCAGGGCCACGCTCGATGGCGTGAGCGAGCACTTCGGCGTCGACCCCGACGACCTCACGAGGTACGATGGCGCTACGATATCGATCACTCACTCTCTGCTGGGTCGTTTCTCGGTTGCAACAACCACCTGCGCTTACCTACTGCTTCTGTTCTCCCCTTTGCCGTGGCAATTGTAGTGAGTTCTACAGCAATGAGCTCGCTGCCGCTGTGTCAGTGTTGAGCGCGGAGACGGCGAGCAGTGAGCAGAGGGTCAACCTCCCCCAGCTCACCCCGTACGACCGCCCCCCCCCCCAAGCCCCCCAACCCAAGAGATGATCGTGAAGCTCACTCTCATCGCCACCTAAGGTCGTTCGTGGCCGGTGAGCAGAATGATCCCACCCTGAAGATCGTCGCGGTGCTCGATCCGCTGTCCAAGGGCGCTCAGCAGATCGCGCCCCTGTTGCTCGTACATTGCTCTCTCTCTCTCTCTCTCTCTCTTCAGCGTGTGTATGTGCGTTTGTGGAAGGCTTGACTGACTTCTGTTTGCGTTTCCATCATCACATCAGTCGCTGGTCAACAACGACATGGGCATCCAGGTGCAGGTCGTTCTCAACCCGAAGCGCGACCTGACCGAGCTGCCCCTCAAGACCTTCTACCGCTACGTGCTCCAGGACGAGCTTGTCTTCGACGCCGCCGGCAGGTACCTACACTGCCCCCCTCCCCCACCACTTACGCAAGGCTCGGCCCTTTGTAGGAACTCATCGATGCTTGGTTGGCTGCGTACGTGTGCGACAGGCTGGCGCGGAAGGGAGAGGCAGTGTTCAACAACCTGCCGACCTCGCTGCTGTTGACCATGAACATGGACACGCCGCACTCGTGGGTCGTGCAGGCCGTGAGGTCGGTGTACGATCTGGACAACATCTTGCTCAAGGACATGGGCAAGGAGACACGCCTCTCCGCCACCTTCGAGCTCCAGCACATCCTCGCCGAAGGCACGTAGTCGAACACGACCAACGACACGACACGACACGACACGACCAACGACACGCGCGAGTCGCCTGGCTAACGCTGTTGCGACACAGGCCAGTGCATTGATGTGGACAAGGGCTCGCCGGCTGTGGGCCTGCAGATCAATCTGGGCAATCACCAGCAGTCCCACATCACCGACACCACGGTCATGGCCAACCTGGGCTACTTCCAGCTCAAGGCCAACCCCGGCCTGTGGTGGCTGTCGCTGGGTAAGCGGTTCGGCGACGAGCAGCAGGAGGGCGTGAGCCCCTACCAGCTGCTCTCGACGGACGGGCGCACACCGGTCCCGCGACTCGCCGCCAAGATTGACCGCTTCACCAACACCGAATACTTGCAGCCCTACAAGGTACTCTAGCACGCACTCAACACACTCGCCACACACCACACACACTAAGACTCTGCCACCCGCTTTAGGTCAAGCGCGGTGCGGCTCAGCAGGTGGAGGGGACCAAGGAGGAGCTTGCCAAGCAGGACGGAGGGATGTGGGGCCAGTGGATGAGCTACTTCCAGGACTCGCAGAAGGACACCGCCGAGGCCGAAGCCAAGGTGCCACATGCCAGGCATACCAGTCATTTTCTTGGCCTTGGGTGTGACTTGAACTTTGTGAACTGACATGTTACCTTCCGTGTTCGTGTGCGCACACGGACAGAAGGATGAAACGATTCACATCTTTTCGGTCGCGTCGGGCCATCTGTACGAGCGATTCCTGAAGATCATGATGCTCACCGTCCTGAAGAACACCAAGTCGCCGGTCAAGTTCTGGTTCCTCGAGAACTACCTCTCGCCCAAGTTCAAGGAGTACGCGCCGGTGTTCAGCCAGGCCTACAACACGAGCATCGAGCTAGTGACCTACCAGTGGCCCAGCTGGCTGCACCACGAGACCGAGAAGCAGCGCGTCATCTGGGGCTACAAGATCCTGTTCCTCGACGTGCTCTTCCCCATGGACCTGCGCAAGGTCATCTTCGTCGACGCTGACCAGGTACTCGTCCCACACCACACCACACATCGCACACACCGCACACGACTAACTGCCGCCGAACCACAGATCGTGAGAACGGACCTGAAGGAGCTGTATGACATGGACCTGAAAGGGGCGCCGCTGGCCTACACGCCATTCTGCAGCAGCCGCACAGAGATGAACGGTTTCCGTTTCTGGGACTCGGGCTTCTGGAAGAACCACCTCGGCGGCCGTCCCTACCACATCTCCGCCCTCTACGTGATCGACCTCAAGCGATTCAGGTTCGCAATTCGACCCCTCAACACGACACACACAACACGACACACACACAGCACACAGCTAAACGTCGGCTCGCGTGCGCACACAGGGAGATGGCTGCGGGCGATGTGATCCGTGCCACGTACCAGCAGCTGTCGCAGGACGAGAACTCGTTGGCCAACCTGGACCAGGATCTGCCCAACTTCCTGCAGAACCGGGTTCCGATCTTCTCGCTTCCGCAGGAGTGGCTCTGGTGCGAGACCTGGTGCGACGACGAGTCCAAGGCGCGCGCCAAGACCATCGACTTGGTACGTCCACCCACCACCCACTCGCGCCAATTTATGAAATGGAAAGCGGCCACGCTGCTCACCGTCGCCACTGGTTGTTGTGTTATTGTGTTGTTGTGTACCAGTGCAACAACCCATTGACCAAGACGCCCAAGCTCGAGAACGCGGTGCGCATCATCCCCGAGTGGCGCGACCTTGACGAAGAGGCCAGGAGCATCGAGGAGCGGTACTCCAGCTCCTTCGCGTCGTCGGCCACCGCCACAGCCACCACAGCCCCCGACGCCGCAGCTGCCGATCACGTCCCGCCACCCACCGCGCCCTTCGAAGAGATCCACGCCTGAGCCACACGCCGATATCCACTGGCGCACATTTACAATTTTTATCTGAAACATGGTGTTTCTATTTTATTTATTCAGTTTATTATTTATTTCGGCCAACACAAAGATGAGCAGCGTCAAGTACACCTACGTGGACGGGTGCAACAACGAGTACACCCTGGGAGTGGACCCGCGTACGGGGGAGGCCGAGTTTGACTACCGCCCCATCACACGAATGGAGAGCTCGAGCGGAGACTACAGCGGCGGCAACCCCGCGCACGGGAGGCTGGCCAAGCCGCTCGTAGACCAGTTCGCGCAGAGGTTCGAGCAGCTGCTGGCCGCTACGGCCAACCACACGACCGAGAGGACCATGGGCTCGGCCATCTTCCGCCTCAAGAAGTCGGGGGTCACCACCGCGAGCTTCCTGCTGCCCTTTCGCGACGCCCAGCTGGAGCAGTGGAATGCGTTAGTGGACTCGCTCAAGGTGGCGGAGGGCGTGCACCAGAGCCCAGGGGAGGACGAAGAAGAGATGGGCATGGACTAGCTCTTGTGCCCATTTGGGTCAAGCAAACGTTTGAGCAATGTACGATGGTGTGCCTTTTGAAGGGTAATCAACCACCGTGCAGGGTAGAGATGAACACCACAACGTCGCCGTCCTGCACCTCGTGGTCCAGCCCGCCCAGCAGCTCCCAGTCACAGTCGTTCACCAGCACCAAGATGCCAGGCCGCCTGATACCAGCCAAGTCAATGAGAGGCGGCACGCAAAGAGCGAAGGCGGGGCAAAAAGAGCAGAGTACACAGTGCCGTCTACGATGAAGAGGTCGGGTCGCTCCTTGATAAGGTTGTCCTTGATGTAGACGAGGAGGTCCTTGAGGGAGATCACTGTTCGGTCGGCCAGCTCAACCTCGTGCTTTGCCTCCTTGTTGAACAAAATCTCCAGACCCCCGCTGTGCAGATCATGCAAAGCAATTTAGTGATTTGCAGATGCGGATCAAAGGAAGCGGGGGGTTCTCCTTCTCGGCCAAGCGCCATACCTGAGCTCGATGGTGATCTTCATCTCTTGGCTTTTTTTGTTCATCTTGATTTTATTTTTCCTTTTCCTTTTTGTCCAGAAGTTGGAGCGCAAAAGGCTGCGCCTCACTCTTCTTCCTCGAAGTACACGCTCATGTGTGGTAGCCAGGCGTGGTGGTCCTGGTGCTTCCGCTTGACCGATGACGAAGAATGGATCCCGATGTGCTGATTGGGATCAAGAAGCAAGAAGGGTGTGTAAGGCGTGGAGATCAGCCAAGAGACAAGGACACGGACTCATAACTCGAGTGACTGAGCGTACCTGGTACAGGTGTGGAATGGTTTCGTAAACCACACCGCCCACGCCTCGCGCGCAATCGCTCACCAGCAGATCCACGCCTGGAGAGGGTGTGAGAGGTTGCAGGCCCCGATCGAAGCTGCAGTGTGTGGACGTACCGAGCGGGTAGAGACGGTAGTCGTTCATGTTGATACAGCTCACCATCTGCTCGAACATGGGGTCGTTCTTGAAGAACTGCGCCTGCGCACAGCACCGCGCCTTGGTCATGTGAATGCCATCGGCCTTCCTGCTCGAGGCGGCCATCATCACAACATCCGGTCAGTGACATCGATCACAGGCCAGCCCAAACCGGTACGATCCCCCCGGGAGCTGCACTCACCTGGTGGCGAAGAAGTTCTGCTTGGTGACGCACACGGGGAAGAGCACCGCGGCGGGCACGATGTTGACGATGAAGAATAGACACAACAGCGTGTTCCAATCGTTGGCGATGATCGTTCGCCAATCCTTCAGAATCGGCGCCACCACGCCCTCGCCGAGGCCTCCGAACCCCTCCGACCGCCTCGTCTGTACATGCTGCACACCATGAGGTGAGCGCCAAGGCTTGTTGTTGGGTGGGGTAACAGGGAATTACGAGGCCTCGGTGTTGCCATCGGGCGAAGAAGAGATAGGCCACGTAGGCGGCGATGGCGAAGAGGCCCCAGCCGACGCCCCACGAGACGAAGAAGGCGATGTCGTCGTTGTTGAGGTAGAGGTCGAACTGGTCGTACTGCTCGGCCATGTAGAGCTTCACGACGGCCCAGTCCCTCTCCTCGGGCCTCTCGCGCCGAATGTCGAGCGCCCTGGGCGGCCCGCCGCCCGCGCGCTGGGCCTCCTCGTTGATCAGGAGTTGTTCGTCATCGTCGGCCTTCTTGGAGGAGACTTGCTTCTGCGGTACTTGAGCTCGTACTTGCGCTGCTCCCACTCTTGCTCCAGCGGGCGGACCTGGTTCATCAACCGCGTGTACCAGTTCCGCGCGGCCCACACGTCATCCTCGAACAGAATAATGTACTTGGGGTTCCTGAAACCACACACACACACACACACACACACACACAATCACGACTGCGTAAGCTAAGGGTGCGAGGTGTGGGAGTGGCTTGCTCTGGTGAGGCGCACCTTCGGCGGCATTGGTTGAGGCCGTAGACGTAGTCGCCTCGCTCCTTGGCGAGCCAGTAGAGGAAGGCGTCCTCCTCCTCGGAGAAGGGGATCGGCTCGGGGCGCTCATCGCTCTTCTTGATCACTGTCACGCGGGGGATCTGCCGCAGCAGGTTCAGGTCGGACTCATAGGTGGGCGTTGTCTGCTTCACGTCTGATGTGCGGACCGCAGACGGCCACAGTTTGTGGAGAGCGTGAGCCGGCTGTCTGTGAGACTTCAGCGCCACGCACGCACGCACAGAGTGAGAGCACAGAGGTGGAGGCTGTCAGACCTGCATTGACTATGAGAAGCTCGCTGTTCTTCCTCTGCTCTTCTGTGAGCCCGCGCAGTACGGAGGCTGCGGACTGGAGCAGGTACCTGTGCCGTGATGTCCACACGATGAAGAGGAGTGAGTGTCGAGCAGAGAGAGAGTATCGGTGATACGGGAGTAGAAAAGCGTCTACCTCGCGCCATGTCGGTCCACTGTTGTGATCACCATGCACAGCTCCTTTTGGCCTGCACGCCACCCGTTAGGTCTATTTTATTCATTTTATATATATTTATATTTATATTTATATTTTGTAATTTATCATTTATCATTTTCAATTCTTTATGACAAGAACAATGAAGGCAAAGAATGAAGACGAAAGGAGAATAGGGAAGGTACCAGGAACGTCCTGGTGGCCCTCCTCTTTGGCGGTGTTGGCAAAGGAGGACAGATAGCGCAGGGAGTGCTGCACGCGTTGGTTCTCGAGTTCGAAGAGAGTCTGGCGGTAGGGCGCCGCATCGAAGACGCAAGACCCGAGGGTGGAGCGTGCGTGGAAGTAGAGGAAGAGGCCGTAGACAACCCACGACAGCAGCGAGATGACGAGCCAGCGTCGGATGCAACGAAGGCTCACCGTCTCAAAGCGCACGCCCACGCGGCGCAGGTATGTATAGACCACACTGCCCGAGTTCTTTTTAGGTGCGTAGTGTTGTGGTGGCTCGGCAGATTGATCGTGATGCGCCAGATTGCGCAGATTGTGAGTTGGAAGCTGCATTGAGGATGAAGAGGATGAAGATCAACAGATCCTCGTCCGAAGAGGTGCCTCTCCCGGACCTAGAGGATGGGACGTGGCGAGGCAGGTGATGTGGGAAAATAAAAATAAAATGTTTTTCTCCACCTCGTGCGCAGATTTTGTTAATCAAAAAAATGCAGCGTTCTGTGCTGGGTGGCCTCCGACCGTTCTCCCCTCTCCGGGGTACGGTCGCGTACTCTTCCTCCCTCCGTTCTAGCACGCCGCTGGCCCTCACTCAGCGCCGATTCTATGGTACAGCCGCAGTTTAATTGATTTGAATGAAATCTGGCGCTCTAAATGAACGTGTGATATCAGCCGAAGAAGCGGCAGTGACACCACAGGAAGGCGAGGCAGCCCCCGTTAAGAAGGAGAAGAAGAAGAAAGAAAAGAAGGAGAAGAAGGCCGCCAAGGCTGAGGCGGAGGACGAAACTCTCACTGCCGGAGGCCAGAGTACGACATCCCCCCAATGCAAGGGCGGAGACTGCTTATCGTGGCTTACCTCATTTTGGTGCTTCAGAGCTGCACGTGAAGAGGAAGCTGTGCCGGACCCCTCCTAAGAAGAAGGTCTGGACCATCATCGGTGAAGGACGTCTCCTGGTGCGTTTCCAGTCTCGCTGGTGTTGGTCCGCTCACTTGGTGGTCTGCGCTGCTGCTACACTTCTTTCCGTCCCTGCATTCGTCCTGTCTTGTGCTGTGTGCAGATTGTTGTCTTGTTCCCCTCCGCGACTTCCCTCTCCTGGGCGAACGGCCACTGACGACCTTCCTTACTGGCCCACAGGAGTTCGAGTTCCAGAACGACGATCTTCTGGACCATCCTACCTTCGTTACGCCGTACCCCTACGGAGACGAGGACGAGGACGCGGACGAGGTACGCACGGCACTCAAGCCGACTGCCGCCTGTGCTGAGTGTCGCGCGGAGGCTACTTCTCATTCTGTGTCTCAAAATAGGTCGCCGAGGCCTTTGCCAACAGAGGCAAGAAGGGGCAACAGGACCGTGGCGACAGCGACGAGTAGGCACATCAATAAAGCTCTCGATCGCCCTTTTCCTAAATCTTCCAGGAAATAGAAAGCCAAAAAAAGCTCCGGTCGAAGAGGATCAGATCATTGTTTTGTACAGAATGAAGTCGCGAAAGGTGGCCCTTGCGGGAGTGTTGGGGTGGAGCAGCACAGGAGCACCTGTGCGACGGGGGGCATCGGTTCTATTGTTGCGGAGCTTCAGCACGAGCAGTCCTGCTCCGCTAACAGCGGCGGGGCCAAAAGATGAACAGATTCGAAGAAATCGTGAAAACAAGAGCCTTCAATTTGTCTTCATTGAGGGCGAAGCCGCCACTGGCAAGGTACTCACACTCGTGCCACCACTTACTCCCTTCCACCGCTGCTCACCTGTGGTGCGCTGTCCCTCTCGCGCAGAGCACCATATGCGAGTTGCTGAAGAGGCAGGGCTACACCGTTCAGTTTGAGGGCTTTGTTGAGCTGTGCAAGGAGGTATTTCTTCTCTTTCTCATCGTGAATGCTGTTACGTGGAGCTCTGATCGGGCTTATCTGGTCGTGGCGAGAACAGAACAGCCGATATTCACCTCAGGGAAGCGTGGTCTCCATCAAGTGGGTGTCGTCCATGTTCACTGCCATGGAGCGCCTTCTTCACCAGTTCGATGAGGTATTTCAGCCCCTTTTGCCTCCAACGGCGCACGGCCACTCTAACGCCTCTGGCTACAGAAACAAGCCGAGATCAAGGGCGGGGTCGTGTTCTTCGATCGATCCTTCTTGACGCCCTACGTGTATACTCGCGGCTCGTTGAACAACCTTTATGTTTGTGACGCAATGAAGTGCGTTGGCCTCTCTTGATTGATTTGCCCACGACCCGTGATTACTTCAACTCATCCCACGCATCTATCATCAGAGAGATAAAGGAGGTGTTCCCCTGCACCACCGTGCTCTGCAAAACTGCCCTCGCAACGATCGAAGATCGTCTCTTGCAGCGCTACCAGCAAGGCGACGCACAAGCCAAGGTACGGACCCGGGCATGCACTGTGTTCTTGTGAGCGCACCAATCCTCCCTTCCGGGTCAGGCCTAATCCTGATGGTGTTCGATGTCATTGCGCACAGGACATTCGAAAGAACTTGGGCGAACTGGACCACGCCTACATCCAGAAGGTGCACAACAAGTACGCCGAGCTGGAGCAGGACGGCTGGTTCGACCATGTGCTCGACACCTCAGCACCCGGGCCGCAGGTTGTCGAGAATCTCCTTTCCACACTGCGACAGGCGGCCATCATCAACAGCCACGACACTCACATTTCTTCGCACTGATAAGCCATTCACACAAAGAACAAAGAACGAAGCCTACTCGTTTCTCCTTCCACACCATCAGCAGCGGGTGGTGGGTGGAACTCGGAGTTGAATTCCCATAAGGTGCGGGAGGGGAGAGAGACTCAAGTAGCCGGCAAGGTGACAAGAACGCTTCCTCACGCCTGAAGTAGTTGAGTGTTCGTCGGTGGCTAGCTCCCGCCGGTGGACAATTAGTCAAGGCCAGATCCAGCGAGTTGGGCAAGGAGTACGGCTCATATGCAGTGGGCCGTCCTTCGTAATCAACTCCTACATCTCCCTCTGATTATCACGAAGAAAAAGAAAACACCCAGGGCACACAGTGGGAATCAGGCAGATGGAGATAAATGGAAGATTTACTTTATGAGCTTTTGAACGATGTAGCAGTCTCGGGGCTCGATCCTCTTGTAGTAATCCTTGATGGTCTCCACGATTTCGAAGCCAAATTTCTTGTAGAAGCTGATCGCCTCCTCGTTACTCGTCTGCACGTGCAAGTAGATATCGTCCACGTCCCTCTTCTTCGCTGTCTCAATGGCAAATTCGAGCAGCTTGCTGCCTGCACAATTGATTCTAAGATTAACACTATTGTTGCCACAACGCGTGTCCCACTGCTCCGGGCACTGGGAATGAAGGTTTCGTAGACATCTACACTCCTACGCAAAGACAATCACTGATTTGGCTTACCTATTTGCATCTGCCTGTAGGGAGCCAACACGCCGAGGGTCATGATGTAGAGTCGCTTGCCCGACCCGGACTGCTTGTTCTCCACTCGGCAGCATACGCCACCCACCAGGACATCATTGAAGAGAGCGAGTCGAGTGAGGGTGGGATCGTTGAGCAGGTCCCGGTAGAAGGTGTCGTTGTAGTTTACCGGAAAGACAACCGTATTGAGCAATCGAAGTTGCCCCACATTCTTCTCCGTCAATTCGCCAAAGACGACGGGCTGCTCCCTGCTCGCCCCCTTCTTGTCGGCCGACACTTCGGATTGCATTAGATGTTACAAACAAATTGGCCAATCTTGGATTTCGCAGTATTTTGTGTCGAGTGTCGGCAAAAATAGGACAAACATTTTGGCGCCAACGCTTGCGCGCCAAAACGCGGTGAAATCGGCCGAGCAACAAATCACCATCCTGCACGCGTGATCAAGGTGCTTCAAATCCTATCGTAATTCTTCTCTTGTGGAAGGGGAAGAAGCGGAGAGGATCGTGCAAGAAGAAAACGAAATGGAACAAATGGACAGCGAAGAAGCCCTCTATTGGAAGAGGAAGAAGCAGCTGGAAGATGAGCAGGCCGAACAAGCTCGGGAAAAGTTCGTTCTGCTCATCCCTCACAAATCTGCGCATTTTATTAACAATCACTTGCAGCCAAGAAGCACGGTTCGGATTCGGCCGCGTCGAGGGCGAAGAACGCACAGGATGGCTGCTGAACATGCAGCCGGTAACCCTCTTCTCAAGATGAGTTGCATTTCTGGAGCGTAAGTTCACAATTCACCTTAATCCAGACCACCATGGAGGAAAAAGAGACTGGAATTACCAAGATGGCAATCGATTACTACTTCCTTCAAGATGTACGTTCCACACCATGTTCGTTCCCTTTCTTCCACGTTCTGTAACTAGGGATCTTGGTTTAGGATGGCTCCACCTTCAAAGTGACAGTGCCGCACAGCCCCTACTTCTACCTCGACGTCAAGGTGCTCTCCTTTCCTTTTTGATATGTCATGCTCTCGAGCGTGCTCACCGCGCCAAGCAAACAGGAAAAGTTCATTCCGGAGGTGGAGGCCTACCTCAAGCGCAAGTATGAGGGTGTGCAGAACATACAGTCAGTTGACAAAGAGGACTTGGAAATGGTGCGGCCCTGGCCTTCCTCTTGCACGGTGCAACTCTCGCGGTGTTTGTCGCTAACACTTTCCATCACTCCGACACACAGTCCAATCACTTGAACGGACTCCGTAAGCGGTATCTCAAGATCAGCTTCCACACCATCAAGGATCTCCTAGGCATGAGGAAGGATCTCGTGAAAATCATCGACGCCAACAGAAAGAAGAAAGGACTCGGCTCGGCCTACGACGGGGATCTCGGAATGTACGTGCACACTTGCTTTGTCCACCGGTGGCGACGGTAGATGACCTTCCAATTCCCCACAGGCGCAGCGTCTACGGAGAAGCCAAGACTAGCAAGCATGGCTCGTTGAAAGATCACATCATCGACATCAGGGAATCTGATGTGCCCTATTACATTCGTTGTGCCATTGATCACGGCATTCGTGTGGGTCTGTGGTATGATATCATCCCCGTGGAAGGAGGTACGACCCTCAGAAGATCCCTTTGGCGTTGCCCCGGGTCGCTCATTTCGTGCCGTGTGCAGGGTTCGAGCTTCGTAAAAAAGACGACGAGCACCGACCTGAACCAAGAGTCTGTGCCTTCGATATCGAGACTACCAAGCTGCCTCTCAAGTTCCCCGACCCGGAGTTCGATCGAGTGATGATGATTTCGTACATGCTCGACGGACAGGGCTACCTTATCGTCAACCGGTGCGTGATTGTTGAGGAAGCGGGCGCTTTGGTATTGGCAACTCACTCTTTCGGCTTTAACATTAATGCAGGGAGATCATCACTGAGGATATTGACGACTTTGAATATACGCCCAAGCCAGAGTACCCCGGGCCTTTCATTGTCTGGAACGAAGCCGATGAGGTAGCTCCCTTTTCTCGCGGTTTTGTCGAGAGGTATTGTTGATTCACTTCATGTTCGCTTTCAGGTTGGTCTCCTCAGGCGCTTCTTTGATCACATGAAAGAGGTCAAGCCCAACATCTACGTCACGTTCAACGGCGACTATTTCGATTGGCCGTTCGTCGAGCGCCGAGCCGAGGTGCATGGTATATCCATGTTCAATGAGATTGGCATGTGTGACCGAGCTAAGGAGGTACGTTGCTCGCCGGATGATGGTGATGTAGCGTCGATGTCTTTGCACTGATGCTACCGACCATCAGGGAACGGCTGCGGAGTACCGATCTCGCTTTGCCTCGCACATGGACGCCTTCAAATGGGTGAAACGAGATTCGTACCTGCCGCAGGGCAGCCAAGGCCTGAAGGCCGTCACAAAAGCCAAGCTCGGCTACGACCCGTTGGAGTTGGATCCTGAAGACATGGTGCCACTTGCGAGCAGGGACCCGAGGAAACTGGTACCTCTTCTCTTCGTGCCGCGTCTGTGGTGCTACGCTGCTAATGATATGCTCGACAGGCCTCATACTCAGTATCAGACGCCGTCTGTACCTACTACCTCTACATGCAATACGTGAACCCTTTCATCTTCTCGCTCTGCAACATCCTGCCCATGAACCCCGACGACGTGTTGAGGAAGGGCTCGGGCACCCTTTGCGAGACGCTGTTGATGGTGGAGGCCTTCGTCAAGAACATCATCTATCCCAACAAGCAGGTACTCGTCCGCACACTCACGCCTTGCCGTGTTTGATGTTGGTTCCCGATTCTCACGTTGGCTGGTTTCAGGAATCCGATCCTTCAAAGACGTACAAGGGCCACCTGCTGGAGTCAGAGACCTACATCGGAGGCCATGTCGAGTGTCTCGAAAGCGGCGTGTTCAGAAGGGACCTGCCCGTCAAGATGCGCATCCACAAGCCGCACGTGCGCCAGGTACTTGACATACTCTTTCTAGCAGTCGCACATTCACACCGCATGCGAACGCTCACTCACTCTTACTACCTTCCAGCTCATCGAAGACCTGGACGCTGCATTGGAGATGGAACTCGAAGTCAACGGCCTGAAGAAGGAGGACGTAAGCAACTTCGATGCAGTGCGAGACGACATCACTGCGCAGTTGTCCTCTCTCCTCAGCCTAGAGGAGGACAGCGAGCGGACTAAGGAAAAGGAAGATCTCATGAAGAAGAAGGACACCATTGTTGACGACGCCGACGACGAATGGCTCTACGTCAAGACTCTGCCCGTCATCATGCATCTCGACGTTGCCGCCATGTACCCCAACATCATCTTGACGAACCGTCTCCAGCCGTCAGCCATCGTATCCCCCGCCACATGCGCCGTGTGCGATTTCAACAGGCCCGGTGCCACCTGGTACGCGCCTTCGCACGTTTACTTTACTTTTAGTGGGAGTGGGCAGCTGAGCCCCTCCTTCTGCAGCCAGAGGAAGATGAATTGGACGTGGAAGGGCGAGTACATCCCTGCCACCCGCACCGAGTATGAGCTCGTCAAGTCGAAGCTGGAGACCGAGTGGATCCAGAAGGGCATCCGCTTGCCCGAGGCCAAGCAGAGAAAGGAGATCCAGAAGCGGCTTAAGCAGTACTCGCAGACCGTCTACAAGAAGCAGAAGGTCAAGGAGGAAGAGGAGCGGTACGTCGCAGCGTACATTCAATCAGACTTGGGAACGAACCCTGCTCATCTGCTACTTGGGTCTTTCTATCTGCAGGGAGGCCATCGTTTGCATGCGGGAGAATCCCTTCTACGTCGACACAGTGAGGGCGTTCCGTGACAGGCGATACACCTACAAGAATGCCCTCAAGGTGTGGCAGGGCAAGCTCAAGTCGGCTGAGAATGTACGTTGCTACCTTTAGTGCGACAGAGAGCAACCACCATCGGATGCTCATTGGCCTCGATTATGTATAGGCCCGGTCCGAAGGAGATGTCTACAACGCCAAGGGAAGGGTCATCCTCTACGACTCTCTGCAGTTGGCGCACAAGTGTATCCTCAACTCCTTCTACGGCTACGTGATGAGGCGCGGCGCCAGATGGTACTCAATGGAAATGGCCGGCGTAGGTTCGTATCGCGCAGATCTCAAGCGACGTTTATTCACCAACGCCGCACCAACTCACTCAACTTCTCCCTCCAGTAACCCACACCGGAGCGCAGATCATCAGGCAAGCGCGCCAGTCCGTCGAAAAGCTCGGCCGTCCGCTTGAGCTGGACACGGACGGTATCTGGTGTGCTCTGCCGGATCAGTTCCCCATGACCTTCGACTTCAAGATCAAGGCGTCGGGCAAGAGGTACCTCCTTTTCACTTTCTTCTTCAATGCTCACTAGGGTTGCCCCCTGATGGTTTCAATGTTGCTCTTTCAGCCACATCTTCATGTACCCGTGCACGATGCTCAACAAGCTAGTGGCGGACCACTTCACCAACGACCAGTACCACACCACCGATCCTGACAACCCCGAACACATCGAAATCAAGAAAGAGTGCTCTGTTCTCTTCGAGGGCGACGGTCCCTACAAGGTACGTGCGCACCCAAGTCCGAGCGACAGTCTCCGTAAGTTGACCTCTTTTATCCTCGCTCAGGCCATGATCCTGCCCGCCTCCAAGGAAGAGGGCAAGCTGATCAAGAAGAGGTATGCCGTGTTCGACAAACATGACAGACTCGTAGAACTCAAAGGTAACGCAGCATTCAAACAGATCACTCTGCATCAACTGTTCTGACCCTTTGGCGGTGTGCAGGTTTTGAGGTGAAGCGCCGAGGTGAGCTCAGGATGATCAAGGTATTCCAGGCCGAGGTATTCGAGAAGTTCCTCGAGGGCAAGACGCTGGAGGAGTGCTACGCAGCTGTGGGCAAGGTCGCAAACGACTACATGGACCTACTCTACAACAAAGGCTCCAAGCTGCCCGACGAAGAGCTGCTCGATCTCATCTCCGAAAGGTATGGCGTCACTATCCATTTCACGTAGCGAAAGTCATCACTGAGGCCATTCTTTGTTTGACAGCCGCAACATGTCGAAGACACTGGCGGAGTACGGAACTCAGAAGTCCACCTCTATCACTACCGCTAAGCGTCTGGGCGAGTTCCTGGGTCTCGAGATGGTCCAGGAGAAGGGTATCACGTGCAAATACATCGTTGCTAAGGTGCCTTACCCCAGCGTTTGCCTGTTGTAACAACTTGGCTAACTTCTTCCATACAACTTGCAGAAACCCGCTGGCGCGCAAGTGACTGACCGCGCCGTGCCGGTCAAAATCTTCTCAAGCGAAGTGGCGCCGGAGAGGCGTCAGTACTTCCTCAAGAAGTGGTGTCAGGACGAGCGCATGACCAACTTCGCCATCCGCGACATCATCGATTGGGACTACTACATTGGTACGTGGCTCCGTCCCACACCCGGTGGTTGTGCCGGTAGGAAGACTTACCCAAGCGCACCTACCCTACGTTAATAGAGCGTCTCGGAGGTACGGTCCAGAAGATCATCACCATTCCGGCAGCCCTGCAGAACGTGGAGAATCCGGTCCCTCGCGTGGTTCACCCGCCGTGGCTCCTCCAGCGACTCAAGGAGCACAAGCAAACGAGGATCAACAGCCACTTCTTCTTCGTCAAGAAGATCGGAGGTACGCCGTTCACAACCAAGCTCTCTGCACCACACGCGGTCGTTACTCAACAACCATCTCTATCTGCAGGTGACAAGGGGAAAGACAAGGTGGTTGGCGACATCGAGGATGGGCTGATGCATCTGGACAAAGGAGCTGCGGACGGAGACATGGTCAAGTTCCCTCCAAAGGCCATCGTGCGGCTTCACAAGAGGTAGATGCAAACCTTTTCTCTCACAAACACACTGACTTGATGGGCTAGCATTAACATGTCACGCGCCTCTTAGGGGAAGGAATGACGATGTAGAGCAGGACGATGGCACCGCGGGTATGATGGACAGTCCGCAGAGGCAACCGGAGCGAAAGAAGACCAAGGGGAAATCCAAGGCTGACGAAGAGGAGGAACTGCTGGCGGAGGAGACCACACCCGAACCCGATCAGGAGGAAGACTACGTCGAGTGGCTGCGGTGGAAGAAGCGGCAGTGGAAGCGCATGCGCGCATTGAGGAAGCTGAGGCGGAAGGAGGGCGCTCAGCCGGGTACCTCTATTGCCAAAGGTATGTCCCCATTTCTGTTAGGCGTCTTCTCCTGCGCGCCCACGTTGGCTCATCCCATTTGTCGTATCTACACATGCAGGCGTTGGTGTCAACTCAGTGGTCTCCTACGCGAGACGTCAGCGCGCTGCGCTATTGGAGGGTGTCTGGGAGATCATCGAGATCCGACCCCTCGCCCACTCTGTGAACCATTTCCGTACTTGGTACATTTCCGCTCCGATCATTGTGCCTGGCCAGGCCCATTCTCTGATCATCACTGTGCCGCTTTCCTCTGTTCTGTCCACCACAGGGTCCTTGTCGGTGATGCGCTGCATTCGCTCACACTCGAGGTCCCTCGGGTGTACTACATCAACTACCGCAAAGCGCCGAGCCCGCACGAGCTGGTAACCTCCTTGCCACTGAAATGGTCATTTGTCGCGCTTGTGTGATTCTCAATGGACTCACCCTCTTACGCCCGCACAGCCACCCAACGCAACGAAGGTAGACAAAGTTGTTCTTCCCAGGAACACGGAAGTGCAGCACCTGTACCAGGTTCAGGCAACCGAGCTGGAGTATCAGGGCATGCTACTTGATCTAGAGACCAGGCAAAACGTCGAGGGCATATACGAGGTGCCTTTAGACCAATCGTGAGGTGGGTATGTTCGTATGAATCCTAACCTTTTGCCTCCTCCCAGACACAAACTCCACTACTCTTCCGGGCGCTGGTGCATGCCGGAGCTGTTTGTCGACTCACGCCCGCGGCGAAGAAGGAGCGACGCAGACAGGACAGCGACATCTTCTCGCTGCTCGAGGCACGTGATGATCTTTACTCTGCGTTTGCGTTGGGCTTGCGCGTTTCGAGTACTTATGCGATCTGTTCCCTTGCAGTTGGACTTCATGCCAGCGGAGGGCGGCTTCAAGGTTGCGCCGGCGCCGGCGAGCACGCAAGCCGCGCAGCCGTATCTGAACAACCAGGCCGACCGCTACCATAACATCTACCTCTACTGCAGCTTTTCGACCGACGGCAAGCGCGGCATGATCGGCATCTTCCCGTCCTGGGCACCTCCCGGCTCGGAGGACGCGCGCAAGCAGGCTCACGTCCTCGTGATTCACCCCTACAGCCGCAACCTGACTGCCACGAAGGGGGTGGAAAAGCGCTTCTCCGGTACCGCCCTCCCTCCCTCGGTTCAGCCGACAGCTCTGGTCTGACAAATTTCTGTGCAGACAAACTGCCCGAGAGGGAGCACGACGTACAGCGCTTTACGAGCGTTACGGAGGCCCTCCGGTCCGTCAACAAGCGATTGAAGGAATACAAGGACCAATCCCACAAGCCCACCGTGCTGGTACGCTCCACCCCCTTCCCCCGAAGGGCAAGACCGAAGGTGGGCTACCCGCTTACGAAACCATTCTTGATGCGTCAAGATCACGCAAACGGCTGTGGAGGAGGACCGTCTGGAATCGTACTTCCCGGCCATGCGCGAGTTCCCTCGCACGGCCATCCCCGGCAACGAGCGGGACAACAACTACCCTCCTCTGGCCTGGGAAGACTACGCCGCTGACGTCCTCACCTCTCGATTCGGGTACTGTCCCGCCCAAATGTTGCCATGAGCGCAAGAACTTGCTGCTGACATCGTACCTACCGCCATCGACAGTGACTCGGCTCAGTGGTGGGAGTCGCAGGTTGGAATGTGCAACTATGCTAACGTACCCATCGGCAACATGACCTCGGACTGCATGGTCCTCATCTCCGATATCCTGTTCGCACGGTAAAAGCCCTCATCTCCTTGAAGTGTGGTTTGTCTTTTTCTTTGTGTGACTCACTCCTTTCTTGGCCTATGATTTCCAGCATGCTCAAGAGAGACAACCAAGTGTTGTGGGCGGCGGAGCGAGAGCGGCCTGACTTTGCCGGCAAGGAGGGCGATGACAACTTCTTCGACTCCATGGCCACCACAGACGAAATGGTTCGCGAGCCTGGCCCTCACTTCCTCTCGGCCCTACCCGACAGAGGAACCTCCGTCACGCAGTTTCGCTCACCCTCTCATTCGTGCAGCTCTATCCTGAGGTGGTGACGCCCGACTGCTACAGCTGCATCTGCGCCGAATTGAACATCCATTTGCTGGCGATGAACACTGTGCTGGAATCCAACCGTATCCACGAGATTGAGGGCACCGCCGCCGACAACGTCGTCACATTCAGCTTCACGGGGAGCGACGTACGTCCTGGCCTTTCGTCCAGCCTTCTCTCGGCTTGTGCTGCATCTATTCGGATTGGCTGGGATTCCAACTCTTGGCCCTACATCAGGTGCTGCGGGTGGACGAAGCGTCGGGCTGTGGCAAGGCCTTCAGCATGCTCAAGGCAATGCTCGGCCGATGGGATAGCGACTGCAACCAGGGCAACAATTACGCCGACGTGTTGGTCACGCACTTCTACCGCTGGCTTTCGAACACGCGCTCGCTGCTCTACGATCCTGCGATCCACCGATACGTGCAGTTGCTGATGCGCAAGGTCTTCCTCCACCTCATCGCCCAGTTTAAGCACCTGGGCGGTAAGATCGTCTATGCCACCTTCAACAAGCTCATCATCAGCACGAACAAGCCTGAACTCGAAAGCGCCGAGCAGTACATGAACTACATCCTCGGCGAAACACGGTAAGTTATCCTTCCTTCGCGCACCACCGAGCGAGCATTGTACTGATTCAGTTGTTGCTCCTCCTCCAGTAAAAACCCGATGTTCAAGTCGCTGGTGCTGGAGCCACGTCAATACTGGTACCGCCTTTGCTTGCCACTCGCATACCGGAGTTGGCTAGAAGCTAACCTCTTTGTAATTGTTGCCTGATCGTGTAAACAGGGCCACGCTGCTGTTCAAGGACAGAGCCAACCACGGAGGAATTCCCGCCATCGACAAGGAGAATGTGGCGGTGGTGATGGGCGAGGAGAACGGCCCCCAGTCACAGAGCGAACCCCAGTCCCAGTCCCAGAGCAAGGGGTACGTCCACATCTACCCGCTGTGCTTGATGGCCGGTCACTCAACTCACGGAGGGGTCCATGTGGAGCAGGGATGGAGAGTCGATCATCTCGCACTGGAACATGGCCGAATTCCTGCCGACGAAGCTGCAAGACCACTTCATCATCGCCATTTCTTCGTTCATCCTGAGCGTGCACAAGAACAGGCTGCTGCACTACAAGTTGCAAAAGGACAGAAAGACTCGTACGTCCCCCTGCTTCTGTGCAATTCAGAGGTTTCTGAGTTAACTCTTGCGCTCAACAGTGGGCGATGCGTCCGAGACGAGCACGGGGAAGCGAGCGAACGTTCTCGATCAGCGCGTGTACTCGGAAGAGGATGAAGAGGCCTCCGAGGTGAAGGAGCTCAAGGAGATCATTCCCCTTCGATTCATGCAGAAGCTGTTCACCCTCGTGCAGGACATCCAGAAGATCACCATCGAGATTTCCGAGGACCAGAAGAGGCGACGAGGAAGGTACGACTTGAGCCCCACTTCTTTGCTCTCAAAGCCATCACCTCGCCCAGCCACTGGACCAGCCGTTGACAACGACACCCGCAGGTATCAATCGTTTGCTATTTCCAAGGCCATCGACAAGAACCCGACGCTGGAGTTCGTCAAGTTCGTCTCGCACGCCATGTCCATCGACAAGACCCTGCGACCACAGGTCACCCCTCCCCGTCTATCACCACCCAACCCCACGCTGTTACGCAGCACGAGTATGGTCTGACCTCGACTCTCTCATTCTCTTCGCTTGCAGACCGACAAGCTGCGCAAGAGCTTGTTGAAGCTCATCAACGTGATGCCGTTCTCGCAAGAGGCGCAGTACCAGGAGCCGTGCCAATCGTTCCGCCTGCCCGTGATCTGCACCTTCTGTTCGGCCACGCGCGATGTCGACCTGCTGCGCGATGTCGACCTGCTGCAAGGTAGACCTAAACCCCACGCAACAGATGGGGAGGTGGTCGTGTTGCTCATCCCTTCTTTCACCCGCAGGCGATGAAGGCTGGAGGTGCATGTACTGCAAACACGGCATCGACAAGCAGGAGGTGGAGATGCGGCTGGTTTCGATCTTCCAGAAGCACTGGTGCGTGCGCACTCGCATGTTGGTTGAGACCTGTGGTCAACAGCTCCACATTCTCGTTCTCACATGTTCACTCCTCAATGCAGCTTGGCGTACCAGTTCCAGGACGTGACGTGCAAGAAGTGCTCCACCGTGAAAGCCGACTTCATGGGCGTGCGATGCAAGAAGTGCTCCACGTCCGAGTTCGTGCCGCGGATCCCGCCGGCTCAGTTCAGGAAGAGGTACACACCCGAACCCGCACTGTTCAGTTTTGCCTTTGCCTCTTCTCACACATGCTCAATCTCACATCGCCACGCGGTTCAGGATGCGAGAGTTCCTTGACGTGGCCGAGGTGCACCAGTTTGATTACCTGCGAAGCGCTGCAGAGGACGTCCTCTACGAATGAGGCTGCCTGCAGCCGCCGCCTCAGAGGCACTGACCGCTGGCTCTGCAGAGCGTGTACCGCACGTCTTGCGTTCTTCGTTCGCCGGATAGGTCGTTTGCGTTTTCGTGGTGCCAGGGGCTCCCCCCATTCCAGGCCAACGCCGAATTGCTGACCAGTGGCTGCGCTCGCTTTCTCCGCTTCGCTCCCAGTAAATACAACTGGCACAACGATACATTCGATTTGCACACACATCAGATTTCACATTGAGGGAGATGGCGCAACAGAACTACCTTCGTCTGGGCGATACTGCCCCTGATTTCGAGGCTGATTCCACTCAGGGTCGCATCAGCTTCCACAAGTGGAAGGAGGGCAAGTGGGCCATCCTCTTCTCGCACCCTGGTGGTACGCGCACAACCATCTGCAGCATGTTTTGCGCGGAACTACTCCTCCCCACACATCACCCTCATCATGTGCGAACTCAGATTCCCAATCTTCCCATTCTCTCTTTAGATTACACGCCCGTGTGCACCACCGAGCTGGGCATGACCGCCAAGCTGCAGCCCGAGTTTGCCAAGAGGAACACGCTCGTCATCGGCCTCAGCGTGGACAACGTCGATGACCACCACGGTACGTACCGTGTGTCATACCTTCGTTGGCTCTGCGCCAGCGCAGTTAGCAACTGACCCCGCTGCGTGCTCGCGCCATAGGGTGGGTCAAGGACATTGAGACGACGCAGAACTGTACGGTGAACTACCCCATCGTGGCCGACCCGGACAGGACGGTGGCCGAGACCTACGGCATGATCCACCCCAACTCGCCCCACACCATGGCCGGCAAGCTCACCGTCCGCACCGTCTGGATCATCGACCCCAACAACAAGGTCCGCCTCAACCTCACCTACCCCGCTGCCACCGGTACCCTCCTCTTCTTGCGTCGTGTGTTGTGTGTGTGTGCGTGTGTCGTGTGTGTTGTGTGTGTGTGTTGTGTGTGTTGGTGCCACGAAGCTGATATCGGGACGGGGTGCACGCAGGCCGTAACTTCAACGAGGTGATGCGCGTGCTCGATGCGCTGCAGCTGACGGACAACTACAAGGTGGCCACCCCCGTCAACTGGGAGCAGGGCCAGGACTGCGTGGTGCTTCCCACCATCTCCACCGAGGACGCCAAGAGCCTCTTCCCCAAGGGCGTCACCGAGGTCACCCCCTACCTCAGGCTCACCCCGCAGCCCAACCTTCCCTGAAGCACCCCCCCCCCCATCTACCCAAGCAAGCTTGAAGATGAAGACAAACGCGTTTCTCGCCTTCTTCTTCTTTCTCTTCAACAAACGAACTGAGCTCAGTGGTCGTCGGCCAGGCTGATGTCCTCCAGCGCCTCTGCGCGCCGACCACAAGGGGAAGTGTTAGGGGGCGCAGTGAGGGAAGAGGCTCTTGGTGAGGGGGGGGGCAGGCACCAGAGAAGGGGTTGAACTCGAAGCTGTCCGAAGACTCGCTGAGGGCTCGGGGCGAGCCAGATGATGAAGATATGCTGTAGGGCGACGACGTGTAGGGGCCTCTATTCGTCGCGAGCGCGCTGGAGGAGGCGGTCGAGCCTCGATTCAGGCGCGATACCGCCCGCACTAACGGAGGGGCGCTGGCCGCCTGGGTCGACGCACGGCCTCGCGAGTCGGCCATGCTCATCCGCCGCTTCGTCATGGTCGCCGCCCGGCTCTTCTTGATGATCGTCGCCCGCACCTCCGGAGTGATGGTGACGACGTCGAGGAACCGGCGCCGGCGCAGGGCCATGCCCAGGTCCAGGAAGAACTCCTCGGCCGCGGCCTCCCAGTCCCGCGACCGCCACATCTCCCAGCCGACCGTGTACGTGACTCGAATGATGCGCTGCATGCGCTTGTTCGTGCCCTCCGTCAACCGGAACGTGCATCGATCGCCCAACGTCATTATGGTTTGATCTGAAGTGGTGGAGGCCATGCACGCGTTACGTGAACAGGTGCGCTTGGTCCTGGTCGATGACGTGAATGAAAGTGAAGGAGGTGCCGCACTTGGGTTGGACTCGACGATGTTCATGCCGTGGCTCTGCGCGATTAGGCGGATGAGCTCCATGATGGCCTCGGCAGGCGCGGTCATCCGCACGTAGGCCACGCGTAACCGCTCCTCGGGGATGTGCAGTGTGGATTCCTTGAGTTCGTGAGCTCTTCTCATTTTCAGCGGTAGCGCTTCTGCGCGAAGGTTCAAGTCTAAACGAACAAGGAACCCGACATGCTGTGGTGTTCAGGTGGTTACCTTTCATTGACCTCAGCACTCGGTACTTGGCCATCACTTTGCCCAGCCGGTTCCAGAGCGAGCTATGGTCGCAGTTTAGTGAAAAGCACGATATGGAGGGGAGCAGTGTTGGGGGAGCCGTACATCTCCTCTTCGTCCTGGTAGCGGACATCGACGATGGTGTGCGAGAATTCGAAGGCGAAGCTCACCCTGCACTGCTGCCGGGAGCTGTCCATGGCGGTCCACTGTTCAGCGTCGACGTCGCTCGTGCTGATGGTGAACCCGTGCTTGGTGACGAACAGCCTGCACATATTCTGTGACAAGCAAGAGTTGTGACCACGAACAAGTGGCGAAGAAGTGACCACCTTCCTTCGCTTCCCACACTGGGCCATACGGACCTTGATGCAGGAGTGCCCAACATCCTTGCGCACGTAAGCGCGCCATGAACCTCTGGCCTGCGAAAATGTGTCCACGGAGAGTGGGTCGACGACGGAAGAGGACCAAATCTTGTGCATCCGGCCACAACACCCACAGCCAGGGAGCCTCTTGTTTGTTGTTTTTATTTCCCTCACCCTTTTCTCCTGTTCACTCCTTGGCGAAACGACGCATCGAAATTTCGATGATAAATTGTTCGAGTAATTTATTCGCTGAATTCGAAAATTTTCTTGTAACCACAATCAACCAATTCAGAAACGGAAGAGAAGCGCGCCAAGTTGTTCACGCGAAGGAATTGGATCGTAGCGAGTAGCGCAACTGCCGGCGCGAAGCAAGTAGCAAAGGAAAGAGGAGGAGTGAAAGCATAATCAGAAACGACAACGTCAATCTTAGCACTACAAAATGTCGCAGCCGGAGGTTGACTACGCACCCATCGGAGAGGAAGAGATGAAACTCGCCTTCCAAGCCATCGATCAGGAGCAACGCGAAGGTCCGTTTTCATTCTCATCTTTTCGCTATTTCATCATCTCATCTTTCATCACTTTCGCATAATCGCAACTCCTTGCCGCGCCTCTACACGGTTGCCAATGTTCATCTCATCTGCTACAAATCTGCTGTGTTATGACAGGGAACAACCAGGTCAACGCCAGCAACTCGGCCCAACAGCAGAACCAGCATCACCAAACCACGCAACACCTGCCAGCCTACGTGCGCACCACGCCCGGCATCCCGACCCACTTCGACACGCCGCGGTCGGGCGGGCTCACGCAGCAGGCCGCCTCGCGCTCGGTGAGCAAGCCCCCGCCGGGCGCCAACGTGACCCAGCAGGAGACCCAGACGCAACCCTACCAGCCCCAGCCGCCTCAGGCCAAGCGCCCCAACCTCTTCTCCCTCTCGGGGTCCTCCTCCGCAAGTTCTTCCTCCTCTTCTTCCTCTTCCTCCTCTTCATCGTCGTCGTCTTCTTCTCCTTTCTCCACTTCGTTCTCCTCTACGTCGCCTTCGTCCCTCGCTGGGCAGCAGCCGCGCACTTCGCCTCCGCGCGCCTTCACGCCCAACGCCCGCGGCGTCGGCGTCGGCGGAGGCGGCTACTCGGCTCCGTCGTCGTCATCGACTTCGCCGTTTTCGGCGAATGCCACCTCTCAGCAGCAGGGTCCCCTCTCCGCTGGCCAGTCTCCCTCCAATCACGGCGCCGCCGGCGCTGGTCAACAGCTCCAGCCGCCGCCGCCGCAACAGCAGACCCAGCCGGGTGGCGGCTCGCCGTACGTGGCTCCGACGTCGTCCTACGCTGCAGGGCCTGGCGTGCAGGGTGGTGGTGGTGGTGCGCCGATGAGCGAGGACGCGGTGACGGCGGCCATTCAGCAGATGAAGGAGGAGGAGCGGCGCCGTAAGGAGGAGCGGAAGCGGAAGCGCGAGGAGGAAGAGAGCTGGGCGCGCATGGTGCGCGGCAAGCTCGACCAGGAGGCCGAGAAGATCGACAAATACGAACAGTCGACCCACGACTCCAACCGCGAGCTCTACGCCCTCTTCAACGACCTCCAGTGCATCTCTCACGAGTTCGTCTCCCCTCCCCGAGTTCCCCTTCTTTCGTCTTCGTACTTTTGTTGACTGTTTGTTTCGTTCTTTTTCGTGTGCTGCGCAGTTTTGGGATCCAGTTCGAGACGCCCGAGCTGGTGGTGGTTGGCATGCAATCGGACGGCAAATCGAGCTTCATCGAAGCTTTGCTCGGCTTCCAGTTCAACATCGTCGAAACCAGTACGGACGCTTCCCCCCCCCAAAAGTGGCGTGCGTAGCAGTTCTGTATTCTCATCGTACCGGGGTACTACAGACATAGGCACGCGTAGGCCGCTCATCCTGCAGATGATCAACAACCCGGAGAGGGACATCCCCAACTGCCGCTTCCGCAGGGAGAACGCCTACAACGAAGGCGAGGCGGGGCAACAGGCAGTCGAAGCCGGTACCGACCAACACTCACCCTCTGCACTTGGCGGCCCGCAAGTCAATGCTGACAGGCCTCTCCTGCTAGATACGTGGGAGCCGCGCGACACACCGATCGAGGACCTGGTCCACGAGATCGTGAGGCGGACCAATGAGAAGGCTGGCCGTGGGGAGCACGTCAGCGCCGCGCCCATCATCCTCCGCGTTGAGTACGCCCACTGCGCCAACCTGACCATCTACGACACGCCCGGCTTCCGCCTCGGAGGCGATGTACGCCCTCCTGGTCCCCCTTGCTCTCTGTCGGTTGTTTGTAGTACACTCACTCCTTGGGTCGCCTCCAGGAAAAACTGCGCGCCGACATCCAGCGCATGGTCGAGCGGCTGATGCAGCCCGCGAACCGCATCATCGTTTGCTTGGAGCAATCGACGGTGGAGTGGGCCAACACGTCGTCGCGGCCGATCGTGCGCCGCTTCGATCCCACCTTCTCGCGCACCGTGCTGGTGAACACCAAGTTCGACAACCGCGTGAAGGAGCTGCGCACGCCCGAGTCGGCGGCCAAGTACCTCATGGGTGAGAACCTGCCCGAGGGCAAGAAGCCCTTCTTCATCTCCCTCCCCGTACGCCGCAATCTCGACAGCGAGCGCTTCCGCGACGGGATCAAGGAATGCTACCTCGACGACTTCCGTCGTCTCCTCGAGATCAAGTTCCAAGAGCAAGAGTACGAACTGTGTCGTGTATGTCGTGTCGTGTCGTGTCGTGTCGTGTCGTGTCGTGTCGTGTCGTGTCGTGTCGTGTCGTGTCGTGTCGTGTCGTGTCGTGTCGTGTCGTGTCGTGTCGTGTCGTGTCGTGTCGTGTGTTCTGGATTGCACGAGCTAACTGAAGCGGGCGTGGCTACTAGTTTCGCCGAGCAGGTGGGGTTCCACCGCGTGAAGGCCTATCTCGAGCGCATGCTCACCGAGAAGTACTACGCGAGCGTGCCGCCCACCCTCCACATGCTGGACAACATCTGCAAAGAGAGCGAGCGGGTGCGTCGTCGCCCATAGCCCCCCCCCTCCTCTCAAGCCATGCTAACTGCTCGTGTTCGATTCGATTCAGGAGTTGCAAATGGTGCGGCGTGAGCTCGAGTCGAACAATCTCGAGCTGCTGCGCAACAAGGTGAATCGCTACGTGCAGTCGTTCATCCTCCTGATCGAGCGTCTCCTCGAGGGTTCGATCATCGGCAGCCCCGACACCTTCGGCGAGACCCTGCAGGAGGAGAAGGCCGCCAGCGGCATCGGCGAGTGGCCGGCCCATGGCATCGAGTACGACATCCAGAACAGCCACTACAAGATCTACGGTGGCGCCCAGTACGAGCGCCTGCTCAACGAATTCGAATACGTCGCCCACAGCAAAGGTGCGCATCGGAGGCCTCCCTCTCGACTGCTACTGTCATTTCGATCGATGCGGGGCAGCTCACGTTTGTTCTTCTTCGTTTCTTTTAGAGTTCCCCTTCATTTCTATTCACGAGGTGGCGTCGGCCATCGGCACGTCCAAGTACCACAACGTGCCGGTTTTCGAAACAGCGGTAATCTCTGCCCCACTCTTCTCAATGCACTTTGCCGCAGCCGCGAGCGCGAGGCCACTCGAGTCTAATTCTTTCTCTCGTTGGATGCTTCGGTACGGCAGGCAAGCGATATTGTGCAGATCAAGGCCCGCAAGGAGCTGCAGCCGCTGATCGACGTGGTGCTCGCACGCTGCTCGTACGTGTTCAAGCGCCTGTGCGACGTCGGCATCTCGGTCATGAAGGGCGGCGAGAGCGGCGTGCTCAACGTCTACGAGCCGTTCATCAAGGAGCTTCGCGCCGTGTACGGTGGGTTCATCGACAGCGTGGAGGAGCTCTGTCGGTCGAAGCTGATGGACGACTTCGAGACCTTCACCAAGATCCTCGATTGGGACCTGCTCACCGGCCTCTCCGATCTCGGCAAAGAGTGCGCGCTCCCTTCATTCTTCTTTCTTTCTTTCTTTCTTTCTTTAAGGTTCTCTTCTTTGGTTGCTCACGTTTTGTCGCCACACGGTGATCATAATGATGGTGTGTGACGGGATGATTGAAGATACGACTATCTCGCCAGGGATGCTGCACAGACTCATGAACGAGTCACGCAGATGATGCAACGCAACGAAGGCAGCGCCAGTACGTTCCTACCTTGCATGATCAACAACAGGCGTTCTTTTTCAATTTTTTGAATTAACGCCTGATGTGCGCCGTACGAAGTGAACATAGAGGGGAGCAGGTCGCGCAGGATCGGTGAATCTGCCTACAACCAAGTGTGCACCATGTCGGCGCGGCTCTTCGCTGGCATCCGCTTCTTCTTCGTCAAATACGTCCGGAACAAGCTCAACGCCTTCTTCCTCGACCCAATGTATATCTGCCCCTCCCCCCCTCCACGACCCTGCGTACTCTGCGTCTCACGCAACCACATCTGCGTCGCGCACACAGGTTTCAGAGGCTGGGCGGTGAGGTGACGGATCACTTCCGTAAGCTCACGGACGATCGATTCTCGGAGCTGTTCGCCCTCGGTGCCGTCGAGCTGAAGGAGCGCGCAGTCATGCTGGAGAACCAGCTTGTCCACTGCACGGCGAGCCGCGATCGCTTCAAGGAGGGTACGTCCACGCATCGCGTCCTCGCTCCTTCCTTCCCTCTTCTTGAGGGCTGACCATCACCTCTTCTCTTTCTCCTTCTTCTCCTTCTCATCAGTCTATCAGCGCCTGCTGAGCCGAGCCGACAATTAGCGCTCCCTCTCTGCCCCGACGCCCGTGTGACGTTCAAAAAATATTGTGTGTGGTGTGTGTTGTTACCCTGTACATCTTCTTCCATAAACATGTTGTTTCCTTTGTCGCAAGCGTGTGTGGGTGTGCGTGTGCGTGTGCGGTCGTTTTTGTGCGTTGCGACGGAAAGAAGAAAAGGAGGCAGAAAAACAAGGGTTTTCACATCAACACGGGGAGATGCGACGAGGGCACATCGTGACATGGGGCCTTGCCCCGTGCAAGTACGGAAGGGTGCCGGCAGAACGGTTGCGGCTGCCAACGGCGTCGCCGCCCTTTGGCTGCTCCTCACCCCGACGCTCATTTCACGCTAGTGCGCTCCTCTCCTCATCGCGCTCTGCCTCTCCAAATCGTCCAGCGTCACCGGAGCCTAGCGCCCCTCATCAAGGTACGGCCTGCTTGATGAGGGGATTCGGATTAGATTTTTTCGATATCGTAATTTATAAATTGTTATTTTGTTTTTTAATTTATTTTTCGTTTTAATTTTCTTGCGTTGTACAGAATTCAGGGGTATGGCTGTGGCCTTCCTGGGCACGGGTTCGGGCGTGCCTTCGCTTGAGCGCAATGTCACCTCCATCGCCATCAAGCTCGGTGCGTGCCTGTCATTCTTGTGAGCATAAGCTACTTGGGTCCGGCGCCCGCCTCGGCTGACCGACCACCACACACAGAGAGCCGAACCATAATGGTGGACTGCGGTGAAGCGACGCAGCATCAGTTCATGAAGTGCCCCGGGCTGACGCTCCAGAGCGTGGAGCACATTTTCATCACACACCTCCACGGCGATCACGTACGTGGCCCGCACACACGCCACACGCACCAGCGCGCGACTCACGTTTTGGCGAGGCGTGTCGTGTGTGTCGTGACAGATCATGGGTCTGGGCGGCGTCGTTCACGGGATCTGCTGCGGCCTGGAGAGCGGGCGGATGCAGCCGCTCCACATCTATGGCCCGCCCGGCCTTCGGCGCTATGTTCGAACCCTCCTCGATACCACGCGGCCCACACTCGATCTGCCGTTGTTCATCCACGAGCTCGTGACCGCCGATCCTCGCCTTCAAGCCAAGAACAAGCCCGATGTGCCCAGGCTCAGGTATACAAACATACATAGCATTACTATGCCTCATCGTCGTCATTTCTATGTGGCATTTGGTGGATGTAGTATGTTTATTCATTTATTTGTTCGTGCACCAGAGACACGGACATACCGATGGACGAAGCAACGGGAACGTGGAACGTCTTCTCCGACAAGAAGGTCCGTGGATGATGGTCTGCTGGTGGTGGTGTCACAGACATCTCGTGGTAAAGCAAGTCATTTGACTTTTTTTTTCCAACTGTGCCCACCAACAAACACAGATCAGCATACGAGCAGGGCCGCTGCAGCACAAGGTGCCCTGCTGGGGCTACGTCGTGAAGGAGGCCGACTCGCAGGGCAGCATAGACGTGGATCTGTGCGTCGCCAAGGGCCTGCCTCCCGGACCCCTCTACAAAGAGCTGAAGGCGGGACGCTCCGTCGCCCTCCCCAGCGGCGCCATGGTACGACGCGGATCTCTTTCGCCCGCGCTCGACCGACCGCGACTCACTGATTTCGCGGTGCTGGGCCGCAGTTGCATCCGTCGGAGGTGGTGGGTCCGCCCAAGGTGGGCCGGAAGCTGGTGGTGTTGGGGGACACCTGCGACTCGAGCGGCATCGCGGAGATCGGCCGGGGCGCCGATCTGCTGATCCACGAGTGCACCCTCCCCCGCCGACTCGCCAGCGAAGCCTACAAGCGAGGACACTCAACCGCTGGTACGTAGCCCCCGATCGAGCGCCCACACGAGTTGGGAGCCTCACGCGTCATTATTGATCTCAACGCAGCCATGGCGGGACGATTCGCCAAGAGTCTGCACGCGAAGAAGCTCGTCCTCACCCACTTCAGCGCTCGCACGGCTACTCCCGGTGAGGTGCGTTCCCTGTCTTCCCTTCTTCTTCTTCTTGCGGCGAACGCACCTACCCAGCGACATTGTTTCACATTTCTTTTTCATATCCACCGCGTCAGGAGAGCGTTGAGGACATGGTGAAGGAGGCGGGTCAGGTCTTTGGCGGGCCTGTGGGGTCAGCTCATGACCTCATGTGGTTGGAGGTGCCACCAACAAGATAATCGTTTGCTTGTTTCGTTTTCGTTTTCGCTGCTCGTTTCGTTTCGTGTTTCTTTTTTATTATTTTGGGTTCCGAAAGAAAGAGAAGAACGGGAAAAAACGGAAGAAAAAGAGATCATCTGATTGATAGAATTGGAGGAGGTGAAGATGAGGCGCTTCGAGAAGCTGAACCCGACGAAGTACTGGCTGCCTAATATTCCGCTTACGCTGATGCCTCCGGCACGCAACCTGCCCTCCAACAAGTTCGTGCTGCGCGTGCAGCCCAACATCACCAAGGTCGAGCTTCAAAACTACATCTCGCAGCTCTACGGCGTCTCGGTGACAAAGGTCAACACCATGAACTACGAGGGCAAGCTCAAGCGAGCTCCGCGTCGCGGCAAGTTCTACTCGACTAAGCGCTACAAGAAGGCCATCATCACCACCGACGATTCCATTCGCGCGGACGATTTCCAAGAGGAGGGCCGGCGCGGCGCCGGATTCATCGAGGGCGAGGTTGTGCCCACCAAGCGACGGTGAAATTCCTTCAATCTTTGATAAATCTTCTTCTCCTTTGCCCTTTTCTTCGAGGAGGTCGCCGGCACACGAGTGTGCTTGGCTGGGGCAGTGCGGCAGCTGCTGGGGAAAAAGGAGAGAAAAGCCGAGGGCTCACGCGTGAGGCGCGAGCACAATGTAGGGGCCAACACTCCTGCACCTACCACTCCTGGCCTACCAACAAACTACATCATTTTATTATCAAAAGCCAAGAGATGGAGGTAGCTGCAGGAAAAGGGCTGGTGGTCGGCCTGGTGTGCACACATGAGTTCAGGCGCCGCAGCACCGACCCCTTCACCAGCTTCCTCACCGAGGTGGACCCCTGTAGCTGCTGCTACGTAAGATGGGGAGAGCCAAGTGCTGACAACACGTTTGGGGGGGGGGGCACAGTTACTCGAGTGGGCACAGAGCAGCGGAGCGCAGGTGGTCATGACCGCCAACACGCACGAGTGGGCGCACGGGCTGCGCAAGGCCGCCTCATCGGGGGAGGAGGCCTTGTGGGCGCAGGTGGTGCGGAAGGTGGGCGGCGGGTCGAGCGGGGTGGTGGAGCTCACCTACGAGCTCATCGAGCGCCGCATCGACGCCGTGTTCCACCTGGCTAGCGGCGGCGAGATCAACACCAACCTGCCCATGAAGGTGCTCAAGCGACAGGCCCTGGTCCACGACGTGCTCTACACGGCCTCGCTCGAGGCCGCCTCGTCCCTGGTGCGGCACTGGCGACTGCCGACCGACCCGGCGGCGGGCGGCGGCTGCGCGTCGGAGGGGCTGCTGGACGCGCGGGTGAGCCGGCCGCCCACCAGGCAGGTACCGCTGGCCCGGATGGCGGGCAAGAAGACCATCGCCCTCATCTCCCACGACGGCAAGAAGCTCGACATGTGCCTCCTCGTTGTGGAGCACCTGCGCACGCTACTCACCCAATTCGATCACATCATCTGCACCGTACGCGTACCACCGCACACGCACGCATCACCGCACACGCACGCACCTGAGCTGAGGTTTGGCGTGGGTGTAGGGAACGACGGGCGGCTGGATCACTAAGTTCATCAGGGCGGCGGCGGCGAGTGCCGACTCGGAGACGCTGGCGCCGTATGCCAAGGACCTGGAGCACAAGATCATCTGCTGCGAGAGCGGGCCGCGCGGAGGCGACGTGCAGATCGCACACGCGGTGCTTCGCCAGCTGTGCCACCAGGTCATCTTCCTGATCGACCCCATGGCCGCCCACCCGCACGAGCCCGACATCAGCTTCTTCGAGCAGGTGATCGACGTGCAAGGCGTGCACCTGGCCACGAACCTACAATCGGCGCAGCAGCTCTTGGCCCAGTACGAACGGAGCTGATGTTGATGTTGATGGAATCTGTCGTGTTGAAATCAACCTTTTGGCATCACCGCTTCTCTACATGCGAGCGCTTCGCCTCGTTCGTCGTCTCTCTCTCTCAAAAAAGGCTTCGTCCCTGCCCTCAACAAAACTGCACCGACGACACGACGGTCGAGGCGAGCGCTGCGCCCCAAACGAAGAAGCAAAAGAAGGGGAAAGGGCAGCTGATCACTCGCCCAGCGGGTAGCCTCGCGTGGTGGTCTGCACCGGCAGCACCGACCCGAAGAAGTCCGTCAGCAGCACCTGTGTCCGCCACCATCACCACCGAATCAGCACGTGAAGTGTGATTTGAGAGGCGAGGAGGGCAGTGGTGTACGCTGTCGAGAGGCCGGGAGAAGAGATCTGTTCGGTAGTTGGACTGGGCGCCGAGGTATCGGTAGTTGTCATCGGCGAACTGTGGGGAGTGACCGATACACCGGTCAGCTCTCTCGTCCCCACGAGAGGGAGGGGGAGGGGCGCTGTGTGGCTGTACCAGCTCCTTGAGGTTGTTCTTGGAGTCCTCGGCCACCTTGTTGTGCTCGAAGTACTCGAGAGTGGCGTAGGTGAACCTGTCGATCATCGCCACGCCCAGCTTGTAATCGGTGTGGTGCTGCATCATGGCCCACCATCATAGATGTGAGTTGTGCCCAGCAGCAGCAGCAGGCGACCGCGATCGGTCACGGATGGGCTCACCGCACCGAGTAGGAGTTCTGGCCCCGTGACGAGCTGCCGGCGGCGAGCACGTTGGGCGAGCGGAAGTGTTTGTAGAGGGTGGTGGCCTGGCAGGTGTCCACCACGAACAGGAGCTCGTTGTACCGCCCCTTCTCCCACATCTGCTCGAACGCATCCGCCAGATCTCTGCAGTTACGTTCTCGTGCGCGTGAGTTGGCCACGAAGAAGAAGACGAAGACGAAGACAAGAAAGGGCTACAAAGGAGGGGCGAACCGACTGCAAATCTCCTCAAAGTCCTGGAATTTGAGGAACTCGTCGCCTCCGTGGCCGGTCATGTAGATGAGCACGTTGCTGCGCTCGTCCGTCATCAGTCGCTTGGACCGCGGCACGCCCTCGTGGTGCCGGCCTTCAGAAGGCGTGCGTGAGTGAGTGAGTGAGCGAGTGCATGAGACACAGAGAGGCGCGGATGGTTCGGCGTCAACAAACCTGTGAGCACGCGAATGAAGTTCTCCACGGACACCTCGTAGCCGCGGTAGTCGACCTCGATCTCCGACCCGTACATGTTCAGGTTGTGATTCCTGCCCGAGGGGGGGAGACTGTGAGGAAACGATGGCGCGAGCGCGGTGTGTGGTGTGTGGTGTTTGGTACCGGTTGTTGTAGATGGTGCCGGGGTTGGAGTTGCGCGTGTTGCACGCCATGTCGTCGGCAATCATGAGGATGATCTGACCTGCAACCGCGCCCAACCAAAGTGAGATGACTGCACTGTAGCTTGGGCTGCTCAAGAGTGGAGGAGGTGGGTTGGGGGTGGGTGAGTGGGTGAGTACTGTCGGGAATGCCCAGCCGGCGCACAGTGTGGTACATGCTCAGCACGTTGGCCACGTGTCGGTAGTTGTGCCAAAAGATGGACGTCTCCACCTGTGCACCAGCAGTTGTTTGATTTTTTGTGATTATTTGATACAATGAGAGTAGAGAAGAAAAAGGCGATAGAGGAGAAAGAGACTTACGAGGACGGCCCAGTTGTTGGTGTGTGGCTGGGCGGAGGGGAGACGCCCCGATGAATTGAAGAAGCTGTCTATCTTTGAAACATTGAACTGGGGATCCTCTGCTATCTGCCCTGCCACTTGCGGCAGGCGAACCACCACACACAGCAGCACCTGCAGTGCCACCGCAACAAGCGCCACCCTCTTCATCGTCTCTCTTTCTTTTTTGTTTTCCTTTTCCTTTTCTCTTTCTGCTTAAATATCCTGCGCCTGGTCCCGTGACCCAGTGGAAGATGGTTAGGATATCCTATACTGCACCCCAGGCACTAACGCAGCTGGCGACTGGCGGCACGTGATGTCCCAATCGAACCTCCTCTTCAAATGTAAGTGTTGGCAGACACCCTCTCGTCACCCATCATCAGAGTTACCAACCACCTGTACTGATGGTCGCATACCAAGAGGTGGCGGTGCCGAGAGGGTGCAGCAAACAAGAATGCTGTGAATGCTATTTCTGATCGGGTGTCCATTCTTTAAATTCCAGGTTGCAAGCGATAGTGGTGATCAACCAGGAAACGACTAGTAATCGGTACTGCAAGGTTAGTACACTGCTGCAATTGGGCAAGCCAGCTCTTTATAAAGAGGCGGGTAGTAACCCTTCCTATATATCATCTCTCCGCGACACTCCAGCACTTGTCCTTCCCTCCCTTCACTCTGAAACTCGCGACGCTCACCGACCATCCATCGCTCACCTACCACCATCTTCCATGTCGCACATCCTGACTAGGCCAAGTGAACCTCTGCCACTCTACCTCTGCGGCAGCTTCTCGGCTACTGCCGCTACCCCCAGCCGCGGGATGTGCTCCTCCATCACCCCCAACGTCACTCCTTCAGCAGACAGAGGCAAAGATGCTGCGACTGGCAAGTTCGAGAAGCTGGTCCAGCTGCTCAAGAAGCGAGCAGCCTCCTCGTCCCTCTCGGACAAGCCTGCCCACAGCACGACCGCTCTCAACAAGGTCGCACACCTGTCAGCCCAGGACCGACAACATCTCGTAGCGCTCCACAACCTCCACTCCAACCATCAAACCTCCGAGCCAAGAAGAGCCCCCCGAGCCTGGCCGACACGGACCTCATGCGTCCAAGCTATTGTGGTGAGTCCCACTCCACGGGCTCCTCCAGTACGCAGTTCCGGCGCCACCACTCCTACACCTATGGAGAGGACGAAGACGCCGTGGAGGCCAATGACAGCGCCGCCCCTGCGCAGTCCGGTTCGGCCGTGGCCATTCCTTGGAGAAGCTGCGTCTCTTCCAGCAAGCAACCAGCCACTATCACTCACGACAGCTCGTCGACTTCGTTGTCTTCGACTTCTTCGTCACGCTCGGCCACCAGGGCTCGTTCGGCGTCGGCTCTTCCTACCATCACATCGCTGGCATTCCACGCCGTGTTCGGCGAGCTGGCCGTCAAGTGCTCCTACAGCGAGGACGATGATCTGGAGGGCGACATCGCCCTGGTGCGCCTCGATGAGGACCGGATCGACTTCGACAGGCTCGCGGAACAGCTTGAGTCCTTCTACGGCTTCGCCAAGCGCGGACTGGAAGTTGAGGTGACCTACACGGACAAGGAAGGGGACAAGGTGCGCATCAGGGACACGGAGAGCCTAACCTACGCCTGCCGCGACTGGCGACGGCAGCTGCGCAACCGAAAGAACAATGGCCGCAGCCTGCGTGTGGTGGCCAAGGGCAAGCGGCGACGGCCGTAAGAGCTGTGGCAAAATACAACAAAATCTGTACATTTCGAATCAAAGTTGATACAAACGAAGAAGTTTTACCATCATCTTCATCGCCTGGCTGGCAGCCTTCACCAAGAGGCCGTACTTGTTGACCACTACTGGAATGTGCCATCATCCTCCACCTCCACCAATTCGAGATCGATCTCTGTTGTGGGCCTGGAATGTCAACAATGCACACGACCACCGCACACGCACACGCACACGGAGCACGAAAAGGAGGGACGTCACCGTTGGTGGGCTTTCGCCGGCGGACGGGGTTGCCGACGGTGATGCGGCGCACAAAGAAGGCGCTCAGTGCAAGCAGGAAGCCACAGCTGGCAAACAGGCCCACGTAGCCCAGGTTGGGCAGGTTCAGTGCATGCCCCACCCGCTGGCCGTTGTCGAGCATCACTCCACCGAGGGGGCCGGAGAAGGCGATGGGGAGGGACATGGCCAGGTTCCACACGGCCAGATCAGTCCCGCGCGACTCCTCCGACGGAAGGCATTCGGTGGCCAGCGCAAAGTCCACTGCATTAGGCCGAAAGAACGAAAGCGTGAGAGTGAGCTCACACGCGAAAGAAGAAGGAAAACAAAGGGTGTAGAAATGATGATGGTGATAGTACCGGCGAGGAATGAACCGAGGCCGATGCCCATCACCACGCCGGAGATGACAAGGAAGGTGAACTGCTGCGGCCACACCGAAAGCAGAACGAAGCCCACACCTGCACATTGCACATTTTAACTCTGACTCAGGCTTGCGGGTCGGAGTTAAAAAAGCGACCGTACATGCGAGCGTTTGAAACGCCGACGAGACGTAGACCATCCGCTTCCTCCCGAGTCGATCACCCAGCGCGCCACCGGCGTAGCCGGAGAACACTGGTTGGGGGAGAGGGGGGGGGAGTAGCGAGGTGAGCGGCGATTGGGGAATTCGAGCAGCAGTCTTGGAGGTCCGACTTACCTGCGGTCAGCATAATGGCGCCGGCGAAGATCCCGACGGCGTCGTTGGTATTGGTGAACTCGAGACCGAACAGGCGGTACGGGAGCGGCGAAACGTCGTGAATGAAATAGAAAACAAAGTTGTTGACGAAGCCAAAGCCGAGCTGCGTCACGAAGCGCGTCGCGAAGATCCATCTGCGCAGGTCGAGCGGTCAAAGCGTGTTGATAATTGTTAATTAACAAGGTTCTATTCTATTCTATTTCCCCAACCAGGACAGGGACAAGGCGCAAGCGAACCTGAAGTTGGAGCTGATCAGAAAGGGCTTGATATATCGCGCCAGGAAGCGGAGCGCTGGCCATCGCACACTGGTGTGCCGACTGGTCAGTTTGCTTCGATCGAACGTCACACGCAATGATCGATTGGATTAATACCATTCGTTCTGGTTGTCGGCCGCCGGGGAACTGCTGCAGGCCTTGGGGGTCGGCTTCTCCCTATTGGCAAGCGCGGCCGCCAGGGTACCTATCGAGCGTGTGTGTCGTGTATGTGCGGCTTTAGCTATTTTGCTGCGGCGCAGTGGGGGGCGAACTAACCGATTGTGAGGAGGGAGGAGATGATGATGGCGACCGCGACCGGACCGGTTTGGTCCATGAGGATGGAGCCGCCTGCCAGGCCAAACAGATTTCCGACCATCTGGCCCATGGCCCACCTGAGACACGCAGACGCTCAGCACACGCACCGCATGACCGCACATGCACGACCGCACGCACGACATACCATCCGGAGACGGTGCCCATCTGATGCTTGGGAACGAGGTCGGGGAGGAGCGGCTGGAACGCGGTCTCGGCCACCCCGGCGCAGGTGCGCAGGGCCAAGAGTAGACCGGCGTAGACCACGTAGACGCCGGCGCCGGTCAGACCAGCCGCGCCGTACCAGGTCATCGCCACCGCCAAGAGCGCCAGCCCGGCCGAGCTCACCACCACAAACGGCGTTCGTTTGCCCTGGTCGAACCGCACACGCCACACCACATGCACACGACACGAGATGAGAGGACGTGAGCTCATACGTGTTTGCAACGAACGTTGACGAAGGGTGGCGTACGATGGGGGTGGAGATGTGGTCGGACGCTTGGCCAAATGCCAGACTGATGACCGTGGCTATGACCGTGGCCACCGCCACACTCACACCCAGCGCAGTGCCCTGGAAGCCCAACAACAGAATGGTCAATCCAGGCCCGAGCTCGTCACTTAGCAAGCCAGTAGAGTAGTGCGTACCTTGTTCTCCTTGCCCACCATCTCGAGAGTCTGCAGAGGCAGCAGGATGGCCATGATGAACGCCATCATGGCCGCGTAGCCGAACTGCACGGTGCGGGGCATCAAACCAGTAAGGAGGGCGGGTTTCTTAAAACTAGAAAAAGAAGCAATGTTGTTGTGGTGTGAGCAGTACCTGCCACAGCGCGAGGGTGGCCATGCGCCATTGTGGCACAGGCGCGTCGTCGTGTGGGACCTCGTGCACGGCCTTGTGCTGGTGGTGGGTGTCCACAGCTTCGTCGTCCGAAACGAAGGCGTTGCTATCGGAGGAGGCGAGCAGGCTCGAGTAGACCATGTCGTCCCCAGCATCGTCGTCATCGTCGCTGCCCAGCGAGTAGAGCAAAAAATTAGTATCCTTCTTGGAGGCCATCACGCGTGGGTGTTCGGGTGGCGGAGGAACAGGGAGAAGAAGGTGGCGGAGTCGCCGACTCCTTCGCACGACCTTTCTTTCGTGTGGGGTAGTATGGAAATCGGGCAACCAATCACCACAAAAAGAAAGGGAAAGAAATGGCGTAGCATTAAAAGAAAATAAAATAAATTGAAAAGCTAATAAAAATCACCAGCACAAGATCAGGGCTGGCCAGTGAAAAGAAAAGCAAAACAATCAAAGAATACAAAAGAAATTGGAGCTGAGCGAACAAGTACAAGCACAAGCGCTACTACGTGGCCCTTGTGACGAGCTCGGCGAAGCGCAGGTAGGTCTCCGGCGAGTGACGGACTCGGAGCGTGATCACGAGCGAGGGAGAGTGCGCCCGGATCGCGCCGTGGTTCGTATTTGTGGCTGCCGTGGTGGGCTTGGGTCCAACATTGCTGTCGTCGCTGTTGTTGTTGTTGGCGTCGGCGGCGGCGGGCAGGGGGAGATCGATGTCGAGGCCCATGGTGGTGAGCAGGTCGGTCGTCCACCCGGCGTGTTGGTGCATGAGCTCCACCGTCGGCCGGTCGTCGACTGTCAGCTGCCGCACGTCGGCGGCGAGGTCGCCTATCTGAACGAGAATGTCGACGATGAGGCGCGCGAGAATGCGCCACTTGGGGTCGTGGATGTGGTCGCCCACCGCGTCGCGCAGCCGCTGCTCGACCCAGGCGCGCGGGACCAGCACGCCGGCCGAGTCGCGCACAGACCAGTTGAGGGTGAGGAGGTAGTTGACCGCGGCTTCGAGCTCGGCCAGGCGGTACTTAGCCTCGGCCTCGATGCAGCCGCCGCCGCCATCGCTCCCGCCCGCGTAATGGGCGGCCGGGCCGAAGGACTGCTGCCGTATGAAGTCCGACACGTACTGCAGCTCCGAGAACAGGTTCGGAATATCGGCCTTGAGCACCAGGTAGGTGAAGATCGGGAACTTCTCTTCAGCGCCCCTGTGCCACGGCACACACACACACACACACACACAACCGCCGCACACGCACACGACACGCATGAGGTTTGTTGTTTGCAAAGCGGGGAAGAGTGGGGTGCGGGTACATACATCATGGCGGACATGTCGGTGTTGGGCGAGCGGAAGAGCCAATACTTGCGGACGGCGTCGATGACGGCCTCGGAGACGCTGAGGAGGCGCTGGGCCTTTTCGTAGGGCGGCGTATTGGGCAGCGCGCCCAGCAACTTGATAGCCTCCTTGTAGGGCTGCTTTTGCGACTTGCCCCCTCTCGTGTCCAATGTCGCTTTTCTGTCCTGCTACGCATCGCACTCGTCAGCGCGTGTCGTGCTTAGCGTGTCGTGCCGTGCCGTGTGCCGTGTGTTGAGTGTGGTGGGCTGCATACTGTGTTGGTGTCGGCTTTGTGCGAGCCCAGGAAGGCACGTCCGCGGGCTTGTCGGGTGAGGTCCTCGGCTGGGCTGAAGGGCGATTGCTGGGCGAGCTGAAAGTTCTCTGCAATCCCGAGATCGCGAGTCGTGGCCCGCCCAAGCGACTTCATCTTGATCGACAGCCTCGCGTCCGTCTTCTTGTTCTGTGTGTAACAAAGCGACACAGTCGTAATCCCTGATGTCAGCCCTCTGCCACAACGCTTAGACAGACACACACCGGCAATTGCGGCTGCTCTTCGGCCTACACCAACATCATATGTACGCACCACACACGCCCACCGCACACGTCGCACAGGCGGGAACGATAACGTACGACTCGTCGGTAGAGGGAGAAGATGGAGGAGTGGGTGTAGGTGAGAACGTAGCGACCCACGAACCTCCGCAGCAGGTTACGCTGCTGGGGGCAGTTGTCGGCGAACCGGACCTCCTGGACGAGGTAGTCGATGAAGCTGTTTACGTCCTCCACGGCCGACCGCAGCTGATTGCGCACGGCCTCCTTGGTCTCGTACGACGGCAGCGGCGCATAGCTCCACTTGAAGAACGCCACCCACCGCTCCATGAGCAGCTCGAGCGGATGCTCTTCGTGCCTGTCCATGCATTCCGGTGAGCGACTAAGGAAACACACGGTGGGTGGTTGGTGGGTGGGTGGGTGGTGCGGTACATGAGATGGGGCGCCGATTCGAGGTGAGGCAGGTCGTCCTGGGTCACGGCGAACTGTTCGAGCGCATCGCCCACGAAGAGGACCCACTTCGGATTCGTCGCCCACTGCGACCCAGCCTGGCCCTATAAAAACAGGTACACGCGCGGGGGAGGGAGGTCACTCACCCGCCTAGCTCGGCGGGCCACAGTAGTCAAGCGAATCGAGAGCGGACCTTGGCTGCTGCCCGAGTGTAGAGGGCCTTGAGGACCAGGTCGCCGTTCCATTGCACCCCGTCGAGCGCATCTCCATTGGCGAATCTGAGTTGGCCTTTGCCGCTGGGCTTTCCCTTGTCTGGGTGTGGTAACATGGGATCAGACGAGTGAGTGGGTGAGTGAATGAGAGAGTGAGAGAGTGAGAGAGTGAGAGAGTGAGTGAGTGAGGCCGCAGCGCAAGCCAGGTACCGAATTCGCCCAAGTATTGTGTGCCGTCTGCATGGATCCACAGCCCCAAACCTCGCGGCTAAGACCAGGTGATAGGTTAGGGCGAACGAGGGCCTCCCACCCACCCACAAAGCCGGCAGCCTGGCGTCCGGGTCCGTACCTGGTCATCGCGCCAGTTCCCGAAGAAGCGTTCGCCTTGTCGTCCAATGTACACCCCGAACGCATCACGCTGCACAGAGATGCGCATTAGGTTTGGTTTTGGGTCTGCCCTTGAGGAGGAGCGCGTACTTTGCCCTTCTTCCAGTTGCCAAAGTACCGATCGCCCTGCGCGTATGTCCCGGTGCCGTGCCCATGCTGATACAGCGTGTACGGCGCATGCCGCATGCCTTAGCACACAGGAACGGTGAGTTCGTGTAGCGTCCATGTATGTACACGTGTTTGCGCGCGTGTTGCACTTGTAAGTGCGCGTGCGCGCGTGCGTGCGTGTTGGTCGTGAGTGGTTTGGGCACCTCGGGCAGAAGTGATCACGGCCATCACCTCGCCCACGTAGGAGAGATGGGGACCGCGAAGCAGACCCTCGGGGCACGGCGCGTCCTCCTTCCACTCGCCCTCAAAGTACCACACCCCATTCCCGAACCTAAAGCTGGCTTTGCCCCATCTCTGCCATAGTCGCACACACAGCAGCCATCAACATGATACACGGCACACACGACACAACAACACGTGAGTGTTGGCACTGAGCCAGAGCAGAGGAACTGGCGAACCTGTCCGTTCTTCCACTGGCCCGAGTACAAGTACTGGCCCTGTCGCCAGGTGTAGGTGCCCGTGCCCTCCTTGCGGTCCTCCACCCACTGTCCCTGGTACTTCTCGCCCGACGCGTAGGTCATCGTTCCGAAGCCTGCCAACGGGGCGGTGCGTGAGCAGCAGGAGCTGCGGCCCACTCGCCCACCAGCAGACGAGTGAGTACCGTGTCGCTGGTCCTTCTCCCACTCGCCCTCGTACAGGCCGCCGTCGCCGTACACGAACCGACCTGCGCCGTCCTGGTGAAAGCCATGCCATGGGGGACAAAAGGAGGTTGAGGTCAAATGGTGGCGAGTTGCGGTCAGCTTGGGTTCGCGAAGGAGGCCGGCACCTTGCTGCCCTCGCTGTCGTAGGTGCCGTCGTACTGGCCCTTCCGCGATTCTGACCGCACCTCGCCCTCCGTCCATTCGTCGCGCTGACTATTCGTCTGCGCACACGCACACGACACGACACGACACGCACATCACATGCGATGCACACAAACGAAGAAGCGTCAGCGGCGCGAGTTCATCTGGACAGGTGGTCGAGATAGTAGAGAAGGTGTGGGGAGTAGTGCCTGGCGTCGGGGCAAGCGGAAGGAGGTGGAGAGCGAGATGCGCGTTCCATTGGTGATGAGTGACTTGGACTTGGTGCGCAGCAGGGCCACTCGTCGCCTCTGGGAGGCCGGGCTCTTCTCGCCCGAGACCTCGCGCGACGATGGCGACGATGACGACGGCGGCGATGAGCCCGACCCGCCGGGCGACGACATAGCCGATGCCAGGCTCGTCGCCCCCTGCGCTTTGTCGTGGTGGTGATGGTCGGGTATCGGTACGCCTTCGTCGTCATCATCGAGTTCGAGCTCGACTTCGACGCCTTCTTCGTCCTCACAGGCCAAGCGTGGCATGGAGGGGGACACGAGCGCGCCCGACGTCGAGAGGAGGCTGGGGCCGGCTGCGTGGTGGTGGCTGTTGATGAAGGAGGTCGAAGGCGAGGTAGCCGCTGCTGCATCGCAGCCGTCTTCTTCGCCCGTGGCCCAGCTCGAGCGCGAGGGGGCGAACTTCCATCCGCCACTACTTCCACCATCATCTTCATCCACTTCGAGAAGATTTCGCTCCTCTTCGTCATTCTCTTCGCCGGCGCTTTGGGCCACACGCTGGTCGCCCACAACGTTGGTGGTGAAGCCGGCGTCGACCCAGGCCGAGTGGAGGCGGTGCAGCGACCGCAGCTCCGCCAAGGCCGAATCCATGCGCGCCAGCTTGCGGCTCAGCTTTAACGACTGCTTCTGCTCCACCGCGGGACTGGCCTCGTCCTCCTCCTGACGGGTCGGTCCCTCCATCTGTCCCGTAACCAGACCCTCGGCCTCTGTCGTGTTGTTGTTCTTTTTAGTTTTGTTTTATTGTTGTATTTTGACGGCGAATTTGTTTATTGGGGGAATAAATAAACACTAATAATTTAAATAACTCAACATATAATTGCTGATTGGCGGAATGGCAAGAGCGACAACTCACCGCCCAGAGTAGAGGCGGGTGAGGCCGAAGGGGAGCGAGAGCGAGTCGCCGGGGAGGAGGCGGTGGCCGCGATTGGCGGCGTCGACCACGAAGAGTGGCCGGGGCGAGCCGGCGCCACCACCGTTGAGGAGGGAGAGCGTGAGGCTGGTCGCGTTGTAGGTCGCGTCGAGCACGGCGTCCTGGAACTGGAGCCGCCGGAGGGCGAGCGACGTGGTCTGTGGCGGAAGGCTGGGGTTGAGGCGCAGGTGGTCGCTCTCGTAGCGCAGGCCGAGGTAGCCGTAGAGCATGGTCTGCAGGAAGCCGCCGGCGCCGGTGATGAAGTTGGGGCACGGCGGGACCGGGTGGGTGGGCAGGTTGTCGTTGGACGAGTTGGTCGACGAGTTGGTGCTGACGATGCAGCCGGGCGGCGGGCACTCGAGCCACACCTTGAACGGGCCGTTGACGTAGAGGCCGTAGCTCTGCCTGAACTCCTGGGTGGCGTGGCTCGTGTAGTTCTCGCCCAGCTCGAGGAAGGCGATGGCGAAGATGGCGTGGGTCATGGCCGGCCCGTTGATGTTGGTGTAGGCCACCTCGTACAGCAGGTCGTTGAGGCGCACGTGCTGCGGCATGTCGTACTGCAGCGGGTAGCCCATCAGCGTCACGTCGGCCTGCTTCAGGGACTCGCCGAATTGTGCGTTCTCATAGTCTAGCGTGTGGCCACACACACTGTCAGACACGGCACACCGCGACAGTACAGAACACGCACAGAGGGCGGTACCCAGGTGGCGCTGCTGCTGGACGTCAAAGGGGATCTTGAGGTGGGTGGCCACATCGAGGTAAGTGGCGCGGAGCTTGGCGGGCAGCGTGACGTTGAGGATGTCCGTGACGGCCACGGCCCACTCGAGCGCAGCCGAGGCGGCGGCGTTGGTGAAGGCCGAGTTGTTGACGCCCGTGGCGTACTCGTTCGGGGGCTGCACGTCGTTGACGTTGTAGACCACCCGGCCATCCGGGCCGGCGTCGGCCTGCACTCTGCTGACCCAGTAATCGGCGATACCTGATCTCGAGAAGCGATCGTGAGTGACCATCTCAAGAGGCGAGGCGAGGAGTTGAGCCGAGCGGGTGCGAACCGAGAACGAGCGGAAGGCCCTTGGTCGCGAGCCACTTCTTATCGCCGGTGGCGCGGTAGTACTGCCGCACGGCCACGCTGATGTCGGCGCTCAGGTGGTCCTCTTGATTCGGGTGGGCGCACTGTTGTTGCACCGGAAAGCAGGTGAGGCTCACACTTTGATACAGAAGGGAAAAAAGTGGGCTTGTGCGCGAACCTCCTCGAGGCCAGTGAAGGCGGACTCCCAGGCGAATTTGGTGCCCTGATTGCCGTAGGAGCGCGCGATCTCCTGCGAGGTCTCGATACGCTCGTAGCGGTAGTTGACTAGGATCCGACACAGCACACACACACACAGAAGAGGCAGGTCAGCTATGGGAACGGGAAGGAGCAGCACCACTCAGCACTTGTGCGTACTGATGCTCTCGGCGAGCGACGGGAACAAGGGAAGGAGGGCGGGCATAACGAAGAACTGTGGCCTGGACGTTAGTCGACAATTCCTTTCCACACAAAAGAATGAAGGAAAGCGAGAGTGAGTGTAACGTACATCCGCATCCTGAGCGAGTCACATAATGACGTCGAGCCAAGGGAAGAGAAAGCAAGTGAGAAACAACCTTCGGCACGCGGCGACGACGACGACGACGACGACAACAACACACACACACACACACATACACACACACACACACACACAAAGAGAGAGAGAGAGAGAGAGAAAGAGAGATTCTTGTCAACTCAACGATAGGCACGTACCCAAAAGGTGTGTCCGAAATATCTGGTGGCGGAGAGGTAAGGTCAGGGCCGCGCAGCGCAACGGAGACCATTATGCAAAAGGGGCGGAATAGCCGACGTACCCTTGTTCCTCCTGCTTGGGGTAGTAGGTGGCGTTGCCGCCGCCGTAGCTCAGACCACCGGGCGACACCGAGTAGGGCCAATCCTCACGGATGGAGGACAGCACCGCGTACCACGACGCGTTCACCACCCTCGCCAGCTCCTTGTCGCCTGAGGGCGTCGTGGTGATTGGGGGGGGGTGAGCGTGAGCGCTTGCCGTTGCGCAAGAACTTGAACGGCGCTGCGGTGGCACGACGCACCTTCGATCTCGATGCGGCTGTCCCACAGCTTGAGCCAAGCGGCGGTGTGCGTGTCCAGGAGTTCGTCGCGGTTCTTCCACACGAACTCAAAGTCGCTGAGCGCTTGGGCGGTCACATCGGAGTTAAAATGGCAGCCGCTGTGGTTCTGCTGGGCCACATAGTGGTCAATAGGGTGGAGGAGGTGCGAGTCCGCGCCCCACTCCTCCGTGGACGCCCCGTGCTTGTCACCATCACCGATGATGTCCGGGTCCGGTAGTACCTGGCTGGGGTAGTAGCAGCAGCCGACCTTGGCGCAGCCGTCCGCGGTGATGCCCTCGCTGCCGCAGTCGCCCGCGGCAGTCGCAGGCCGCACGGGACACCGGGCCGCGGCCTCGACGTCGAGCGACGTGCGGAATACCGTGGGGAAGTGGTACACGGTCGAGCCGAGGCCCAGGGGCACGCCCAGCCTGTCTTCGCCGATCCACCGCACGTAGCTCACCTTGACCCGCGACGTTCCCTCCTTCTCTGGCCGCACCGTAACTCCTATAACACCCGCGACCCATCGCGCATGAGCGTCGTCACTCGCTGCGTGACGACGCACTGGGGGAGGGGACTACCTTCAAAGACCTTGAACGGCGGGGGCTGGTGGGCGTTGACGACCGGGACCGCTACCGGGGCGAAGAGGATGTCCTCCGACGGGCCGCCGTCGTTCTCCAGTAGGCTCAGCGGGATCTCGTTCAGGGTGCCGCTCTTGCAGCGCGAGGTGTCAACTGCAGCCATTGCATGCTTGAATGAGCAGTGCGCATCATCATCACCATTTTACCACTATCGTCATCGTCATCATTCATAAAGATACAGAGAAGGAGGTTGTACACACCTTCGATTTCCATGTTGAAGAGGTACCAGTACACCCTGTGGGCATACCAGCGCTGCTCTACCACGATCTGGCAATCGCCACCTCTGCAGAGGAGAACAGACGTGAGATTGTAACACACACCAATAGGTGTGCAACCCGGATTGCAAGCGGCGCGCGCCGTACGGATGGGCGGTGCGAGGTAGGAGCGGCGGTAGTAGATGCCACGCTCCACATCCAGAGCGGCCGCGAACACGCGCGCGCCTTCAATCTCCACTCGACCAGCCGCAGGCACTCGCGACCTGCTTGCGCGCACCATACACACGCAACACGCAACACCAGCACACAACATCACCTTCGTCGTTAACACTCGCCAGCCCTCGCCGCGACCGACACGCAAAGAAAGAGCGAAAGCGAAGTAAAAAAATAAAAATAAATGATGATTAAAAATGACAAATGATAATTAAAAAAGAAAGGGGAGAGGAGGGTGGTGCTGGAGGGGTATCTTGCCTGCGCGAGAGGTCGGGAGGCAGGCCGGCGGCGAGGGTGTTGAACACGCCCCCGATGTAGACGGCGTCGCTGCCCATGTAGGTGCCCAGGTAGCCGTTGCCGAGCGGGGCCGCAAGTTCGGTCGCGTTAGGCTCCTCCTCTGCGTACAGCAGGGTTCCGGCGTCGACCCTTCAAGCAAACGCGAATCAATTGATAGATAAATTCATCAATCGTTCATCTCTCATCTGGGCCGGCCCAAAGCACGCACCTGGCTTGCCAGTCGGTCGGGACTTGGCCGGAAGGGAGAGGAAGTGCGGCCGCATGCGGCACAAAGAGGGAGACGAAGAGTAGGGCGGTCAAAGCGAGACCTGCCAAGAGCAGGTGCTTCATCTTTGCTGCTGTGGTCTTGTGTAGCAAGAGAGAGGTGTATTGCGGAAGTGGAAGTCCACCACGACAAACCCACCAACATTAATGTCACATGTTGGGACCACCTGTATTTCAACTATGCATGGTATGCGCAGAACTTTCCGTCAAGCGGGACAGCAACAACCTCAGCTGCAGAAGTAGAGCTTGGAGAGGTGCTTGAGCCTGACGCGCTGCTTGCACACTAGCCCGGGTTATGTGAGTTGGTTGATTAAGTTCGCTGTCGGGTGGCTTGATGAGGGGCGTACCTGGGCATTCCAGCTTTTGTTGAAGCCACTGCTTCCAGCAGCCGTAACAGCAGACATGCTTGCATCGTGCGGCGAAGGGGCTTTGGTGGGTGGACGAGTGTGAGAGAACTCAGAACAAGACCGGGAACACCACGAGCAAGTTGGTCATCCTACCTGGAGGCCGTTTCTTGACAGACCGGACAGACCGTGCTCTCGGATTGTTCGCCCGCTACAGGGAAGAGAGAATCGTGCGTCAGCGGACAGGGCCATCAGGATGGTCGGAAGCACGGAGCTTACGTGCGGAAGGCTGCCGATCGGAGGGCAAGGTCGGCGCATCCGCCTCGCCCGTTCCTGCAATCTCCGCCTCGTTCTTCAACTCGGCAGCAGGCGTGGTTGTCGGTGATGTTGAGGTGGTCGGCAGCAAGGGCGAAGCGAAGGGGCGGGGCCTGCGAAAGGGCTTGCACGGACTGCCGGACACCAGGTCATACGCCGCTGCTGGTGTAGGCACACGCTCTGCCTGGGCTGGCGACTGAGCAGGACGGGGAGCCGAGATGCGCGCCGGGGAGCGCTCTTCTGAGGCAGCCGGCTGCGGGAGATCCTCAGTCGGTTCCTCTGGTGTGCAGGGCGTCCGCGGTCAGCGCAGTGCGAAGCAAACACAGCGCCAATAAAGAGCGGAGCGGCGTACGAGGTAGCATAGCTAGGTAGGTGGCCCTGTGCCGTGGCGGAACGAACGCGACAAAGTCGCGCAGGAGCGGATACCGCTGCGACCCGGAGAAGAGCTGCTGCACGCGCTCCATCAGCTCGGCGAGCTCGATCTGTTTGCCCCGGAAGTCCCGCAGCGTCGACTGGAAGGTCTTGTACTCGTCCGGACTGAGACAGCCCTTGACCTAACGATAACAAAGAAGCGTCAGGATTGTGGACTGACGTACACCAGTCGGCACACACTGGCGACGTACCCTGCGGATGTAGGCCTGTGCCTCGCTGGCGGTGACGGCGGCCTCCTCACCCCTCTCCCTCTTGATGGGCGAGGTGGCATCGCGCGCGTGCGGCGCTGGCCTTTCGGTGGGTTCTTCCACCCGTTCCCTCTTGACACCGGCCCTGGGCGGAACCAGGCTGGTCGCTTGCGGTGCGCGAGCTGTCGTGGCCGATGCTGCACCGCCCGCAACGCGTGGCGGCACGAACTTGGAGGGTGACGTGTGGCTGGCCGGGCGCCCCATCTGTACAGGAGCCGCGACGGGCTGGGCCTTGGGTCGGGGCGTCGGCTTGGCCTTGGGTGGAGGCGGAGGAGCAAGGGCCTTTTGGTTCTTGAAGAAGTTGAAGAAGCGCGTCAAGGCGAGTGCAGCCTGGGACGCCAATGAAAGCCGAACGTGGGAAAGGGTGAGATAGTGCCGATTGGCCAATCATGCGCTCCTCAGCCGCCACGCAACGTACCACGCCGAATTGGTTGTACACTTTGACCTGAGGTCGAAGCCAAAGCGACAGTCCGGACTGGTTAGTCGCCATTCCGAACCTTGTTCCGGGGACATACGTCAGCCAACACGATCAGGTGCACCGCACAGGGGACTAAGGTGGGTGTGCAGGCTCGACGAACCTTTGGTCGGCCAAAATAATGGCGCCGTGGTCCCGCGAATGACGGATCACGCGGCCCACGGCCTGGTTGACCGCCCGCATGGCTTGCTGTGCGTACCAATCGCTTCCACTGAGCGACTGTGTGAACACAATGGAAACGCCCAAAGCGTTACTACGGCACCTAAATACGCCCAAGTGATGTTGTCTCTCTCTCTCTCTCTTTCTTTGTGTGAGTGTCGTGTTGTGTGTGTGTTGTGTGTGTGTGTGTGTGTGTGTCGTGTTGTGTTGTGTTGTGTTGTGTGTGTACCAAGGAGCTGGTGCCGAGGATTTGGCGCTGGTGATCAAGGTAGCTGCGCTTCTGCTTGACCTTGGCGTCGGTAAGCGAGGGGAAAGGCAGGCCGGTGATGACCACCGCGCGCCCATTGTCATCGGAGAAATCGAGGCCCTCCGACACCTTGCCGCGGCACACGGCGAAGAACACCGCGCCGCCTTCGGTCTTCACCTTGGCATAGTAGTCCTCCATGGCCTGCACACACACCGCTCAGACCTTTGCTGACAGAAGCACTGCGCGCACTGTCAGCTTGATAAGTACCAATTTGAACTGGAACGCCTCGCGGGGTTCGATGATGGCCTGCTTGTAGCGGCACATCCGTTCCCATATCGAACCGTTTCGCGCCTGCTCGTCCTGTAGTGTCGATCAGTCATTGAGCCAGACACCGATCGACAGTCAATGGCATGTTGCTGTACTTACTGGTCGCTTCCAAGCATCGACGCAGGTGGTGAGTGCCGTGTAGGACGGGAAAAACACGAGCAGACCGTTTGGCACGATGCGCATGAAGTTGACTGAGGTGTGTAGGGATCGTGAGTGGTCCTTCAACTCACCGTGAAGGTCGAGTGGAGAAGAGGAGAGCGAAGGGAGACTGCGCGTACTCAAGGCGTTACCGAGTGCCTGCTTGTAGTCCTCGGTCTCGCGCGTCTTGAAAGAGGAGTTGAGCGGGTAGTCTGACGGGCCATTGCTCAGCACGCCCACCCAGACCTGCGACGGCTGGATGACGTGGCTGTTCTCGAGCCTGATCGGGAACGGGCTGCATACGTAGCAAAACAAAGCTTAGGAGAGCCGCCAGAGGGTACGTCTAGGAGAGAAGAAACTGTCATCGTCGGCGTACATTTTGAGCTCGGCGGCGGTGGAGGCGAGAGGCGAGAGGGTGCCGGAGGTGAGGATGATATTGCGCACGCCCTGCGCTGCCAACTCCAGCATGGCCAGGCCCGGGTTGAAGCACCAGCAACTAACGACTCGCTCTGCATTGCGGCTTTGAAAGCGATAGGCACCACGCTGGGCAGCACTTGCCTGGTCGTGCACGTGTATCTACATATGAAGAGGTGTGAATGGGGCAGCGAGCGAGAAGCTGCTCGGGCACGACAGCAAAGGGGGAATGCTGAGCACCTTATAGTAGAGTGAGAAGTCCTCGCGTCGGTCAACACCGTCTTTGAATAGGGTCTTGAGGCAATCGTTGAGCGACTTGAGCGAAAGCGGCTTCAAACCCATACCACTCTCCTCGTCTGATGGCTAGTGAGCATTAATCTGCTCCGCAAGAAACCACTACAGGCGCTCAAGGTGGGTGTTACCGTTTGCCAAATCAGCAAGAACGCTGTCGCAGAGGTTCGTGAGGGCTACTGACGTGTCCGCGTTGATGTCCACCTGCGCCAACGCCAGGGTCAGAACCAACAGAGTGTCTTCCCTGCTGGGCTAAGACAAGTACCTGGTTGAGCAGTTCGTAGATGTAGTCGCCCGGGCGAGTAAATCCATCGCCGGACACATGCACCTTGTTGATGTCGTTGATCAAGGCCCACACCATCCCTACCGGCCACAGACAAGAAATTATGTCAGTCATCATCGACGGGAAGGCATAACGCGACAGCAGCAGGTACCTTTGAAGCGGGTGATGTCGTCCTTGTTTGTCTCGCCCGAATAGCTGGGCGAGGCGGCGAGCTCCGCGGCCCTCTCCAGCTCCTTGATCGCCACTTTCATATCCGCGACGCGCAGATCGAACGACGCGCTGTCCTCACACACCGACTCCACGTTGTGCGCTTCGTCGAAAATGATCACCGCACCGCGCAGGTCGACGCCAAGCGAGCGCCGAATCGCGGGGTCGATGAGGTAGTTGTAACTGTGCGAAACAACACGCGCAAGTCAGTGCATGATACGCAGCACGGGTTGTGAGAAGGGACATACGGAGCAAAGATGATGTCGGCCGAGTATTGAAGCTCACGCGCGAGGTAGAAGGCGCACAGGCCGCGGTCCCGGCCGGACTGGAGGAGCTCTTCGATGTCGGTGATCTCGCCCTCGGCGACCTCTTCCCCGAACATGCCGTTGCAGGAGCCGCGCAGCTGTTCGGACTTCTTGAGATCGTCGAGCCGATTGTAGTAATCGCAGCGCCGGCTCGTGACGAGCGAGCGGCACTTGTGGTCGCGGCCGGGCGTATTCACCACGTCGGGGTTGACACATAGCTGACGTCGGCTGCCCAGCACCGCTGTTGTTGCGATGAACGGCGCAGAGTGAGCGACAGGAAGTACGGACCGTCAGGGAAGTCAGCGCTCTGATGAGCAGGCACGTACTCATGCGAGGGCTGTAGGCGGTCCTCTTGAGCTCCTTCATTACCTGCGTGAGCTGGCTGTGGGTGCGCGACGTGTAGATGATGCGCGGTGGCTTCTCCCGCACCACGAGCGGCATATCGCCTCCGCCGCTGAACAACAGCGATTGCGGCTTCTCCTTGCTACGCCACTCTGCAAACCAAACGCCCGGGCTTAGTGCTATCATAACGCAAGTGGCACCGCAAGCTAACATGCCCACACGCCCAGCCACGGACGGCCACGCACCAGCGGCGAAGTCGGCTGCGGATTGTGCTGAGTTGGACTGGGAGTGGAGCCACTGCTGCCGCCAGGCAAGAGAGGCACACAGAAGACACAGCGTCTTGCCAGTACCTGTGGGGCTCTCCAGCAGCGCGTTCTTGCTCTGTGCGGGCCGTCAGACAGAGCCCACGGTGGGTGGTCGTTGCTTGGCGGGAAGGCCGTACCTCCTGAAGGCTTTGGATTACTTTCTCCATGTAGACCCGCTGACTGTCATAGGCGTTGAAGGGGAAGCCCACTGGCACACCTCGTATGTCGTACACCTGCATTTCCCTCTGCCCTTCATCTTCATCGTTATCTTCGTCTTCATCTTCATTCTCCAATTCTTCTTCCTCCTCGTCGCCATACGGTGCATTATACCCCGTGCGCAGCCTCTTGGCATTACGGCCCCACACCGGCATGTCGCCTTCATCCTCCATTTCCATCTTCGCTCTGAGCCGCGCGAGGGCCGTGTGTTCGCGCCAAAAAAATTCTTCTAATTCGAAAAAATAAAGTCGAACTACATTCCGCAGCTCACACCTTGATGCCGCTGGTGTCGAAGTCGTCAGAGGCAAACTGGGAGATGATGGCCAACAGAGCCTTCTTCTTGACGCCGCTGCTGTCTGACTCTAGGTCGTATAGCGTGCACAGGTTGAACACCACCACATCCTGTTGGCGTTCCGCTCTCGTCTCAGTCAATCGAGCACAATATACAATGTATCATCCACTCCGAAACTCAGTGTGCGTACCAGGAGGTTGGCTTCAGGATTGGCGGCGATGAGCTGCTCGAGAGAGGTGATGGAGCGTTGGAGGTCGCGGAGGTACAACCAGCACACTGCCCGGTTGTTGGCCGCCCACACGTTGTCCGGCTCAAGCTCCAACACGCGCTCGAATGCACGCGCCGCGTCCGAGTAGCGGTCGCGCCCGATGTACTCCATGCCGCGGTTCATCATGACCACCACCGAGTTGGTCGGCTCCGTCACCAGCTGCTCTACGTCACGGAAGTAACGCTCCGCTCCGGTCAAGTTGCCCCACTGCAGCAGCAGGCGGCCCACTGCCGACAGCAGGACAACGTCCTGAATCGAGACGATGCGAGCATTAGAACACAGCGGCACCCGCCAGCAGGCTGCTCGGGTGGGGATTACCTTGGGGTAGAGCGGCAAGAGGGAGGTCAAAATGCGCAACGCGGCGGAGTAGTCGCCGGCCTGTACGTATCGCGTGCTGATGGAGAACAACACCCGGACCTCCCGCCCCCGCCACGTCTGCACCACATCTGCCACGCGACCGAATGTGCGGTTGAGCGCACTACAGACGGCGACGGCCACACAAGACGGCTGGCGCGGAAGGTACCTTGATCCAGATCCTCCATGAACGAGAGGCCAGAAGACGAGGAGGGCGAAGCACTTCGAGAAATAGAGAGCGTGGAGAGGGAGTCTAGGTCGGCTGCGGTCAACGACGACGGCTGGTCGGGCGACGAAGCCGCGGGAGCGGCGGCGGAGGTCGACTTGGCAGCCAGGCTGCTGAGCTGGGCGCGGCAGTAGTCGAGCAGACCGAAGAGTGCGTCCAGCGACCTGGAGAGGCCTTCCGGGCTGGCAAACGACGGCAGCTCGGCACGCAGGACGAAGAGCGAGAAAGGCACTATCGATCCACGCTTGTCCTGGTACAGCTGCGGGTAGCTCTCGTAGAAGGTCGATGCCGCCTCCAGGTCTCCGAGAGCGTCCACCTCATCAGTCGCCTTCTTAAATTGCCTAGGTGTGGGCCGCGGTGGTGGTGCAGAGATCAGCACCCGTGCCGCAAGGGCCGACAGAGCACACGGCTGGAGTAGGAGAGGGGATGGGATGCCGTACCTGGTCTTTACCAGGGCAACGAGCAAGCACAGCTTGCACTGCAGGCGCTCGTGAGGCCAGCGAGAACGGGTGCTCAGCTTGTCGGCCAAGCGCGCCGCGTCCTTCCAGTAGCCTGCCCTCTGTGTGCGCGTGCGGTAGTGCGTGTGCGTGTGCGTGTGCGGTGGACAGGAGGATGGTTAAGTACAACTGGCCAGAAAGAGAGGGATCAGCAAGCACTGAAAAAGAACCCCAAGGTGGCGGGAGAACCATGAGCGTCTTGAGGCCGTCCATGTCGTCGTTGACCGCCACCGGCGCCTTCCTTCCGCCCGACCCCAGTGTGCTCGGGTCCGCACCGGCCAGTCCGCCCTCCGGCAGCTTGGCCCGAGCCCCACCAACCCTGACCACAAAGACGCGGGTCAGCACAGAGAGACACGCGAAAGGGTACCAGGTGCTGGAGGTGGGGTGGAGGTGTGTACGCAGGGGATGACGAAGTGTCTGCAGCCGCGACGGGCGGGAGCGGGGAGACGGTGGTGGTGGGAAGGGGCAGCGGCTGGTACTCGTCCGCTTCCGAGTGCCGCCGCGAGGGGGGTGTGAGGGCACGAAGCGGGTCGTGCTCGAGCACCGGGGTGCGTGGGGCGATGGTGATACCGGGGGAGCCCTCTCCCTCTTCTCCCTCTGCTTCTTCTTCACCCTCGGCCTCAACTGCCTCGACCTCGACCTCTCCTTCTTCGTTCAAGGAGGGTGAGAGGTCGGCAGACACCTCGCCCACGTTGGTCGCTGTTGTCTCCTCCTCCAGGGCTTCTTGAGCGTTTTCTTCACCTTCCACTACTGCCAGTGGATCAGTCTCTGCTGCCGCCTCTCCTTCATCTACTGACAAATCTGGGTGGGCCTCCTCCACCTGCGTGGCAGCAGAGGCCTCGATTTCTTCAGCCACAGCCGCCCCCTGTTGCTGCTCCCCCTCGTTCTGCTCCTCCATCGCGAACAATCTATTTATTGTGGATTTTCACCATAATTTTCTCTTTATTTTCTGTTGGGAGTTACGGGGCGGTGGCGGGAAATAAGGGGGAAGAGTTCCAAGAAAGTACGGAAGGCCGCAAGTCGTTTGCGTGCCGTTCATCTTCCTTCATCTTCATCTCTGCCCTCAAGATGATGCAAAGAAGTCTTCCTAATGTTGCACGAAACGGCGCGCCGGCTCGGTTGCCGGGTGCTTCGCTTCGGAGCCTTCTCCCTTCCTCTTCCTCCTCTACCTCTTCCCTCCAAATCGCGCATCTTCATCGACGTTTGGTCAGCGGCTATTCCCCCGCTTCATCCACATCTTCAACCTACCGAGGGGACGACTCGGGAAGTGCCGCCAGCGGCAGCTTCTTTGATCGCATCAAGAATTCGCGATTTGAAGATCTTGTAGGATCACTGGCGAAGCCCAAATGGGAGGCCAAGGCCGGCAAGCTGGCCCACTTCAAGAAGGACTTCTACGTCGAACACCCGGACGTGGCAAGCATGCCAGAGGCCGAGGTGGCTCGCATCCTCGAGGAAGCACAGATCAAGGTGGTCGACATCAAGCCCGGCGCCACTCCGCCGCCGCGCCCCATCGTCGAATTCTCACAGGCCGGCCTGCCGCGCGCCATGGTCGATCGCCTCTCGCGCAACGGCATCACCCGGCCCTCATCCATCCAGACGCAGGCCATCCCCATCGCCCTCTCCGGGCGCGACATGGTGGGCCGCGCGCAGACCGGGTCGGGCAAGACGCTCGCCTTTGCCCTGCCGGCGTGCGTGCACATCGGCGCCCAGCCGCCGCTCCGCTCGGGCGACGGACCCGTGGGCCTGGTGCTGGCGCCCACCCGCGAGCTTGCGCTTCAAATTCAGGCCGAGGTGGCCCGCTACGCGCTGCTCCCCGACGGCTCGCCGCTCCGCTCGGCGTGCGTCTACGGCGGCGCCTCCAAGGTTCCCCAGATCAAGGACCTCCGACGCGGTACGTCCCCGTTGCGTTGACTCCGGCTTTGGCTTTGTTGTTATTAACGCACGTGTTATGCGTGTGTCGTGTGTCGTATGTGTCAGGCGTGCACATGTTGATTGCGACGCCCGGCCGTCTGCTCGATCTGCTTCAGATGGGCGTGACCAACCTGGAGCGAGTCACCTACCTCGTCATGGACGAGGCCGATCGCATGCTCGACATGGGCTTCGAGCAGCAGATTCGTGCCATTGTTGACCAGGTACCCATGATTTCCCTTCTCTGCGCCGTGTCTGTCGCTCTGGTCAGAGCCGATCTCTCACTTCACTCTGACTCGACGTCGAGCAGATCCGTCCCGACCGCCAGACGCTCATGTGGAGCGCCACGTGGCCGAAGGAGGTGGAGTCGCTGGCGCAGGACTACCTCAACACGCCCACCACCGTCACCGTGGGCAGCACCGAGCTCTCCGCCAACCCCGACATCACGCAAATCATCGACTACTGCCGCCCCGTCGAGAAGAAGCCCAAGTACGCTCGCGTCCATTCTCTCGCTGTGGTGGGGTGGTGGTGGTGGGGTGGTGGTGGTGGTGGTGGTGGTGGTTACGCAAAAATCGCTCACGCGCTTGTTCTGTCGGCGCAGGCTGCTGGCTCTGATGGACGAGCTGCACAAGGCGGGACACAAGACGCTCATTTTTGTGAACACCAAGGTGTCGGCCGAGCTCTTGAGCGATGAGCTCAGGGCCAAGGGCATGAAGGCCGCCGCCATCCATGGCGACAAGACCCAGGTCATGCGCGAAAACGTCCTCTACCAGTTTAAGCGTGGCCACGTCGACTTCCTCATCGCCACCGATGTGGCCGCCCGAGGCCTTGGTACTGCCGCCCGCCTCTTAGCAGCCTCGCAAGCACAACCGACGTTACTAACCCCGCCCTGCCACCGTCCTATTCACGCAGACGTCAAGAACATCGAGTGCGTGGTCAACTTCGACTTCCCCGGTAATCTGGAGGACTACGTGCACCGCATTGGCCGTACGGGCCGAGCTGGCGCCAAGGGCACCGCCTACAGCTTCCTCACCAGTACGGCTCTTCGTGTGCCACACGATCGTGTCACTGTCGTCGCAGTGCCTGACCTATTTCCTCTCAGATTCGCACGACAAGATGATCCCCAAGCTGGTGAAGATCCTCAAGCAGGCCAAGCAGGAGATCGGTACCGCCTCCTTTTTCCTTCCACGTGTTATGTCGGCTCCACCTAACGGAGTAGAATCGAACGCCAACAGCGTTGTTATACTCACGTGCTCATTGTGCTCGTCTCGCGTAACAACCACTAGACCCGACGTTGTTGGAGATGGCGGCCAGAGCGTCATCGGGCCAGTCCTTCCACGAGACGCCGTCCTTCGGCCAGCGACGAGCCCCGCCAGGCGGAAACACGCGTCGGTACCGATCCTCAGACGCGTCAAGTACGCGGGACTCCTTCCGCCGCAGCGACTTCGGTCGCGGCGGGGAGCGAAAGCTCAAGTACGCCATCAACAGCCGCGGGTGGAGTGCCGACCACCAGTGATGTGGTGGTTGTTGGCCATCAACAACTCATAAAGGCCAAGCCAAGCGGTTGTGGGTATCCAAAAAGACGTTGTTGCCTGTTGTGTTTATACATAGTTACATGCTCTCTCTCCTCTTCTGCTGCGACTGAGTCCCTAGTCGCTGTCGCTGTCGAATTGGAGGACTTCGCACAGGTGAACGCGGTCGTCGATGATGCGCTCGGTGGCGACCCTCCTGCGCCTCTCGTCCTCCTCGTCGCGCACGGCGCCGATGTGGGCGGCCACGCGCTCCTTGTGCTCCATGGCGGCGACCTCGCGGTCCTCGTCCAGGTGCAGACGGCGCACGCGCTCCTCCTCCTCGAGCCTGTCCACCTCCTTCACGCTCCCGTGCTGGTCCGGCAGGAAGTAGCCCTTCACCACCACCACGTTGCACGACGCATGCTCCATCACATACTTGGACGTGCTCCCTGCCAGCAACCGCTTCACCTTGTTCATTCCTCGTCTGCACCAACAGAACACCACAATAGTGAGCGAGATTGAATCAGTCGACAGAAAAGAAATCTGATGGAAGCGACGCCAACAAGGAGTGGTGACTCGAGAGGGAAGTGAAGAGGGGAAGGGGTACCGGCCGACGACGAGGAAGTCGACGTTGCGTTCGTCGACGAGGGTGCAGAGCATCTGGCCGGCGTGGTGGCCCTTGAGCATGATGCAGGTGGACTTGATGCCGCGCTCCTCGGCGAGCTCACGGAAGGGCTCCATGATGGCCTTCTGGGCGCGCTCGACACGGGCGGTGAGGGCCTCGTGGGCCTCCTTCTCCTTGTGGGTCAGGGCGGGCAGGAGGTGCTTGCCCTGCACCTTCTCGGCGCAGGTCACGATGAGGAGGTGGTCCTCGCCTCGGTTGAGCAGCCGGCAGGCCGTGTCGAAGGCCTCGTGCGAGTTCTTGGACCCATCCACTGCTACCATGAACGTCGCCATCGTTGATGTGTGGAGAGTTGTGGTTAGGTGTTGTTGTAGTACTGGACTGGAAGGTGGTAGTTGCTGGCTGGTGAGCTGACAATGATGACTTGCACTCTGCAGCGGTCCACCTTTTGTAGTTTCTAATGTCGCTGCTGATTGGCTCTCCAATTAATCAAGCAATCTTTCTTGAAATTTCACGAGAATGCCAATGATTGCTCCTCTGTCCGTCCGCCAATGTTTGCGCCAACTGGCGGGCACATGTGGGCAAGCGTACAGGCTCTTTCCTTGGCCAAGAAGGAGATCCTCTTTACAAAAAAACAACTCAGTGTGCCGGTGTATGGTTGGTGTTGTCTAGTTGGCGGCCTTCTCTTTGGAGTGCTCGCTCGCGTTGCCCTCCTTGTCGTCGAAGTCGTCGTCGACGCCCTCGTCCTCCACCTCGGTCTTGCCCTCGCCCAGGGCCTGGAGCAGCTTCACCACCTGCCGCTGGTTGCGGATGAAGTACTTGGCCTGTGAGTCCTGCCTGTTCACCACGCAGCTGAAGAAGCCCGCGCCCCTGTCCTTGTCGCCTGCGGAGCCCCCCAAACAATCGACATCATCAGCACATTGCCACTACCACAGATTGTGTGTGTTCAGGAGGCGAGAGGTGGGATTGGTGCGTACCGTCCTTGGAGTGAACGTTGTCGGTGGAGCTGGAGCGCTGAAGGTGGTGCTGGATGGCGGCGAACATGTCCTCGTCGGTCTTGTCGTCGCCCATGCACAGCACAAAGTCGGCGTCGGGTTCGAGGCTCATGATCTTCCTCACGGTGGCGCCCTTGGACACGTTCTGGGGCCGGATCTCGATGACCTTCTTGCCGATGAGCACTTCGATGGGCAGCTTGGAGGCGATGTTCTGCAGGTGAACCACCAGCTCCTTGGCCTGGAACGACGCGAAGTCGCTGTCGGCATTCCGGTAGTGCCACACCAGGTTGACCTCCTTCGTTTCAATCATCGAACCGGGCGTACGCTGTTTTTACACGACACGACGCGACACAACATGACACGACACACCTCTCAGTCAGTACAGAATCGACGTGACGGCCAGGCAGAAGGGGCAGCATTACCTCGGTGTAGTCCTCGAGGATGGGGAGCACGATGTCCTTCCAGGTGAACTCCATGCCGGAGAGGAGGTCCTCCCACTGGTCGGACTCGTAGTGCCGGAAGAAGAGGCCATGCTCGCACGAGAGGCCGACCGGGAGGCCGGCCATGCACTGCTCCAAAAACTCGCGGCCGCGGCCGCTGATGATATAGACCTGGTTCCTCTTGTCCGCCGTGAGGTCCTTAAGCGCTTTAAGGAGGCGGGGCGAGGGCTTGGCGTCTTGCGGGTTCTTGACGATGGGCGTGAGGGTGCCGTCATAGTCCAACAGGAAGAGCCTCTTCTTGGCCTGCGAGTAGGCCGAGCACACGTCGTTGAACTTGATCTTGGGCACTGTGGTCGACACCTCGATCTTCATCAGCTCGGACAGGAACGTGCGCGCCCACAGGAGCGCCGTGTTCCTCTTCACATAGTGGAAGTTGTATTCGTGCTTCAGCTTCCTGTCATATTTTGTATGCAAGTTAGCAACTCAGTTGAGCCTATGGTGAAGTGGATCTACGGAGGAACGGAGCGTACTTGTCGGTCTCGTTCATGGAGAAGACCTCGGCGATGGTGGAGGCCACGCCGCGGATGTCCCACGGGTTGACGAGCACGGCGCCGCCCAGGCTCTGCGCCGAGCCGGCGAACTCACTGAGAATGAGCGGGCCGTAGTTGCCCTTCTGGCACACCACGTACTCGTGGCAACTGTGGTAGGCCGTCGAATGAGGAGCATAAAGTAAGCAACAATGTTCTCCGTAACGTTGATAGGAGGAGAGAGATGTGCGCACGTCAGGTTCATGCCGTCGCGAAGGGGCGTGAGGATGCCGGCGTCGGCGGCCATGTAGAGCGCGCAGATCTCGTCGAGCGAGAGGTTCTTGTTGTTGAGGTAGTGGATGGGGGTGAAGTCGGCCGTCGAGTAGCGACCGTTGATACGACCAACCAGTCTGCGAGGAAGAGAGTGCGTCAGGCGAGCTGTTGCATGTCGATGAACAGACGAGGCGGGAAAGGAATGGGCTAGGTGTGTACTCGTTGATCTGAGCGTGGAGCTCCTGCAGCTCGCCCTCGGCAGAGGTTTGGCTCTTGCTGGTCTTCCTCTCCTCGCGAGGCGGCAGGCACACCTGGAACAGGACTGCCTTGCCCTGCCACTCGGGGAAGCGACCGAGGAAGTCCTCGAAGGCCAGCAGCTTCTGAGGGATGCCCTTGATCGTGTCGAGACGATCGCGGCCCATGAGTATCTTCTTGCCCTCGAACTGCGCACATGTTTCGCCAAGCGTTGGAGAGTCAGACTCGAAACAGGCCTCTCTGTAGACCATAGGGCAAAAGTGCATCTGTGCATACCATCTTCTTGAGCTCTTCGACTCGTTTCTTGACCTGGGGCTGTTCCATGGTGTGCTCGAGGACATCGGGATCGATGCCAGCAGGGAAGATGTCGACCGCCACCATGTGGCCGTTCCATTCCACACCCTATAAACACATATTCACATTTTAGGTCAGTATATTTCTCTCAACCTCCGGTAAAGTGAGGTTAGAGTCGATACCTTGGGCTGAGAGTCGAGGGCGAGAACGCGGGTGCAGGCTGAGAGGAAGTGTCGGCAGTCGTGGTAGGTCTGGAAACCGATGAGATCTGGTAGTGCGGTGAAAAAGACACTGATCAGATCAGTATTGTGCCGGGCCTTACGCAGAAGAGGAAGGTCATGATGCGTACCAGAGGCCAGGATGCCCTGAAGCAGCTTGCCGCGGACGGGCAGAATACGATAGAGCTCGGATGTGGGGAAGGGCGTGTGAAGGAAGAACCCTATCCGATTCGTCACGCCTCGCTCACGCAGCTCTGCACAACGGACCGCCGGGTTAGGCTAAGACGCTGCAGCACATGACGCCAAGGCGCGTGCGTGTGATGAAGGTGCGTGCGGCGCGTACTTTCAGGGAGGGTCTTGAGGTGGTAGTCGTGAATCCACACGACCTCGTCCTCGGCGCCGGTAACGGCCTTGGAGAGTGCCTCGGCGAAACTGCTCGTTGCAGCTCTTGTAGGCTTGCCACAAGGCGGGCTCGAACTTGTTGGTCACCAGCTGCGAGTTGAGCAGCGGCCAGAGGACCGTCTTGCAGAAGGAGAGCCACTGCCGTCGGACCTTGTCGTCGAGGAAGATGACGACCGAGTTGAACTCCTCCCTGATGCGCTTAGCAAGCGCGGCTCGGTCCTCCGGTGGCACATAGTCCAGCAGCGTGCCGACCCAGATGAACTCCAGACCCTTGTCTGCGGGCACGAAGCACAACGATGTGGGTAAGCGCAAGCCACACTTCACCTCCAACGTTGGAAAGTCGAGCGTGGCGAGAGGGCGTAGGAAGTGCGTACTGTCCTCAGCGAGAAGTCTGTAGGCGGACACGAGAGGCCCAAGGCTTGAGTTGGTGATCTTGTAGCCTGCACATTGGTAGAAACGCCAGAGATTTTCGATTTAGAGATTTGATGAATTATCTTCATTGTAGCCAGCGCGACACTAGGGCCAGTACGGTACCTTCGTCTGTCTTTTCGAGGATGAGCGGCAGGTGCTTCACTGCACAGAAGACGCGCTTGGGCAACGGCTTGTTTGCAGCATTCAGCAGATCGGAAGAGTGTGGCTTGGATTGCATTCTGCTGCTGTTGTGTGACTCTGATTGTTCGTCTTGGGTTGCTTCGATTGTATGTGTAGGAATGGGGCTGGGAGATCGAAGAGTTGGTTCGATCTAGGGACTCTTCGGATGTGTTTTGTGCACGTGCCTCTGGTCGTGTGCGTTTGTTTGTCAGGCTTGCACTCTGTTCGTCCTTTCTCCTGGGCTGATAGCTTCTGAAGGGGGAGCTTACAAGGCGTGAGTTGGGTGTGGTTGCGAGAGAATAGAAAGGGTTTATGTTGGGCGTCAAGCCGAGGCCATCAAAGCCGGAGCGGGCGCAGGTGCCTCTGATGCCCAGCTCAACGCAGCGAACAGAGCGAAATACGAGTTGAACAAGAGCAGAACCCTCGTTGAGTAGAGCGGCGAGATGTGCTGCTTGCGCACACAGGATATGGTAAGAATTTGTGCAATTCAATGCTAATTTGGTGTCGCATTTTTTGAATGCCTGCTAATGTTGTTGGATTTTTATGGTGTTGGCTCGGCTGGCTTCACCAGGAATTTCGTGATCAGTACCCACGACCAGCTTGGCTGCCCTGACGAAGACGAGGAAGAGACACGAGGGAGACCCTGGATCTGGTGTTGAGGTCAGCGGCGTGGGGCAAAGAGCACGAATGGCCCGAGTTTTTTATGCGTCGGCTCCTTCGCCACCCTCGCCGCCGCTTTGTCCTTTGACTTTGGGCACGACAAAGAAAGAGCCGTCCCTGGCCGGTGCGTTCCTCATGAGGTCCTCCGCGATGTCGCCGTCCGTGACCTCGTCCGCGCGGAGACGCAGCTGTGCTTGCCGGGCATCAAGAGGCGAGACGAGCGGCTCCACACCCTCCGTGTTCACCTGCGAGGGCTGATCAGCTGACAGTGCCGCACGAGGGATGCCTACCTGCACTAGACCAGCAGTCGGAGTGGGTGGGGGTACCTCTTGGATGATGTGCACGCAGCTGAGTATTTGCCCCACCTCCCGGCAGAGGGACTCTTCCTTCTCGGGGGCTATCGTAAGCTGTGCTCGCTTGGCCAGCTGCTGAAGTGTAGCGGCGTCGATCTGAGTATCCGACGACTGCTGGAAGAACTTCTCCACAGACCAGGACGGCTCGCGTGGCATTGTCTGTACCACAAGCATGAGCTCTGAGATGCCGATGTCGATGCTGGGTAGATTGCTTTCGATTTCAAAAGAGGGGATAATAAAATGATACGGAAGAGCGCACCACGGCATAGCCTCGTCTAAAGGGGCGGGTCAAGCAAGCTCTTCGCATCTCTTGCGATTACCACACGATCTGAAGGAGAAAGAAAAATAAATATAAAAAATAAAAAGGCAAAAAATCGTTTACACGAGATGAGAAGAGGATGTGTGGCTGCTTCGTGCAGAATCGCTTCCACGCATGATCTGGCTGCCGCTCGTGCACTTTGCACTTCCCGACGAGCTCCTTTCTTCACGTGGCGTTCGAAAGCGCGGCCGATTGCAAGACCGCACAAGCAGCCTGTGGTGGCAGGCCAGGTCGCGCCACGGCGCCAAGTGCCGGCCCACATTGTGGCCCCGCCCTACGTGGCCAACGGAGGCCACGCCACACCCATGGACAAGCAGCCACAGGAAATGGAAATCAAAGATCAACACAGCATCACGAAGATGCGAACCGCGGGCCGCCTGGCCCGACGCATCCTGGACCTTGCCGGCACCCTCGCCCGGCCAGGCACGCATCTTCCATCTCTTTTGCTCTCTGTGGCACATCTTTCTTTCCTCTGACATAGTGGCGTAGGTGTGACAACGGAGGCGATCGATGACGCCGTGCACACCGCCATCACCAGCGCGGGGGCCTACCCTTCGCCGCTGGGCTATCACGGGTGCCACGCCTTGCCTTGGTAGCTCTCGCCCATTCGGCCACTAACGGAGCACACGCCTGTGCAGGTTCCCCAAGTCGGTGTGCACGTCGGTGAACGAGGTCCTCCTTCATGGCATTCCTGACAGCCGACCGCTGGAGGACGGCGACATTGTGAACGTCGACGTGACGGTCTATCTCGACGGCCATCATGGCGACTGTTCGCGCACCTTCCTCGTCGGCGATGTGGATGCCGACGCGCGAAGGCTCGTCGCGGTTCGCTCCAACTAGTGTCACACGCGCGTTGCGCTTGGCGTAGGATGGACCATGACATGTGTGTGCGCGCGCGCGTGCAATGCGCACTGTGGCAGGCGAACGAGAGTTGCGTGGAAGAAGTCATCAAGAATCTGCGACCAGGCATGAACCTGCAATTCATCGGCGAGTTTGTCGAGTGCGTTGTTGGTCCACGCGCTTGTGTTTACGCTGGTGTGCGCCTTGCGGGGCCAACTCTGATGCGGGCGTGTTCTCAGGGACTACGCCCGGCGTGAGGGCTTTGCCATTTTCCCCGAGGCAGCGGGGCACTCCATCGGCAGCGTGTTCCACGCCTTCCCGCCCGTCATGCATTTTCATATCCTCCCAGTCCCCTCCCTCACCCAATCCACCCTTCATTCTTAACCCCTTGTTCTCGCTGTCGCTCCTTGACTCCTACGAACGTAACCAGTTGAGCTTGGAGCTCAAGCCAGGGATGACCTTCACCATTGGTACACACCGACTCTTTGGTCTCCTCCGGGAGATGTATGTGCCCACACTTACACTCCCCCATCCTCCACTCTGGTGGCGCACCAGAGCCGGTGTTCGTGGAGGGCGAGCCGACATTCACCCTGTGGGCGGACCAGTGGACGCGCAGCACAGTGGACGGTGGGTGGAGCGCCCAGACCGAACACACCGTACTCATCACCAATCGTGGCGCCGAAATCCTCACCTCAGCCTAATGCCACTCGAGGCACATCCAATCACCACTACACACAACACAACACAATACAACGCACACTAATTCACGTGACAAACATACGAAGCGGAGAGAATTCGATGTTGATGATGATAGTGCGGCGATGATGGTTTCTACCAGGCGACGGAGGCGAGGGCGTACTTGGCCGTGGGCATGTCGGCCATCCGGGACCAGGCGTTGGTGGCCGGGTCGTAGCGCTCGGCGGTGGCGAAGGTGGTGGTATCGTCGAACCCGCCCAGCGCGTAGAGCTTCCCGCCGACCGAGGCCGCCGCCAGCGCGTACTTGGGCGTCGACATCGGCGCCACCGTGGTCCACGCGTTCGTCGCCGGGTCGTAGCACTCGACCGCCGCTTGGCACGCCTCGCCGAACCCGCCCAGCACGTAGATCCGGCCGTGGAGCACCGCCGCGGCGAGGTAGTAGCGCGCCGTGGGCATGTCGGGCACGACGCCGGTGCTCCACTGGTCCGTGGCCGGGTCGTAGACTTCGACCGAGGCCAGCGGCGCGGTGCCGCTGTGGCCGCCGATGGCGTAAATGCGGCCGCCGAGCACGACCGCCGCCAGGGCGTAGCGGGGCGTGGTCATCTCGGCCACCCGCTCCCACAGGTTGGTGCGGGCGTCGAACCGCTCGACGGAGCTCAGGTAGATCGCGTTGTTGTGGCCGCCCAGCGCGTAGATGCGGCCGCCCAGCGCCACGCCCGCCAGCCCGTTGCGCACGGTCGACAGGCCCTCGAGCGCCCGCCAGCCGGCGAGTTCGGTGGTCGCCGAGGCCTGGCCGAGCGCCGACGGGTCGAAGAAGCCGACGGACGAGGTGTCGGCGCTGAGGCCGCCCATGACGAACACGTGGTCCTGGAGCGCCACGGCGGCGGCCGAGTTGCGCGAGGCCGGGAGGTTGCCCACGCTCACCCACCGGTTGGCCACCGGGTCGTAGCGCTCCACCACGCCCAGCGTCAGCGAGCCCTCGTCGTTGCGGCCGCCCACCACGAAGAGTGCGGTCGGCTCCCGCTCGACTCTGCCGCCGCCGGTCTGTACCGGCACCAGGGCCAGGCTCGGCGAGGCGGCCAGCGACTCAACGTTAAACGGCAGCTGGAAGTAGTCGAACTCCTTCTCGAGCCGCAGCATGAGCGTGGCGTCGTCGGGCGCCACCCAGGCCGTGCCCTCGCGCAAGAAGTCGAGCACGTGCTCGAACAGCTCCCCGTTGCGATCGATGAAGACGCGGCCCTCTTCGTCATTGGCGAGGTCGTGTCGTCCACTGAACATGCGGCCGAGCAGCGAATCGTCGTAGCGGGTGAGGGTGGTCTTGGAGGTGGTGAAGGTGCGCCCGCCGACGTTGAGCTTGATCAGCGCGCCCCACTCCCGGCGGATGGTGCCGATCTCGTCCACCTCGCGCCGCAGGCGCTCTCGCTCGGCCTCCAGCTTCGTGATATCGGCCTCGAGCCGCCCGCGCTCGCCGTCGACCGATGTCTGCAGCTGTGCAAACGCCGCCTGGAGTCGGGCCAGCGAACCTGCGTGCGTGGCCCACGGCCGACCACCATCAGACAGACGCACCAAACAAGAGAAAAAAGAGAAAAGAGAAACACGTGTGCCGCGGTCAGGGGTTCCGCTGGAAGGAGGCCCGGAGAAGGAAGACCGCAGAAAGCGAGAGCACCAGGGAAAAAGAACGAAGAGAAAGGGGAGTGGGGAGGGAAGGTGCACCTTCTTCGTTTTTTTTCATTTCTTTTTTCTGTGGTGTGGTGTGGTGCAGCGTGGCCTACGGTTGGAGCTCGTTCCACAATTTGGACCGAGGGCAGCAGGGTCTTGTGAGGACCGGTAGAGGGGGGGGGGTTGCGAGCTGAAGCACGGGAAGAACTAAACAGCTCAAATCAACAATTAAAACAATAAAGTCCGGTTGCTGTTTGTCGACACAGCAGACTGAACTATAAGCAACGGCGCGACAGCGTCAGGGCGTGGCCAGAGCGGCGATCTGGCTCAGCTTGGCGCGCAGGCGGTCGTTTTCGGCCCTGAGCAGCTCCACTGCGTACCGCAGCCGTTCCTTCTCCGGGTCCTGCTGCTGAAGCGGGTTGGGGTTGTTGATGGTGGGGCTTGTTGTGGGCTGAACGCTCACCGAGGGCGCCCCGGCAGTGGCCGACCCCGCCGCCATATCGAGCACCTGCCCGACTCCCTTTTGGGCGTCCATGTTGCGAGTCAGCCCTCGGGCTCGCCGCAATACCTCCATTCCTGTGCCATGTGAACAAGTTGAGTCACTGGGACCTTACAGTGTGTGCAAGATGGTCAACTGACAGAGAGGTTAACCTTGAGAGGCGCTTTCGATCGTCTTCTTCCTCCTTCCGGTCGTAGCGCTGACAGTTTCGCTGTAGAGGGGAAAACAACAGTCACGTTATCCAAACGGCCGCCGAACGACAGAGGAAAGATGTACCGCTTGGCGAGAAGCTGTGGTGGTATCTCCAGCTTGGTTCCTTTCTTGGCACTGCCGACTGACCGGACTGATAAGGCAGAGGGGATTTTAGCAACAGAGCGCACACTTGCGGCTTCTGCTCACAACCACAACCACAGATCGGGGGCGCACTGATAGAAAGGGCCTGCTGGATGTGTTGGGTGAGGGCCTGCACGTGCTTGAGCAGGGAATCGCCTTCTTGTCCAGGGTTATGCAGGTTCGTCACCGCGTTGATGAGACTGGGCGCGACCCCTGCTATAGCATTGCTCACCAACCGCAACTGCCTGGAGGGGAGATGGTACAAATGGTTCAGCACCATCCTCTCCTATGCTGGCACTGTGGTGAAGCAGGCGGGCGTACGAGGCGATGTCGGCATCGATGCTGTGGTATTTGTTGGCCATGTTCGACAGGACCCGCACCAAGGCAACGGACTTGACGGCGAACACCCGTGTGGGCTCTGGTTGTAGGTGGAATGGAGGTGAGGTATGGCCCTGGTGCCCAACTGCAGGGCCTGCAGGGCCATACCGTTGACTTGGTCAGGAGCGTGGAGAGCCTTGATCACCAGCTCTTTGGCCGCCTGATGACGTCACAGCAGGGCATGAGCATGGGGCTGTCAAAGAGAGAAAGGAAGAAGGAGCAGCACCGCGGCGCACTCGGTGGTGGCGTCGTTCAGGTTCTTCTGGTCGGTGTCCTCCTCGACCTCCATCAGCTCTGACGTGAGCTCGCCAATCGTACGCAACGCATCGATCGCCATTTCCTTGGTCCGGGCATCACCCCCTCCATCCTCCAAGCCGGTCATGATAGCCTGGAACATCACTCACGCTGTGTCAGGGCTATGCTCATGGTAGCGCAGCCCACGAGTGGGTGTGGACGTAACCTGCAGTATGTTGGATTGATGCCGCAGCTTGCGCGCGTAGTCGAAGATCCCATCGCGCAGGGTGGGGTTCCCCTGCGAGGCTGCCACCTCCTCGGCCGACTCAATGAGGATCTCTGTGGCCGCGAGGAAGCCCTCCAAAATGGGTCCGGCCTCCTGGCCCAGGCCTCCACCCTGCTGACCGGCGTGCTCGGCCAGCGCGTCCAGCCCCAGCTGCAGAGAGGCCACCGTGAACGCCGATACCGCCGCCATGGCTCTTCTCTCCCTCTACGTTGTGTGTGTGTCTCTCCGCCAGCTTCGCCTCCTGGCCGTTTTGGGGGGGCGGGCAGCCTTTGCCAAAAATCGACACATGCTTCTTCAGCGCCACGGTTACCGCGGGCCGTATCTACAAACAAAGTTTATATTCAAAGGGGAAGCTGCTTGCGCGCGGCAGTGGTAAGCTGGAGCGCGGCGAGGTCGAGAGGAGGCTAGAGGCCAGGCTTACTGCTGAGGCTGGTGCTGCTGCAGGTGGAAGGCGGGCATCATCTGCACCATGGGGTAGGAGTAGGCGTGGGGCGGGACGCCGTGGGGCTGCACGGGCATGGGCATGTGCACGGGGAAGGGCACGAAGGAGCCGTCGGCGGCCTGGTGCATGACGTACTGCTGGAAGGGGTAGACCTGGGCCTCGGAAACGGGGGCACTCTCGTAGGGGGTCTCGGGGGTGATGAGGCTGAGCTCCTCGGCGGCGACCTTCTTGTTCTTCTTGTCGCTGACCTTCTTAACCTTCTTGTAGGTGGGCAGGCTGCGGCGCAGCTTCCTGCGCTGAGCGGCGCGGCGGCAGGCGATGCAGGCGCAGGTGACGGAGCAGCAAAGGAAGACGACGGCGGTGAAGCCGATGAGGGCCGAGATGGCGAAGGTGACCACGCGCTGGCGCGAGCTCCACATGCTGTGGTGGCCATCGGTCGGCACGCAGTGGCCGGCCTTCCAGTCGCACAGGTCGCTGTTGGCGTTACAGGTGGCCTCGTTCACAACGGCGGAGCAGATAGCTACGATAAGAGAAGGGTGCACAACGTCAGTCGGGTTGTGGAAGAGAAAGAGAAGCACAGCAGAAGCGGGGCTCGGCCGCGGAGCACGTACCCTCCACGTCGCAGGCGAGAGGCGACTCGACGATGAGCTTGAGGACGCACTCGTCCTTGATGACGCCCATCAGGAAGCTGGGGCTGGTGTTGGGGTCAGAGGAGTGCAGGCAGCGCATCTCGACGAGCGTCTTGCGGTGCACGCCATCGGAGCACATCTCTCCGCGGCCGTACATGACCTCAAGCGAAGCACCAGACTCAACTAAAACGGAGCATGAGAAGAAAGGATGAACCGCGTGAGTTGCGCGAACCTCGGCAGCCATACGAGATGAGAGTTGGGGCAGGAAAGAAGAATGTCGAATCGTCGTACCTCCGTCGGCCCAGTGGGCGTCCCAGGCAAGACCGTGCGAGATGGCCTCGCCCTTGCCGGTGATTTCGCAAACGGCCGCACCCGAGGGGCACTGGCTCGCGTGCACGGAACCACAAGGGTTGAAGTGGAAGGTAGAACCGCCCACCAGGTCCTTCACGAGGAGATCCTTCCTGTGGATTCATATAGAAAGTATAGAAAGATGAGAACCTGGTAATCGACGCATTCACCATTCAAACCATTGGCACGGGTTCGATGACGTACGACGAAAGGCGGCTGAGGTCAAAGAGGTGACCCTTGGTGTTCTTGTAGCTGCAGGTGAGCCTGTGCGAGCTCTCCTTGGCAGCGCCGCCGTGGTGACCATGAGCGCCCTTGCCGTGGTGGCCGCCGTGAGCCGACGCCATAACGACCACAAGGCCAAGGAGTACAGCTACAATCAAGCTGCTCTTCATCTTCTGCTGTACTGCGGGCTGGAAGCTTGTACGAGTCTGAGGTGGGTCGTCTTGGCCGATTCTTTTGATCTTTGGTATCGGTCACCGACGAATCTTGATACTGCAACCCGTCGTACGCCGGAAATTCGGCTGCGGGCACTTCGCAACGCCTCACACCCATTGGCCGATTTGTCGGCACGTCAACAATGCGAGTACGTTCCCTGAAAAGAAAAAGGACGCAGAAAATAAATGAACGAAGGAAAAGTGAAAAGAAATTGGGGTGGAAAAGGTGTTGTCTCTTTTTGTTTACAGCCCAACACAACCGTGCGTCGGTTCAACGCGGCTTGTGTGGGAGGCTTCCTAGCCACCGCAGCGCGAGGCTTGGTGGCGCGTGTGGGTTCTCTTGTCTCTTGGCCGCCGTCTGATCCACACAGCCGGACGGTTGGTCTGAGTCTCGAGCTCTCTTTAGCCCTTGACCCAGCGCAGACCGACGAAAGCGAGGATACGGAAGAAGATGATCATGGCGATGAGGACCAGAGCACATCCCCAGATGGTGATATAGTCGAAGCCCTCGTTCTTGATGACCTGCTCGCCGGACGTGAGCGGACACTCGCCGTTGACAAGCTCGCTGGGGGTGCAGTAGAGCACGAGTCCTGTAGAAACGTGCACGTCAACAAACAGTTTCAGGCGCATGCGTCTGGGGAAAAGCGCACCATTGAGTTCGTTGAGGGCGATGCCAGTATACGAATACTTGACGAAGCTCAGAGCATCGAGCCACGAGAAGTACGCCGGCAGCTTGGCGGGCGGAAGGAAGAAGCCACCATACAGACGACAGATCTATTCGAGCGGATGAGAGCTTAGGTAAGCACTTGTATGGCCAAGCGGTATTTGGGGAAGGGGGTGTAAAGAACAAACCTCGAGAATCAGGGGCAAAATAGTGATCGACAGCGTGACCGTGCGGCAGAACGTGGAGATCATCAGGGCAAGCGATGTCGCGGTGAGGGAACACAGCTCCATGAAGCACACGAAGATGAAGAACTTGCCAGCATCATGCTGCGCTCGTCAAACGAACCGCGTGTCAGAGGAGACACACTGATGTCACAAGGCGCATCGGGTCGTACCTGGAAGCCGACGAGGAAGTACACGATGCAGGAGAACAGCAGCGGGAAGAACATCTGCACTATCATCTCGGCCATCATCTTGGCGACGTAGTAGGCCGAGACGTAGTATGCTCCTGATGCTCGTTCTCGTAGCACAATCAATCGTTCCGAAGGGACTGTGCGTAGAGCGAACCCATGTCAGAAGCCAAACAACAGAGAGCAGGGCGCGTCGTGACGTGGGCGTACATGAGTTGATCAAAATGAGCGCGCTGAAGACTCCCTGGTTGATGCAGATGAAAAACAGCACGGAGAGCCTCTTCTTTTGTCCGGCCTGGGTCCTACCGATGTCGAGGAACACCGTTCCGATCAAGATACCGAAGATGATGGTCTGGACCAGCTGGGCAAAAAGGACCATCCTCGCGCGCATCACGTTCTGCATCGCTCTTAGGAACAGGTACCACACCTGCGCGAACCAAGAGGGCCTAGAGGACAAAAAGCGAACACGGTGGGTGGTCAGTCAAGTTAGGATTTGGACGTAATGGAGTCGCCTTCTTCGTGCAGGCCAACGCCAGCTCAAGCGTACCTCGAGGGGAACGCCTTGTCCTTCTTGTCCTTCTTTCTCTTCTTCTCGGGAGGATCTTCCACGTGCGGGGGTGTGTAGAGCAGGCGAATCTTTTCGGCGTTCTCATCGGCCTCTCGTATTTCCTCCTCAGTGAACTTCGCAGGGCTGATCACGTCCACTGCACAAAAACACACACACGGCAGGTGAGTGACATGTCAAGGTCATTTCCCCCTCCCCATGAGCAGGCATGTGGGCAATCGTACAGACGTGATCGGCAGGGTTCGTGTGCACCGGGCAAGGGAAGCCGGCCTCGGCGTAGTGGTTCACCACCTCGTCGGCAGGGCCGTGGTAAACGATCTTACCGCTCTTCAGGATCATCAGATCGTCGAAGAGGTTGAAAATCTGAGTGGCCGGCTGCACGGTTGGAGAGGAGGAGTGTGTTAGCCTGTGTTTGTTCGCATGTCCAGCTACTTTTACAAGGGCAGACGTACCTGATGGATGGTGCACACCACGGTGCAGTTCTCGGAATGGGCGAGGTCTCTCAGAATGCGGCAGAGGGTGAGAGCGGTGACGCCATCGAGACCGGAGGTGGGCTCGTCCAGGAAGAGGAGACGAGGCTTCATGAGAAGCTCCATGGCCACGCACAAACGCTTGCGCTCTCCGCCGGAAATGCCCTTCTTCAACGCACTGCCTACGGGTGTGTTCTTGCAGTGCTCGAGACCGATCTTGACAATGACCTCGTCCACCCGCTTGAGCTTGTCGTCTCGGCTCATCTTGGCGGGAAGACGCAGGAACGCCGCATATCGCAGAGTCTCCTTCACCGTGAGGTCGGGGAAGAGCAGATCGTCCTAGTTGTTGGTTGTTGGTTGTTGGATCGTGCGTTAGCGAATGAAAGAAAGTCGCCTGGAAGAGGAAGCGGGCAAGTACCTGCATGACGTAGCCCGACACTTTCTTCAAAAACGATCGGTTGTACTTCTGCCCGTCCACCATCTGGTCGCCCTTGCCCTTGGCCTTGGCCAAACGGCACGCGAGCATGTTCATCAAGCTCGTCTGTGGGTTCACAAAACGGCCCAAAGTTAAGTTAGTGACCGCACTCCGTGCTCCGCAAGCACGAGGCCCAAAAAACCTGTGTAATTAATTGATGTCGACATTCTCCGTTTCTCAGATGTGAGTGTTGGGATTTGCGCGTAGGTCGAGCCATTTGAAATGAAGCAGATGGTGGTGTACCTTGCCAGCACCGCTGGGACCCATGATAGCGAGGAATCGGCCCTTGACGCGTCCGCAGGCCTCTGAAAGAAGCACCTTCTTGCCGTCAGGCGATGTGACCTTCAGATCCTTCCACGACAGCTCCGCTGCGTCGCCGTACTCGTCGTCCCCCTCCATGTCCACGTCGTAGGCCTCGTCTTCAGTGCCCGACGTATTGCCCTTCTTTCCCTTGAGGGCCTTGGTGCTGTTCATCGAGCTTTCATCAACATCTGATCCCTCAATCGAAGATCCTCCTCCGGTCCTCCCGCTTTCCATGTCTGCCATCTCCAAATCGCCCCACCGCGGGTCGTTCGAGTGCAGCGAGCGGTCGTCATCCGTCTGTCCCTGCATCTTCGTGTTGCTGTTGCTGTTGTGGCTCGCTAATCTCTGCTGTCCGATCTATGGATGCGGGTGGGTGAACACTGTACAGATTTTAACTCTGGGGTTGTGCGTGGGTGGTGTGCAGCGAAAGACGAAAGACGGGACTGACGTGACGCGTGAGGGAGTAGTTGAAGAAGAGTCGGGCGAAGGTCTGCGGGAAAGGAATAAATAGGGGGTCACGAGGAGTTAGCCGTGAAGGTGCGATGGGACGAAGGCCTTTCTCCGCCTCTGGGGTGCTTGGGTGGATGGTGGGTGTGGACAATACTAGAATTTTCCCGGCACCCTGGTGACAAAGTGTGTGTCTGTGTGGGCGGCCACGGACCTGTTGAGAGTTCGGAGCTCAGACCAAAGCCACGGGGAACTCTAACTTGTCAAGTCAAGGGGATGTATCAAAGGATCTCCCCTTCTATGCAAGAGGTCCAAAGTTTTGCGTGAGGCACCTTGTTGGGTGGACAAGCAGACCGCCGCCGCGACTACTTCTGGCAACGGACTGCAACTACTTCTGGCCCCGATCGCGAGACCGGGATCTCCCGTTGTGACGTAATTACTTCCCTTACGTGGAATTGCGTCGACGCTAGGAAGTTTGGCTCGCGAGATCATTTCTCTGTCCTTTTTCTTTTCTTTTTTTGGTGCCACCAAATCTGAAGGGGGGAAGAATGGACGCACCACCGCGCAAGAAGAGGTGCCTGGCGTCTTCGCATGATGCGGAGGCGGCCAGCCAGGGGGGTGCCGTTTTGGAAGGAGGAGATCATCCCATCGAGGAAGTGCTGAGCGACGAAGAGCTGCGCCCCTTTACTCCACGTGAGCCCCTCCGCTGCAGTATTTTTATTTATTTATTTTTTTACTTACTTCTTTTGTCTCTTTCTTGACTCCTCCGCCCGCCTCTGTGCACCAAGGCACTGTGCTGGTGGCGGACACGACCCCGAAGCGAGCAAACGCCCTCTTGCAGTACCCGCCCCAGCATGTGCCTTGTCATCTCCGCGTTTCCTTCCGCGCCCTTACGTTCTTGTTCGTGCTTTCCTGCCAGGGTGCTCAACAAACACCTACCAATGCCTCCGCACGCCAAGCACCTGAAGCGAATCCGACGCGTCAATGACGCAGCCGCTGCCGAAGGTGAGTGGCACTAGGCCTAGCGCTGTCGCCGGTATGCCTCAGTACTGACTTGTGTTCGCAGGATACGTGCTGCAGGTGCTCGTGTGTGATCCAAGCGACGAGCAAAAAGTCAGCGAGCCAGCTATTGCCGGCGCACTAGCCGCCTTCTCCCTGTCCCTCAAGCCGGTAGAGGTGTCTGCGTTTGCGCCGCTCACCGATGCTCAGTACACTGAATGGAACGCCATATGGCCAATCGGCGCACGACCGCCACCAAGGTATGTGGCCCGTGGAGGCCCAAACCGCGACGTCAAGTCGCCCGCAACCGCCGACTAATAGCCATACGCTGATGTGCAGAGAGATCCAGCCACCATCCAAATGGCCGACAAAGGCATTCACCGATGGAGTCGGGTACATGAAGGTGGCACTCGAACAAGCGAACAAGGCTAAGAACAAAGGAGAGGTAAATCTTCTGAACCGTTTTGCCTGTTGGTCTTGATGCTGAACCGGTCCTTGTTCACCTCGGCTCCAGCGCCCGATCGGTGCGGTTGTGGTCAACCCCACAACGGGGCAGATAGTAGCTAAAGCACGGGATTGCTGTACGTACCCGTCTTCTGTCAGAACATCCCGTTATGCTCACCTCGGCGCACACCTCCAGCCAGCAGTCACCCACTCGACCATGCTGCGATGGTCTGCATCCACAAGGTGGCCGCCAAGGACATGGCCGACAATCCTTCTACAAGGGGCAACTATCTGTGCACCGGATATCATCTCTACATTACGCGCGAGCCGTGCATCATGTACCCCTCTCATATCCTTCGCCAACTTCGTCCTCGTCGTGCTCACCCTTTTTGGCCAGGTGTGCAATGGCGGTCCTGCATTCCCGGTTTGCCAAAGTGTTTTACGGGGCACCCAACCTGGCCATGGGCGGACTCGGCGGGCGAGCGAAGCTGCACACCCACCCATCGCTCAACCACCACTTCCAGGCCTACACCGGGCCACTCCAAGCGGAATGCCGCCAACTCGCGGCGGACCCGTAGGCAGTCAGCCGAACATTTGGAAAGGACCATAAAGATAGCTAGCTGCTCCGCCTTCCTTGAACATCTGCATCTGGTGGCTCTGGCGCCTCCAACCTCCTCAAGTCCTTGTGGGAAGCTGCCTGTTTGCCCCGATCGAACATTCCGAGCGTGCTTGGGAGAATTCGTTCGAACCAAGGCAAGATTCCGTGGGATCCGTGGGGGCAAGCAAGATGGCCGAGCAAGTTGGAGGGAAGAGCTTACCACACGCGCCGTGCGGGCAGTTGAGCATCGACGCACCCTGCCGCAGCTGCCTTTCTCCTCGCTCTCTTGCTCGGCCCACAACCACAACGAGACGACCAGGCACACCAGGGAGAGGGAGTTTCCAGCTTGACGCTGTCCGACTGACGAGCAGCAACTGCGACAGAGGGCAGTTATTGCCGCCACGAGTGTCTTGCTCTTCTCTGTCGCGTCCACAAGGTTGTGACCACAGGTCACTACGAAAGGTACCTTTTTTCCCTTTGTGTTTTTTAAAAATATCTATTTCTTGATTTGTCCAGCTTGCCCAGCAGACCACGTTTGTTTAAGATCCATCTTCTAGATGCCCTCCTCTGATTTTTAGCACAAGCACGCCACAGTCGCTCATCACACAATCCAAAATTTGGCGATTTCGTAGGGATTTTACTTCAATTATCGAGGCCTCGAGAAGATCAACAAGAGACGATGTCCACGAGCACGGAGCACGACCAACTGCCCAGCCCTGCACCGTCGTCCGACCCATTGAGCCAGCTGCAGCGACTGGTCATTGTAAGCAATCGACTGCCGGTGACCTGCGTCAAGCAGAAGGATGGCGGATGGACCTTCAACAAGAGCTCGGGCGGGCTGGTGACGGCCCTCTCGGGCATCAAGAACACTTCTCGCTTCGTGTGGATCGGGTGGCCCGGCGTTCACGTGGACGACGAGGCCGAGCGACGTGAGATGGAACGAAAGCTCTTCGAAGAGTACTCGTGCATCCCTGTGTGGATGGACTTTGAGCTCATGGAAGACTTCTACAACGGTATGCCCCTCACTTCATGTGCTGGCTTTCGCTCACGGTGCTTGCTGTGCGTACGTGCGGTGCAGGTTCTCGAATGGTGTTCTGTGGCCGCTGTTCCACTACATCGACACTATCAAATTCAACGCCGGCCTCTACGAAGCCTACGTGAAGGCCAACGAGCTCTTCGCACAGGCGGTCACGAGCATCTGGCAGGAGGGAGACATGATCTGGATTCACGAGTGCGCCGCTCTTACCTTCTTTCTCCTCCCATACTCCCAAGCAGTGCGGCTCACCACTGACGCGCACCTTCTCTGCAGTTATCACCTGATGTTGATGCCGCTTGCGATTCGCCAGCAGATACCAACGGCAAACATGGGTACACTGCACTACCAACCACTTTGCCGAGAACACTGGGCAAGACATGGACCTGGCTCACTTCCTCTTTCCCTGCACACAGGCTTCTTTTTGCACATCCCCTTTCCGTCGAGCGAGGTCTACAAGATCCTTCCGTGTCGCGCGCAGCTGCTCGAGGGTGTGCTGTCGTGCGATCTGGTGGGCTTTCACACGTGGGACTACTCAGAACACTTTCTGAAGACGTGCACCCGCATACTGGGCGCTGAGACCCAGTTCCAGGCCGTCATCTACAAAGACCGGCGAGTGCCAGGTGCGGTTCCATCGATGGCCTCGCTCTTCCCAGCAAGACACTCACGGTAACCACGTGTGTGTGTGGTGGCGAGTGTAGTGCGTGTGTTCCCAGTGGGCATTGATGTAGCCGAGTTCGAGCGCACCTTGATCACCACACCGGTGAAGGAGCGTCTGGGCGAGCTATACCAGCGCTTCAAAGGGAAGAAGGTGATCCTCGGTGTCGACAGACTGGACTACATCAAGGTACGACACGGCTGCTATTGATTTTATTATGCTTGGTGCTCAATACCCATCGTTCTCCCTCTCCCTCTTACAGGGCCTGCCCCACAAGCTCGAGGGCTACGAACTATTTTTATCCAAGTACCCTGAGTGGCGTCAGAAGGTGGTGCTCATCCAAGTTGCCGTGCCCAGTCGCGAGGACGTGCCGGAATACCAGAAGCTGAAGAAAGGTACCGACCCATGCTGCAGCGCTTTATCGACGAGCGACGTACTCAATATCAGTGCCTCCCCCCTTCAATTGTGTAGTGGTCGACCAGACGGTGGGCCGGATCAACATGGAGTACGGCTCGCTGGAACACCAACCCATCCACTACCTGTACCACTCAGTCAACTTTACCGAGCTGTGTGCCTTGTACACGCTTGGTACTTCCCTCTCCTGGAATAGTGGCAAGCCAGCGTGTTTGAATCTTGCTTACCATAGCCCTATTCATCCAGCGGACGCCGTGTTGATCACTTCGCTGCGGGATGGCATGAACCTGGTTGCTGAGGAGTACATCGTTTGCCAGAAGGAGCGCAAGGGTGCCCTCATCATTTCCGAGTTTGCTGGGGTACGCTCGGACAGGCAGCTGTTGCTTTGCGTGCTGCAGCACTTTGGCTAACGGTTGTTGGTCGTTGATACTTGCAGGCTGCCCAGTCGCTCAGCGGGAGCATCCTCATCAATCCTTGGAACCCCAGAGACGTGGCCACGGGCATCAACAAAGCCCTTTCCCTCGCATACGCCGGTTCGGCTCGCTATTTCACGTGTGTGTGTGGTGTGTGTGTGTGGTCACTCTCTTATACTGTTTGTGTTGTGGGTTCATTCGCATAGATCGAGCGGAGAGGCACAACACACTGTATAGATTTGTATCCAAACACACATCCGCCTTCTGGGGCACGAGCTTCATCGAGTCGCTTGTCAGCGAGACGATGTCTGTACAAATGCTGCTCGAGAAATCGGTCCCTATTTATCAAATCCTCAAGCGATACACCCAGAACAAGAAGCGCCTCCTCGTCTTCCAGTCCGACGGTGTCTTGGTATGTTCAACCAGTCCTTCGTGCTCCCTTTTGGCTGCGTTCACATTCTAACACAACGTATACTTTGCGCAGAGTCTCCAGGCAGAGTCGAAACCATCAGCTGGCGTGCTGGGCCTGCTGAAGAAGCTCAGCGACAACCCCAACAATATTGTGGTGATCATCAGCGGCAACACGAGGGACACCATGGAGGAGCACTTCGACGGGCTGGACGTGGCCCTGCTCGCCGAGCACGGATTCTACTACCGCCCCCTTCAGTACGTTGTCCTTTACTCTGTGATGTGCGTAACAACATGGGCTCACCTTCCCCGCTGCGCGCCCACCAGACGCGTGCTCGACAGCATTTCGGAGGAGCAGGAGGAGAGCAAGCAGCTGGGCCTCCTCCGTCGTACGCCGTCGCTGAGCTCGCTCCCGATGGACAGGAACGGCTGGCGCACGCAGTACCTGGGCGACAGTTCGTGGATGGACGCCGTGCGGCCCATCTTCGATTTCTTCTCGGAGCGGACGCGAGGGAGCAAGCTCGAGTGTCACGGCACCTACTTCACCTGGAACTACCGCAACGCCGACCCGTTCTACGGTGAGTCGCAGGCGCGCGCCCTGCGGCTTCACATGGACAACAACTTTGGCAAATGGCCCATCGAGGTGAGCAGCGACAACAAGACCATCCTCGTCCGCAACCACGACGTCAACCCATCGTCGGTGGTACGTTCCCTCTATCCCCTCCCTTTGATCTCTTTGCCGGCTGTGTGCTAACTGCATTGTGCGCTTGCAGTTGAATCGAGTGTTGCGTGACGTGGCTGCCGAGGGCGCGCTGGTTGACTACGCGCTGTACGTGGGTACGACGGCGGTGGACCACGACGCCATCGCTGGCCAGAACCCGGAGGTGGACCTCTTCTCGTGTCTCGTGGGCAAGAAGTTCGGCTCGGCCTCCTTCCTCCTCCAGGACCCGCTCGCCTTCGGTCAGTTCCTCGACCGTCTCTCGCACCTCTAGTGGTCAATTAAAATAAAAATAAAATAGAGCAAATTGGTGTAATTCGAAACGCTTTTCCCAAACGCAGAAATCGTTACAAAACAAGGCGCAAGAGAAGTGGCGCAAGAGGAGTTGATTGAACCTGTTAATCATACATACAAAAATGCAAAGACATGGAGCGGTCGCAGGGGCTGCACACACGAGCCCACCGGTGGAACGACCAGCTTCCTTCCACCTCACCCATTCCGTACGCGATTCAGTGGATTGGGGCGCACCTACGCCCTCATCTCCTCCCACATCGGCACAGCAGCGACGCCCACGAACAAATAGCGGCTCGTTTGTGCAGTCGCTGACTGGCATGGGCGCCACCCTACCATTTGGACCACGCATCGCCAAAGGTACGAATGGATCAAATCCTACTCGCGAGGACTCTGCGTCGATTGTCTCACCGGGTCCATCTTCCTGAAGAGGTGGGAGACACCTTTGCAGCCTTCTTTACGCCAGCTCTGCGAGCTGAGCTCGAGTATAGCCAACGCGAGTTTGAGGTACATTCTTCCCACACTCGTCGCCGTCACCCACCGTCTTCTAGTTTCGCTTGGTTGTGCTGACATTGCTTTGCGTGCACGTAGGAGCGACGAGGGGATGGGCCGCAGGTGGAGCTGGAGGACACGGCACAGGTGATACAAACCGTGCACAGGGAGCTGGACTCTTGCACCGATCTGGTGGGAGACGTGCTGGGTGATATCACTCAACAAGGTTCGCTGCGCCGCATGGTGTTGCTGTCACTCAGGCGCCTCTTGACCCGCCCTCAACTCTTTCTGCAGTGCACAACATATCGTGTATGATAGGCATGCAACTGCTGAAGGCTAGCGCCAATCAGGTAGGCATGATCGATCCGTCCAGGCCCACGCACATCACACACTACACACGACACACACGATACACACACGACACACACACCTTATTTGCTAGCGTGCTCACTCACAGCCAATGCTGCCTACAGTCCAAGTACGAGGCCGAAAGCAGGCAACGGAGGGAGGAGGAGGCCAAAGACAAGACTGACTTCATGGTGGGCATCGAGGAGGAGCGGCGGAAGGTCGACGCCGAGTTTGCCAACGATGTCATCCGACTCGAGCACATGTACCGGGTCATGGCCGACACTGATTGACAAGAGCTCACCCCCTCCGTGAGCTGTACATAAACACCAAACCAACCCCAAGCGTGGCCTTTGTTGGGAAGCTGGTGCCTTGCTGAGGAGAAGGAAGAGAGGGAAAAGAAGGAAAACTGAGAAATTTTGCCGGCGTTCGACGAAGATTGAAGAACTGCGTTCGATGTGTGGTCGCGAAATTGCGAACGAGGCGGATTGATTTGTTGGTTCATTCGTCATTCAATTCTCAGAGCAAAGGAAGAAGGAATCGAAGACCAAAGAACGAGAAGATGTCGTTTCAGATTGAATGGCCCACCCTCGATGAGATTACATTGGAGAAAATCAAGGCACAAATTACTGAGGTCATGAACAAGGGCGAGCTTCCAGATGCAATCTGTGACGTCATGCGGGTGACCGACCTCGACCTTGGGAACATCGTACGGCCACTTCCTTTTATTTAATCATGATTTAATCATTTAATCAATTCAAATGCTACCCATGCAGGCACCCACGCTCCAGTTCATGGACATCCCCGACGTGTCCGAGGACGGATTCGAGGGGCACTTCAAGGTGGCCTACGCCGGCAACGGCAGCATCACCCTCCAGACCAAAGTGCAGGTACCACGTGCGATGTGGTGCGGTGTGATGCGGTGTGGCATGCGTGTGGTGGCGAGCCTAACGAGTGAACCAACCAACAGGTGAACCCTTTCGCGGCCAAGACAGTGCCGAGCAAGCGGGCACTGCGACACCTGGGCGGTCTCATCGCCCACGAGCCGATGGTGGTGCCGCTCCGCATCACCATCTCGCAGGTGCGGATCGACGGCGACCTCGTGCTCAACATCAAGAAGCGCGCCAAGGCCCACGACCCGCGCAGCGACGGCAGCCTCATCCTCGAGAACACCAACACCGCCGTCAGCGCTCCGGCGGCGGACAGCGAGCTGTCGATACCGCACATCGCCGCGCAGTTCAAGGTCGACCCGCTGCAGAGCGTGAACATCTCGTCGAGCTTCGACGACTTTGGGTCGGTGAAGGACTACCTGCAGGAGCAGGTCGAGGGTTCCCTGCGCAAGCTCTTCGTCGAGGACTTCCCGCAGATCGTGAGCGGCATCAACAAGCAGCTCGAGACCGCCGCTCACGCGAAGCACAACACCGTCGTCGTGCTCGCCCCCAAGTGAGTTGGTCTCTCTCGTGCACGAAGAATGGTGAAGGTGGAGGTGTGTAAGTAATGATCGTGTCAAAAGTGTGCGGGCTGCTGGGCGAGCAGCAGCTTATTTATTTAGCTTTACTGTCTGTGCAAGATCATCGGTACGTAACAAGAAGTGATGATGATGAAGAGGATGAAGAAGGACGGTATACTAGTGTTACATTTGTCGTACCGCGAAGTAGCGGTAGTAGCAGCGGTCGGCGACCAGGTGCCTGAGGGAGGGCATCTTGGTCTGGGCCACGTACAGCAGCGGCCCCATGCCGGCGATCAGCGCCCCCACCAGCGGGATGCGGAAGTCGCTGTAGAACAGCGACGCCACGATCGCCACCAGCACCACCAACGGCGTAAGCCCGCACACCAGCACACCTGCGTTGCGTCGCGCGGTCACGGTCAGCACCACCTGGCCAAGCAGGCCACTGGAGTGGGTGGACGTACCGGTGCGGCCGAAGGGGAGGATGGAGGGTATGTTGAGGTGGGGCTGGGTGAAGGCCAGGCGGATGAAGGTGGAGCAGAGGAGGAGGGCGTGGGTGGCGTAGAGGAAGGACTCGACCTCGACCAGGTAGGAGAAGTCGAAGAGCACCAGCACGCAGGTGGTGAGGGAGAAGAAGGCGATGGCCGCCACCGGCGTGCCGAACCGCTCGGACTCGTACTGGAACACGGACGGCGCCATCTCGTCCTTGCTCAGCGAGTGGAGCGCCGTCGACGAGGTGTGCAGATACGCGTTGTACGTTCCTAAACACCACACATACACACACACACACACACACACGACGCACACACGACGCACACGATGAGCTTCCGTATTGGGGCAAAGTGTAGGATATATGGCAGCAGTATGTACCCATGGTGCTGACCAGTCCTCCGGCAATCATCATGTAGAGCAGCCACGAGCCAAAGCCGAGCTCCTCCGCGAGTATCGGGTAGGAGCCCTGCGAGATGTCCGTCGACCAGTCCTTGGCCGTGGCGATGGCCGTGGCGATCGGGAACAGGTAGGTCACCAGCATCAGCACCACCGACAAGACCATCGCCAGCGGGTACGTGCGCTTCGGATCCTTCACATTCCCTATCACCACCACACCGGTGTGAGCGCCTCAATCGTGGCCACGGTGAGTGGGTTGGGTGGGTGAGTGGTGTGGTTGGGTTGGGTTGGGTTGGTGGGTGGTGGGTGAGTGGGGCGAACCGGCGAGGAATCCGCTGTATTCGTAGCCGCAGGTGGCCCAGATGAGTACGGAGAGGTAGAGGCCGACGTCGCTCTTGCGGTCCGAGGTGTCGACGAGGGTGGCGAAGGAGAAGTGGGAGGAGAAGAGGGCGAGGATGATGAAGAGGACGAAGGGGAAGAGGGAGGAGAGGGAGAAGAACTGCGAGGTCTTGTCGATGATCTTGGGCCCCAGTACGTTGAGGAAGCACGCCAGGCCTATGTACACTACGCACACCAGGTACGCTTGCCACGCATTCAGGGACACCACCTCCTGCACGGACACGCGGTGATGCAAGTGTGAGCCCACACACACGCACCATCGCACACGCACACGCACCGCCGCACACATAGCACACAGACACGCGGCGCAGGCAAGATGGCCAAACCTTGAGGTAGTCGACGAAGATCAGCGGGTAGAGGGCTTGGTCAACGATCGCGACCACCATCATGCTGTACGTATGAGGGTTGCGTTGCACGTTGCGACGTCGAGGGTGGTCGATGAGGCACACAACATAATATCATCTCTCACACGCCTGCGCGCGGATGCATTGCACAATGGGGGGACGTGTTGTGTGTGCGCGCGGGCGCGGGTGCGTACATCCATCCGTCGACGAAGGGAATGATGGGACCCCACGCCTGCCGGCCCCACAGGATGAAGCCAGAGTGGGAAGGCATCGCCGACGCCAACTCTGCCGTCATCATCGCCATCGGCAAGCTCCATATCTGTGGCACGCACGCACGCACGCACACCACCGCACACGCACCACCACCGCACACGCGCATACACCGCACACGCGCATAATTAGGGTTTGTTGGCTAAACGCGTGGGAAGCGCTGGGTCGGGTCGCACCCAGGGGATGATGAGGATGCCGGTCAGGGCGTAGAGCGGAGGGATGGAGCCGCCGAGGTCTTCGGTGCCGTAGGCACCGCCGCACACGAGGAAGAAGACCAGCGCCACGAGGCCGAAGACCGAGTGCACCTTGGTGCTGTCCTCGCCCTTCTCCAGCCTCTCGTCGATCTCCTCCATCGTCAGTTCCTCCACACGACCGCCCGCGTCGTCCTCCTCCGTCTCGCGCCCGTTGGCCTCGTCGCCGCCGATGAGGGTGTCGTTCTCGTCTCCTCCCTGTTCGTCTCGCGGGCTGTGCTGGCTGACGACGACGATCGATCGTGGCGAGTCGTCGCCGGCCGAGCGAGGCGAGGAGGGAGCGATGAAGGCCTCGCCGTCCTTGAGGATCACCACCGATCCATCTCTCGTGCGAGTGTTCACGATCATCATCTCCTCGTCGGCAGGGTTGGGCGGCGAATGACGATGATGGAGGACTCTATCAAAACTGTAGTACGGGGGCGTGGCCCCGCTTGCCGGCTTCTCGCGGCGAGGAGGAGTTGGGATGGAGATGGCCAGAGATTGGCTCTCGTAGCCGGCTATACCCTCATCTTCGTCCTCCGAGAGCGAGGCCGAACCGAATTCGCTGTCGTGCGGCGGTGGAGGGAAGGGAGACTTGTGGGAGTGGGTAGGCTGCTCTCCATACGGATCCATCCTCTCAATCAGAGTCAAAGAAATCAAGCCAAGTGCGCCAGGAGACACTTGTTTTATTTTACCTTATTTTTCACTCAATTTACAATAATCGTGAAATGCGAACCGGCGGATCAGCAGCAACGCATGACACCATCGTTTTGGGCGCTGGCGCAGCGGGGCTGACGGCTGCTGCGTTCGCCGCAGGTGAGATCTGCATCTTCCCCAAAACATCGCATGAAAAATAGCAAACAATCAACGATTGTTCGGAAATGAGCAGGTAGGGGTGTGAGCAAGGGAGTGCTCGTTCTCGAGGGCGCAAAGGAAGCGGGAAAGAAGATCCTCATGAGTGGCGGCTCACGCTGCAACGTGCTGCCAGCCGCCATTGATGTCGGGCGCGACTACTTCACAGCCCAGACCGCCACATCCGCCGCACGAGGTGGGCGGCGGGCAGCAGCAACCTCCCACAAGGCCCTGCAACGGTATGCCCCCCAATTTCCTCTTGCTGGATGGCTGTGCTATTTTTTCATCAATAAATAAACATTTATTTCCATATCAATATTTTAAAATTATAAAAAAATTATAAAAATACAGAATATTCTCGACCTGGAGCGTCGAGGAGTGCCGGCAGTGGATGGAGGAGGAGGTGGGGCTGGAGCTTGCGATGGAGGAGGACACCAGCAAGTGGTTTCCGCGCAGCAACTCGGCGCGAGAGGTGCGGGACAGGCTCGTGGCATTCGCCCTCGACAAGGGAGTCGACCTGCAGTACAACCAGCGCATCACTCGCCTGCAACGAGGTCTCACCAGCGCAATCCTCTCCTGTTGTAGCATTGAACACAGAGCGAGTCTCTTACCACCAACAACGCACACGCGCACGCACACGCACACGCACAGAGAGCAGTTCTGGCATGTGGTACTGCGAAAGCGAAGGCGGAGAGCAGTACCGTGCGCCCCGCGTGGTGGTGGCCATGGGCGGAAAGAGCTTCCCCGCCGTGGGCACCGACGGCAAGGGGTACCAGCTCGCACAGGAGCTCGGCCACACGATTCGCCCCGTCTATCCCGCCCTCACCCCGCTCACCGGTGCGTAAAGACCGACCCAGCGACCATCAACTCTCTTCTCTCTCTCTCTCCTCTCTTCTGACGGCCCACGCTTCTGTTCTAAGGCCCCCACCCTGGCGGAAACCAGCTCGCCGGGGTCTCCTTGAACGTGGGCGTCACAGCAGAAGCCGGTCCATCGGGCCAGCTGCGCACTGATGCCCACCGCACAGGTATCATCATGTCTCTCGCCTCCGCATGACACTTGCTTTCTTCATTCCTGCGCTCTCGTGGTGACGTGTCGCGTAGTCTGACCCTCGCAAGGCTTTCTATTCACGCACAGGGGCTACAGTGGGCCATCGATCCTCGACCTCTCGCACCACGCGGTGATCGATATCGAGGGACTGCGCGAAGCGGCCGACGGTACGAGAACGACTGCGATCACGGTCAACTGGTGCGACATGTCCGAGGAGTCGTGGCGCGGCCTCTTCCTCTCGGCGCTGGCCAAGGGCGGGAGTGCCACTCGGCTCGTGAGCAACATGCTGGGCGAACGGATGCCGCACAGGCTGGCCCTCGCTCTGTGCGAGGAAGCGGGCGTGGCCCACCAGCGGATGGCCGATCTCACCAAGGACAAGCGAGAGCAGCTGATTGGCCTGTTGACACAATACCGCTTGCCCTATACCGGTACGCACAACGCTGCGTGTACGTGTGCGGTGGTGCGTGTGCGTGTTCTTGTTGACGCATGCTAAAGAAAGATGTATCTATGCGGGGGCTTGATGGTACAGGGCACCAGGGCTACAAGAAGGCCGAGGTAACGGGTGGTGGCGTCAGCCTCGAGGAGGTGAAGTGGGAGACCCTCGAGAGCGGCATCGAAGCCAACAGGGGCCTCTTCTTTTGCGGCGAAGTGCTGGACTGCTTCGGTCGGATCGGCGGCTTCAATTTCTACTGGGCCTGGTGCTTACATTCATCACCAGCGCCCTTTTCAGCTCCAATCTCATACTCTTGTGGCCGTGTGTGTCGTGTGTCGTGTGTCGTGTGTCGTGTGTCGTGGACAGGGTAACGGGCAGACTGGCGGGCATGAGTGCGGCGAGTGCACGCCTCTCCAGCCCCAGCTCTTGAAACAATAATAATGAGGTGACTACCTTTTCCCAATTACAACATGCCTCGTAGCTCAATGTGCCATCACGCTCACGACCTCATTTCCTGCTTGTTTGTAATTTACAAATGTGTCGTCAACTTCACCGCAGGTTAGGTTGGCGTGCACTGAACTCCGCAGCTTCCCAACCCATAAAAGGGAACGTTCACGCGCCCTTTCGAACGCGCCAGGACACCAAAGACGACCAACTCGCGCGCACACAGCGAGCAGGAGGCAGCGAGCTGCGAACGTCGGGGGAGGGGGTGAGAGAAAAGGAACATCGTCATCATCGTCATCATCAACAACAAACGTCACAAAAGGAAGGAAGGGAGGAAGAAGAAGATCAACAGACGAGACTGGAACCGCGATAGGCGACGAGAAGAAGAAGAGGAAGAGGAAGAGACCACACAGAGAGAAGAAAAAGATGAATCGAGACAAGAAGGGGGAGAAGTCGGGCTTCTTCCAGCACTTCACCCTGCGGAGGAAGACCATCAATGAACCCCCATCAACGAGAACACAGAGCGGCGAGGAGGGGGTTTCGCCGGTGCACCACGGGGGGTCCCTGTCAGCGCAACACGCGCCCTCGCCCTCCGCCAGCTCGTCCTGGAGCACCACCGCGAGCGCATCGACACCGGCCGCCCCGACCACCGCCAAATACAACACATTTCGCGATCGGGCCTCGACCGACATCGCCATCAGCGTCGACGATTCAGCAGCGACTTCGAACACCCAGTCCCGGCCGCAGATGTCGCGGCTCCAGCGGGCGTCGTCGATGATCCGGCGGGGCAACGCGACGACGCGCAAGACGCGCGAGGAGACGGCGATCGAGATGTTCTGTCGCGGGAGCGAGGAGAACAACATCAGCCTCAGCACCACGACGGGCAAGGAGGAGAAGAAGAAGGGGCGCGGGTTCTTCGGATCGAAGGAGAAAGATGACGGGGGGCTCGACGCGGGGGGGAACGACAAGCGGCGGTCGCTGACGATAAAGGCGAGCAAGATGGAGGAGGGCATGTTCAGGCGCGGGGAGCCGGGCTACTTCATCAAGGAGCTCAAGAAGAACTCGACCACGTCGTCGTCGTCGTCGAAGCGCGCGGCGCGGGGCAACCGCCAGCTGGAGACGCTGGGCGAGCTCAAGGAGCAGCTGCGCGAGGCCAACGAGGGCTGGGTGCAGGAGTTTGTGCGCGAGCCCTTCCGCGGGGTGCTGGCCCTGCTCGAGGCCATCCACGAGAAGCAGCGCAAGCAGCAGACCGGCACCGACCTCTCGGTCCAGGCCGCGTGCCTCGAGTGCCTGCGCGCGCTGGCCAACACCGCCGCGGGCCTCGCGCAGCTCATGAATGCGGCGGCGACCAAGCGGGTGGCGGCCCTCCTCGCCTCGCGCGACACGCAGATCAAGGGCGCCGCGCTCGAGCTGCTCTCGTTCGTGTGCCTGGTGCCCCCCAAGGGCGTGCCGCTCGTGCTCGAGGCCATGAGCCACTACCGCGCCGAGCACCGCGAGCCCACCCGCTTCCACAGCCTCCTCCAGGCCATGCGCGCCGAGGACAAGAACGTCGGCTTCCTCATCAACGCCCTCTTCTTCATCAACTCCATCGTCAACTCGCCCGAGGACCTCAAGGTGCGCCACGACCTCCGCAAGGAGTTCATCAACCTGGGCCTCCTCGACACCATCCGCTCCTTCAAGGACACCTGGGCCATCTCCTCGTCCGAGCTCAAGACCCAGCTCAAGGTGTTCGAGGAGGAGATGCAGCACGACGCCCAGGAGGAGCGCCGCATGGGCGCCGCCAAGGCCAGCGCCGTCGACAAGAACAACCCCGAGGACATCTTCAGCGTCGTCCTCCGCCAGGTCAAGGACTCCCCCTACTACCAGTCCTTCATCAACGCCATGGGCAACCTGCTCCAGCTCAGCTCCACCAACGCCGGGTTCGTTCAAACCTCATCACCACCATCATCATCAGCATTACACGCCTCCACAAGTCTGTGTTTTTAATATTGGGTTTGGAAATATTTCTCTAATTTACATATGTTGTAAACATGTTAAATATGTGTGCAGGCAACAATCGTGGGAGGTGGTGGAGTCGATGCTGTCGCAGTACCTGTCGCTGGCGGACAGGGAGGGCGCGACGGAGGTGGAGGTGATGCTGCTGCAGGACCTGGAGGAGCTCAAGCACAAGCACGAGCGCAAGATGCGCAACCTCAACAACCGGGTGCGCCGCGCCCAGGGCGAGAACGCCGAGCTCCTCGAGCAGATTGAGAGGCTGCAGGCCGGCGTGCGCGAGGAGCAGAACGTGCGCCTCAAGGAGGACATCAGCCGCGCCCTCAGCAGCGGCATGGGCATGGGCGCCCCCGGCCTCATGACTGGCGCCGGCGGCGGA